GGAGCCACGTAAGAGAATTATATATATTAGATCAGAAACACATCATTAAAAGGCAGAATGCTTTGGTGTTTTCAAAACAAAGCAAACGTTGCCACCGGCGGAAAAGAAATACAGCCAAAATTTGGGAGCCACGTAAGAGAATTATGTATAATAGATCATACTTTTTAATTGCATAAAGTAAAAAAAACTGAGATAGATTTTTTTAACAGAAAAAGAGCGAATTACGAAAACATAAATTATTTCTATATAGCAACCTATAGTTTTTTGAAGAAATCAACCGTGTTAGCCATGCATAACAACCATGCATAACATAATTTTTTTTTAATTTCCTGGAAAATACATTTTTAGAAATATTTAATTTTCATTATTGGATCTTAATTGGAATTTTTTACCAACGCACGATGTTATGATTTTAGGAAGAAATTTTTTTTTCATGGGTTGTTATAAAATTTTATGAGGGAAAATTTTCCCTCAAAAGATGGTTTAAAATTTTATGTAGGAGCTTTCATCTTCACAGTATGTCACAAAGTTTTATTTTAGGATTTTCCTCCTCTATAGGGTGCTGTAAAATTTTATATTAAATTTATCACCCTCGGGCTGTTATGCAACTTTATAGAGTTTTTATTACTTTCCAGATTGTGATAGCTCTTTTATAAGATTTAAAAAAAAATATTCAAGGATTCTTAATTTTCCCAGGTTGTTATGACAATTTTTGTATATTTTTTTTGTTTCTTTCATGCAGTGTTATAAAATATTTTGTAGAGACTTTTAACTTTTAAAAGATAAAATTTTGTATTAGGATTTTTCACATTCGTAGAATAATACTATAAAATTTTATGTAGGGATTTTTCTTCCTTATGGTGTGTAAAACATTTTATGTTTAAAATTTTCACCTTCAATAAAATTTTATACAGAAGTTTTTTAGTTTTTATATTGGTAGTTTGCGCATATTATGAAAATTTATATTGAAATTTTCCCTTTCCCTAGATTATTTAATAATTATGCAGTTCTTTTCAAAGAATATTTTAAAATTTAATATGGGGATTTTTCTCCTGCATTGATTGGTATAAAATTTTATGGATTGAAAGATTTGCCTTTGAGAAAATGTTATCAAATTTTATATAGGAATTCTTTACCTTCAAAGCAGATTAGAAAGTTTGATATAGAGTTTTTTTCCTTCATGTTGTTCCGTTTAAAAGAAAAGAAAGCTTCTGAACACCTTATAAAGGATAATACTGAACGGGATGCAAATCATATGAGATACTAAAAAAGTACTATAAAGCAGCAAAAGAAAAAAAAAGCACAAAAACACTAACGATGTAATAATGCATGGCAATCATACAAGATATTAAGTAATGTAATAATTATTTATAAAACTAAACTTACTATTACTTTCTTCGGAACGCTCTTCAGAGCTGCCTCTAGATTTTATAGTTGAAGCATCCACATGTGAATCCAATAAAAAGATACCTATAGCTAAGCACAACACTGTTCCTGGAACAAGTAAAATTTTACATACATTTCGCAGAATGTATTATTGAAAATTTTCACTAAGCTGCAAATGACTATACTACTAAATTTTAGTTTTTAAATAAAATTATTTAGAAAGTTGAATATATTAGCCATTAATTTAAAAAGAATAGCTTGTAGAATGTAACAATTTCCCTTGAAAAGTTTAAGATATATAAAGTAAAATTTGAGTATTTTTAACTGATTTTTACTTCATTTTTTTTAAAAGTAGAATAATATGATCTGTGATATTTTTGCAAATTTTAAAGAACATTTTTTTTTAAATGTATGGCAACATCAAAAAATAGCAGTTTTTCCATAATTTTTTCCATATCGAGGAACTCACTTTATTTGAATAACTTAACCTTAATAACCTAAATATAATATATATTTTTAGAATGAGTGTCAAAAGTAAATTAAAATAAAGTTTACGAGGTTAGGGGTCACAAATAAATACACCGAGGAAAAAAAAACTGGTACACCTGCTTGATGCTGTGTAACCTGACAATGAGTCCATGCCACGTCGTGACGTGACATGGATTCACTGATTGCTGGCTGGAAGGCATTTCGGGACAAATTCATACTGACTGTGAATCCCACAGGCTTACAAAATGAATATATCGTTCTGGTGATCTCTTCGGAATTGCACTTTGCAAGACCATGCTAGATGATCCTCCATGTCTGCGGATTCAGGTGTTAAGTCTAAGTCAGAAGATAATGTTCCTGTGTAGCTACTCTCAACGTGCAGAGTTATCTCATTGTCCTTCTGGTCTTGTTAAACTCCTTCGGAATTTGAAATGAACATGAATGGTCAGAGATTATTGAATAGAATACTCAACTACCAGTCAGAGACATATCAGGGATTTCATATCCTGCTAATTCCATACCCACCATATCACGAAGAGGTTCCCCTGACCTGAGCATTTCTTTTTTGACATGAAAGATCCATGAATTCATGACGTTAACTTCATATTTACGCACGTGCATCCATTCCATACAGTTTGAAGCGAGACTCGCCAGTCCAGACAACATGTTCTTGGCTAAACATCAACAGTCCAATAGATGAGTCCTGATCAGTAATGTTTCCTTAAATAGTTAAGCCGATGACACTTACTGATGTCACAGCATTGAAATAAGTGACAATTTGGGGAAGGGACGAATGTTCGCCTCTCGTAATGAGTCTGATCAATCGTCGATGGTCTTCTTCTGTCGCAATCGATCCGAATACAAAGATGATTCAGATTTTTTCCTGCTTTACCGAATTCTTAACATTCTGTTTGCACTTATAAAATGGTTTTCTTAGATGACTTCAATATTCTTATATATTTTTATAAAATGTTTAGAGTTATAAATAGTTTATTACAAAAAAAAATTCCTGGTTCATATTTATTGTTTTATGTCATATAAGAGAAGTGTCCGGTCTTTTACTGTCATGTCAGTAACCTAAAATAATCATTTTTAAAACTACACAATAAATGACACTACCACCTTTTTAATACTGCTTTCATGATTAAATATGTGAAAATAATCATTTTAAAAAACAATCTAGAGATAAAAGTCTTTTGGATTTTACAAAGGTTTAGAAATTTTTTATGATGTCCAGAAAGCTACCAACATTTTAAATATAATTAGTAAAGCTTTATTAATTGATTGTTATATACTAATTAAGTTCAGTGTACCATATATGAGTCATGATGTCTTAATAAAAAATGTTTTTTACGAGTAACGTTAAAGAGAAAAAAATTCAATCATGCAAGGTTTTAACGAATTTTTTTAGTTTAAAATTGACTTATAAGATCACCTCCTAGCAAAATTTGAAAGAAGAACCCTGCTTAGAAAATAAGACAGTATATTAAAAATTGATTATTTAAGTTGGGTTCTAAAACTCATAATCTAAGTCTCGAATCTGATATATCATTTATAAAAATTAAACGATTATACAAAATTTGAAAATAATACTAAAAATAACAAGTAGAAGAAAAACATTTAAAATGTTCATTCTTTCTTTTGTTCGTTCAAATATTTCCTTCAAATGTTGTTTAAAATGTTCGTTCTTAAAGATAATTATTTAAATTGGGTTCTGAAGCCGAAAATCTAATTCTCGTATCTAATATAACAATGACAAAAATTAAAAAATTATTCAAAATTTCAAGATGATGCTTAAAATAATGAATAGAAATTTTTTAAAAGTATTTATCCTTGAAAAATAAATTCACAGAAAAATCATACATCTGACGTCAATAAAATCGAAGGTTTATGATTTACTATTAGCTAATGATATTTCAAATAAAAGACACAATAGTAATGTCAATACTTTAATATAGTGTTTCTATTAACTAAATATTAACACTACTTGAACAAAATGCTTTCAAAATTTTATATTTTTCGAATTCTGAAACTATAAGAAATCTTGTAGCATAATGTTCGCATCATTAAGAAAAAAATGCATAAATANCCTGGTTTAATATAGTGTTTCTGTTAACTAAATATTAACACAACTTGAACAAAATGCTTTCAAAATTTTATATTTTTCGAATTCTGAAACTATAAGAAATCTTGTAGCATAATGTTCGCATCATTAAGAAAAAAATGCATAAATATTTAATATTAATCATAAAGTATTTTCCCAAAAACTAATTAGGTTTTTAAAGATGTTTAATTTTCCAGTACATGAATATTATTTGCAGTTGTCTGTATTTAATTAGGTAATCAAAATCTTAATGGAGCAAAATGATTTTTTAACAATAACTTCATTTTTTAAGTGAAAATTAAATAAAATAAATCCAAATACAAGTAAGCTTACCGAAAATTAGTTTCGAATTCAAGTATTCCAGCATATCAGAATCAGTCTTTCAAAACTTGTTTTTCTAAAATTAATGAATTATTTTCAATCACTATAAATATTAATGCTTGAAAACAAATTTAAAAATAAATTTAAAAATAAAAAAGATGTCTTATTTGGCGATAAAGATAAGAAACAATACTTCCTCGTTTCCAAATAATTTGAAAAACAGATTTTAAAGTTTTATCTTTACTGTTGTGAAATACACTTATTGAAGCAAACTGTTTGATTAAGAAAGCAATCATCTTGAAAACACCAGAAAACTGTAAATGAGAATGAGATACGAGGAAGGGGAACAAAAACGGATCTATTTTTAGATACAAATAAACTTCCATTGATCTCTAATGAGAGATAGATTTCATGTATCTCGACACGATTTCTTGCAACATTTTTTATTTACTAGCTCCGAATTCAATTGACGGAATCAAAAGTTGCATTTCAAATTATTTTTTAAAAAAGGATTGATATAGTAATCTTATGCGGAAATATCAGAATTTTTTTCCAATTTTGCTTTTCGTAAAATGATTATTACTCATATTTTTAACAAATTATTAGAAAACTAATTCCCATTTTAAAATACTTTAAAGAACACAAGTTAATAATTGAGAGACTTTGAGTATTATAATTTTAGAATTATTAATTCTTAACTAATAAAATATGAGAGGTAGCCACAATCTAGAAAACTGGATCTTAATCAGTTGTCGGAAAAACTATATTACTTTTGTAGTTTGCTAACAACTGCTATTATTTTATTACAAATGCACCCCAGTAGTACATTAGGTAACATCAGAAAAGTGGAAAATTTAAAGTTATGTTGTATAACTTTAGAATATTAGAAAGACATAAACATTTTATATCTTTCTATATCTTTCTATTTATTAAATTTTATTTATTTTTGCAGTTTGCTATAATTATTACTGTTGTTTGGTTGAGTAGCACAGAGGCTAATGCCGGCAAATAAAGTATTTATTAAAACATAATGTGAGGAAAACAATAGTTCGCACACACAGTGCTACACATCTGAATCAACTAACAACTAGTCAGCTTCTTCAACAAATATATATAGCTATTTCCCCTATCGGGAAGTCGTAGTATTACATCACGCAACTCGCGCAACTTATTTGAGAAGGAGAGGAAAAATGAGATTTTATTTGCATATTAACAACAATTACTATTTTATTACAAATGTTTCCAAGTGTGTCTATATGTATATGTTTTTTCTTTTTACGTTGCTTGTGTTATATATTTAAAAATTTGACATTTTAGTTTAGAAATAATTTGGAGAAATAGGCTGTGGTTTTTTCATAATTGTTCTTCATATTTTTGCCACACATGATTTACATAAGTTGTAATTATAGTTTCATAATTTCTATCAAAAACCACCAAAATTTCCTTTAGGATTTAAAAGTAGATAAATCAATAAAGTAAATGAAAACCAAGGGGGAAGAACAGTTTAAGTCCCTTTTTCACAAAAATGACAATTGGATGACCATCTGTCTCGTCTTAAGGATTACTGAGTGTTGACAAATCAATAATGTGAGAAATTGGTATTAGCTTTGAGTTATTAAACAAAGAAGGTGGGCCGTATTGTGGAAAAACTTTTATTTTTCGCCTGCAAAATCCTTTTTTCTCCGAATCAACTCTTACAGGCATAAACCGTTTTTCTACTGAGTTTTCAAGTATAAAAAGAAAGTATAAAATTACTGAAATGAAATTTTCCAGAGTTCTGAGAAATGCATTGTATGTTTAAAATAAACAGATAAGAAATTAAAAGGAGGATGAAAGAAAGGGTGAAAATGATTTTCAGCAAAATACAATTAAAATTGAAAATGTTATTACTGCACATTAATTTATAAAAATTTTAGGCAAGTACAGACGGGTGACAAATTACTACAAACACTTTTATATTAACTTTACAAAAGTTATCTTTCCTTTAGCAGCAAACGTTTTTGAAAACAATTGGTATAATTTAAAAGATTATCTTTGAAGCTTTTAGAAATGGTGTCTTTTTTACCCATGCAATATTCGGATAGACCAAAATGAAGAGATGGAAGTTAATAACTTCTTTCCAGCTTTAATACCAGAAATTTTGAAATTATTCTATGGGGATGTGGTACTTACATATGAATGCTTTTAAAATTATCGTGTTATAAAAAAGGAAAGGAGTTTAATATTTCCTATGCTCATTTTGGCGTAAAAAGTTGAATCATGATCCTTCAAATTGCACCAACAATTTCATCAAACGTAAAATTACGTAATTGGATTACATAATGTTTCACATGGAAAGAAGGTCAAAATTTCCCTTGTACTCATTGTCTGAATTTATGGATAACTGTCCGAATCTTTCGGGGAGATATGAGAGACACAGACAGTCACACAAGCTCTCGTTTATTAGTACAGCACATAGAGAATAAATTTTGCAGCAAATATTTTTTTGTCACAAGCATTTATTATATTAAGATTTACTTATATAAAAAATAATATTCTTGGTTCTTTTAACATAACTATGAACGAAAAAAATCTCTTATTACGTCAATTTTTTTTTTCAAAAAGCTTTTTCTCATTATACGGCATAACGCAAGTTCTCATTCGTTCAGAATACACTAATTTCTGACCACACTTCTTCACAAACGGTTTCCAATTCTTACAGAAAATGAAGAGCTTATTGCTACTTGGAGGGCNCCTAAAAAGTTGAATCATGATCCTTCAAATTGCACCAACAATTTCCGCAAACGTAAAATTACGTAATTGGATTACATAATGTTTCACATGGAAAGAAGGTCAAAATTTCCCTTGCACTGATTGTCTGAATTTATGGATAACAGTCCGAATCTTTCGGGGAGCTATGAGAGACACAGACAGTCACACAAACTCTCGTTTATTAGTACAGCATATAGAGAATAAATTTTGCAGCAAATATTTTTTTGTCACAAGCACTCATTATATTAAGATTTACTTATATAAAATATAATATTCTTGGTTCTTTTAACATAACTATGAACGAAAAAAATCTCTTATTACGTAAAATTTTTTTTTTCAAAAAGCTTTTTCTCATTATACGGCATGACGCAAGTTCTCATTCGTTCAGAATGCACTGATTTTTGACCACACTTCTTCACAAGGGGCTTCCAATTCTTACAGAAAACGAAGAGCTTATTGCTACTTGGAGGGCGATGGGCTCCAATTGCTTCTGGTCATTCAAACCATACAGAAAACTCTACAGTTTCTTTAATGATGCAATCCAAATCATCCTCAGCACAATCTGCTCCTGGTGGCCCAGTTGGTTTTGGAGTTGGAGTGGAAGGCTGTGTAGTGGTAAGCGGGGTGGTGGTTGGTCACTTCGCAGTGAATCAAAGAAAAATAATTATTTTAAAAAAATGTGAAATAAACTCCCAAAATAACTTGTTTTTAAATAAATAAAGCTTTAATATTTCTGATGCCATGTTTTACATAATGGGAAAGAAAGTCAAAATTTCCCCTTATTTAAATTTTAGGATCCTGAACCGTTCAGGAGAGCTATGAGTGAAACACAAAGATAGTAGCACAAACTTCAATTTATTAGTGCAGCATAGATGTTAAATTCTGCAGCAAATATTTTTGTAATAAACATTTATTGTATTAAGATTTATTTATATAAAGAGCAGTATTTTTGATTCTTTTTACATAACTATGAACCAAAAATCCAAATATTACGTTGAAATTAAAATAAAATACATTTTTTTTCCTTCTTCATCTTATGGCGTAACGCAAGTTCTCATTTGTTCAGAATACACCAACTTCTGACCACACTTCTTCACAAATGGCTTCCCATTCTTACAGAAAATGAAGAGCTTATTGCTACTTGGATGGCGATAGGCTCCAATTGCTTCTGGGCATTCAAACCATACAGAAATCTCACCAGTTTCTTTAATGATGCAGTCTAAATCATCCTCATCACAATCTGTTTCAGGTGGCCCAGTTGGTTTTGGAGTTGGAGTGGATGACTGTGGAGTTGTAGGTGGGGTGGTGGTAAGCTGTGTAGTGGTAGGTGGGGTAGTGGTTGGTTGTATAGTGGTGGGCGGGGTGGTGGTTGGCTGTGTAGTGGTAAGTGGGGTGGTGGTTGGTTGTGTAGTGGTGGGCTGGGTGGTAGTTGGCTGTGTAGTGGTAAGTGGAGTGGTGGTTGCTTGTGTAGTGGTGAGCGGGGTGGTGGTTTTCTGTGTAGTGGTAAGTGGGGTGGTGGTTGGTTGTGTAGTGGTGGGCGGGGTGGTAGTTGGCTGTGTAGTGGTAAGTGGAGTGGTGGTTGCTTGTGTAGTGGTGAGCGGGGTGGTGGTAGGCTGTGTAGTGGTAGGTGGGGTTGTGGTTGGTTGTGTAGTGGTGGGTGGGGTGGTGGTTGGCTGTGGAGTGGTTGGTGGGGTGCAGGTAGTTGTAGTAGGTTCTGGTGTTGTTGGTATAGGAGTTGTACTGACTGTGGTTTCACCTAAATTTATAAAAAATTTATTGTTTTATTTTTTATAAGATGTTACACAATTTTGATACATTATAAAGGAAATCACCTTCACCTGCCATATATGGAATTTCATGACCTACTTTACTTTCTACATACTACATATATACTAAACATACCTACTATGTTTTATCGCAGCTGTTACAATTTTCCAACATTAAATACGACCAACCATGGCTAACTAAGAGGATAAAAAAATCATAAGTACTAAATAAAATGAAATTTATAATTTGTGTTACTTCTTTTTTTCTTTTCAGGTTGTGAAAATTTTTAATGTTCAATAAAAGTAATAATAAAAAAGGGCATATGTTTATAGAGTTAGCGGTATTAGTTCATTTGAAAATTGCATGATTGCCCTCCAAAAATTGGAATGAATAGGAGCCTTAGGTTCAATGGTTAAGACACTGGTCTATCAATGCGAAGAACTACGATTCTATTTCAGGAGGCAACTTAAATATTCAGATTGTAGGGAACCAGTTCTTTTGGGAAGTAAATCTGATCAAACGACCACGACGCAAAGCTGTGGTGCATTAATCTCTACGACCCCTCTTACATTGATTGCTTTTTACAAACCTACGTCACATAGTTTATATTAAAAATGTTGATAAGTAACGTTAATAGTGGAAAATTTCTTTTTGTAAGGATGAGAGTGGATGAAAGAGGATTATCTAAGATTTTCAAACACAATGTATTAGCAATCAAAATGGGTTACACATGGCTTAGAGCAGAATTCTCTACCTATGGTAACACATCGCATGCTTACACCATCAGCGTGTGGAGAGTCATAGGAGAAGGAAATACGTTTGTTTGTGTCTTGTGATTTTCAAACAGATTAAAAACCTTTAAATTAGGAAACTACATTGAACATAGTTCTAACAGAAACGTTGTGGAAATTTTAAATGATATATATGACAACTGAATATGCAAAGTATTTAGAATGGGGAAAATATCGCAGTGCATTTTTATACTACTGAGAAAAGGATGACAGGGAAGGGTCAAGACATGGAACCGGTCTTCTCCCTAGATGTCGTACATATTTGGGGCATTTAGGGTCTCTGAAGCCCCAAATAATTACCTGACAAAAGACACAACAAATATCTCGAATAATGGTTGTGACTCTAGTGATGCCCATTAATATGTAATTTAGAAAATATGTTTTTTTTTTCTGATGAAAATTAGCGATGGCATAAAATTTGAAGAAAAAAAGCAAAGTGTTTCATTTTTAGAAATAATATTCGAAAAAGAAATATATGTATACTTCATTGTATAATAAAAGCGTATTCGCTTGATCACTAAATATTTTAAATTATCCTTCGTTATTTTGCAGGGGTACCTTGAGAGGGTGAATACTTAAGAGATCCAGCAAAATTATATAGCTAAGGCTCCTCAAAGTCTTGCGACCTGGAACTTAAAATGAATATTGTAAATATTTGTATGATCACAAGGAAAAAAACTCTTTCACTACTTGTTGGTCTTTTCCTGGATCCACAGTTCACATATCTCTCTCTTCTGCAATGTTTACTGACTCCGTCATAGAGAAAATTCTTTTCACATCTTCTCAAACTTGGAACAAAGAAAGTGCATATGTAGTACTTGGAACAGTCATTTGGATCAGGAAAATATCCCCTGACTTTTGGACACGTGAATGAATCATCTGTAACATACAGAAAACACACTATTAACCTTAAAAGTATATTTTTTATAAGATGTGCAGGGCATTTATGTAAAAAAAAAACTATTTGCTCAAGTTTTGTTTATAAACGTGCTTATAGAAATTTTCCGAGAAACTATATTAACAGTTTTTAACTAATCCAGTGTGCTCAAGTGCATGAAAGTGCCATGTTTGGTATTTACTTATTTCTATGGCAACTTACTTTACTTATTGTAGGTCTTTACTTCAAATTTGTTTTTCACTTAATTTTATTATTATTATTTTATTGTTTTGTTTTTACGTATTAAAGTTAGGAGACTATATGAAACAGAGAAATGCGTGGAACATACTTCTAAAAGAAAGCATCGAGTAAATTAAAAAAAATATTTGTGGCAATTAAATACGAAAATAATTAAGAATAGTGAATATCGCAGTACATTCATATACAGCTGAGAAGAAGAGGAGAGGCAAAGAGGGAGGGTCAAGACGTATTAGAACCGGTCATCTCCCCAGATAGCTTATTCGAGTGTTGAGATCATAGAGGTGGCGAATAATGGTTTACTAAGTCTTCGACTCGGGTGTATCAAAAATGACCATTGAATTGAAAATTAATAAAAGAAAAAACGGAAGTCGATAGATATGTAAGATTTGCTTTTTTCAGATCTGAATGTAAGATTTATATTTACACCAAAACTCAAAATTAGTTACACAATTTGATAATAGATGGCGCTGCTGTCTGAAAAAATGATAATTGTAAAAAAAAAAGAAAGAAAAAAGACATCATTTGTAGCGACAACGTGGTTTTGCCTAAGTACAAACTAAGTAGGAATCCGTGAAAGTATTTCAGTTGGAATAGTCTGAAGTGCATCGACGTGGTTTGGCCAAAGTAGTAAGTCGTATAACTAAGTAGGCATCAGTTGGATTAGTCTGAAGTGTAGCAAAATGCATTCTTTAGGTTATCACCCAATCAGCAGTTTAGGTAGCTTTTTTTAAGCAAATGTAATGAAACTTTTTTAATAAATTTTTTTATTTAAAAATTATATGCTATGAAAAAATTAAACAAAAACATTTACCTATAGGAGTTGTGGTTCCAACTACCCCATCCGTCGTCTTTTTGTCGTCTGAAAAAGTAATTTTTTTGTTTTACGAACGAGGTACAAGGATGATTTTGATGCAATTCTAGACAATGAATAATAATTAAAAAAAAAAATGGTGCATAAAATAATTTTTCTTTACTAAAGTTTTTTTATTTTTTTTTTATTTCCAATGAGCTGCACAATCGGATTTGCCGATGAGCAGACCTAGTGCGTTACTAAAGTTACTCTTTACTAAAGTACATTTTACAAAATTTTTGTCAACGTAGATGAGAGATCACAAATAAATATTTAAGCAAGAAGAAAACACAAACACCTAATCAAAATTTGTTGATACAAAGCATGATTAAACCAGTTGACTATAGGAAGTTTGAAATTTTTATTGATATAATTGTCTGAGCTGAGGAGGATTTGTATATATTGTGCACATGAATTAGCATTTCTAGAGTTATCTAAAATCACGTATTTAATTTATTTATAGTTATGCTTATAAAGCGCGTTTCTACGAAACTAAATAACTTAAAACCAACATTAATTGAAATAAAAGGAAAAAAGACTAAGCTATGTACCAAAATTCAAAATTAATGGATAAACGATACTTATCCATTAAAGGGAACCACACATTAATAATTCTACATCATTTTTCGGACACATGGAACAGCACATTATCTTTCTATACAACTCCGTATCCTCGTAATTTTGAACCTAATCCAGAAGACAAGGGAAATGAGGGATCAAGCAGTTGGGGCTGGCTAGACTTAGCGGAAGACACATTTGTTGGCTATACCATCAGCCCGAGAGGAATAAATACAGTGGAAAATTGCTTGCCTGTGGAAAATGTTGACTATTATGAGTTGGCTTCAAGCAACAGTGTTATAAAAAATGATTCTAAATATAGTTAATTTTCATTTTAAAGTGGTGAACTTCTAAAAAAAGAGAAAAAGCGTGATTTTTTAAAAAAATCTAATGACGTGAAACCATTTGGAAGGAGAACAAATAATAATAAACTAAAAATAAAGAAGAATTATTTAGTTTTGTTTATTATGTCAGTATATGGTCTTTAGTCTTGTGCATGATTTAGTAATGTTTTTCAACACTGATACATTGATTGTTTGCTTGCCTCCCCCAACAAGAAAAATGGGTTTTCAGCAAGTATATTTTATAAAATGAGAAATAGGAATTTGATTAGTGCAGTGAAAAAATATACTTTGAATATGATAATAACTCACCACTTCCGTCATCACATACGGCAATATTGAATGGTAGACATACTTTTCTGTACCTATCAAAGCGTTTCCTTCCTTGACAGGGTTTCCACATGGAATTCCAATTTCTGCACATGAAGTATGCTGAGCAATCTTCGATATCGGAGAATCTACCGTTGGACGATGGACATTTAAAGTTCTTCTGTTTATCCATGCTCCGGTCTCTGTTCCAATCCCAATACCTGACCCATTCTATGATATCTAGAGCATGCAAAAATGAAAAAAAAAATATGTAATATAAATAAAAATGTGTTTGGATATGGGGTAATTCCCCACTAGAGCATGAATAAATGGGCTTTTGTGAATAATTTCTTCAATAAAAATATGGTAAAAGTCTTACAAAATGTTTTTATAGGCAATGGTTAATTAACTGTAATTTTCTACCCCTACCCTAATCCCCATGTAAGATAATCATTTTAATCACCGCCACAATTACCTTCTTACTTTCCTACACAAAATTTTCGATAACATAAAATTGCTTTGCAAATACCAGACAGTTATAATTAATCACGATTTAGAAATATTAGTTTGCCCATAATTTACTGGTCAGAAAACGCCCTGAGCTCGAGTTATTCTAACCAGAAACTGAAGGACCCTTAACCGCGTAGTGCAGCTGAGGCCGAAGTCGTTTGGCTTCACTTCTCTATAAATACTCCCCCCCCCTCAGTGATACATTTGTATCTTTGCTTTTTGAAACTTTTTCAACAACCCACTCTGTGAAAGGGGTTATTCTGTCTTAAATTCTGTATCAGGGTTAAAATCGTTGTTGCCTGGCTAAAGCTGTACAAGCAAAACGATTCCATATCTTGGTTGGTTAGGAAACAATAAAATTCTGTACCAGCAAAAAGAATCCATATCTTGGTTAAAAAATTCTGTAAACTGGTTATTCTGTAAGCAGGACAATTCTAGACAAGCAAAACAATTCCGTATCTTGAATAGAAAAAACGAGGTAATTCTGTACTAATAAAGAAAGATACATCATTTAACAATATTTTTTCAGATTAATAACTGTTTGCATACAGAAAGAAATACGTCAAATATTTTTTAAATTTGATTTTTCATTAAAATTATGTGCTATTGAACATTTTCTTAGAGTTTATATTAAATAACCATTGCTTTTTACTGCATAAAGTTAAAAAAAACTGAGAAGGATTTTTTTAACAGAAAAAAAGCGAATTATAAAAACATAAATTATTCCTATATATGACCAAAGCAACCTATAGTTTTTTGAAGAAATCAACCGTGTTAGCCATGCATAACAACCACGCATAACAAAATTTTTTTTTAATTTCCCGGAAAGTACATTTTTAGAAATATTTAATTTTCATAATGAAAATTAAATATTTCTTAATTGGAATTTTTTACCAACGCACGATGTTATGAAGTAATTTTTTTTTAATGGGATGTTATAAAATTTTATGTGGGAAAATTTTCCCTCACAAGATGGTTTAAAATTTTATGTAGGAGCTTTCATCTTCGCAGTATGTCACAAAGTTTTATTTTAGGATTTTCCTCCTCTATAGGGTGCTGTAAAATTTTATATTAAATTTATCACCCTCGGGCTGTTATACAACTTTATATTGATTTTATTACTTTCCAGATTGTGATAGCTCATTTATAAGCTCAAAAAAAATATTCAAGGATTCTTAATTTTCCCAGGTTGTTATGACACTTTTTGTATTTTTTTTTTGTCTCTTTCATGCAGTGTTATAAAATATTTTGTAGAGACTTTTAACTTTTATAAGATAAAATTTTGTACTAGGATTTTTCACATTCGTAGAATAATACTATAAAATTTTATGTAGGGATTTTTCCTCCTTATGGTTTGTTAAAAATTTTATGTTTAAAATTTTCACCTTCATTAAAATTTTATACATAAGTTTTTTAGTTTTTATATTGGTAGTTGTGCATATTATAAAAATGTATATTGGAATTTTCCCTTTCCCTAGATTATTTAATAATTATGCAGTTCTTTTCAAAGATTGTTTTAAAATTTAATATGGGGATTTTTCACCTGCATGGATTGGTATAAGATTTTATGGATTGAAAGATTTGCCTTTAAGAAAATGTTATCAAATTTTATATAGAAATTTTTTACCTTCAAAGCAGATTATAAAGTTTGATATAGTGTTTTTTTCCTTCGTGTTGTTCCGTTTAAAAGATAAAAGAAAAGAAAGCTTCTGAACACCTTATAAAGGATAATACTGAACGGGATGCAAATCATATGAGATAATGAAAAAGTACTATAAGACAGCAAAAAAAAAAAAATAAAATAAAAAAAAAGCACAAAAACACTAACGATGTAATAATGCATGGTAATCATACAAGATATTAAGTAATGTAATAATTATTTATAAAACTATACTTACTATTACTTTCTTCGGAACGCTCTTCAGAGCTGCCTCTAGATTTTATAGTTGAAGCATCCACATGTGAATCCAATAAAAAGATGCCTATAGCTAAGCACAGTACTGTTCCTGGAACAAGTAAAATTTTACATACATTTCGCAGAATGTAGTATTGGAAATTTTAACTAAGCAGCAAATGACTATACTAATAAATTTCAGTTTTTAAATAAAATTATTTAGAAAGTTGAATATATTAGCCATTAATTTAAAAAGAGTAGCTTGTAAAATGTAACAATTTCCCTTGAAAAGTTTAAGATATATAAAGTAAAACTTGAGTATTTTTAACTGATTTTTACTTCATTTTTTTTAAAAGTAGAATAATATGATCTGTGATATTTTTGCAAATTTTAAAGAACAATTTTTTTAAATGTATGGAAACATCAAAAAATAGCAGAACAATTTTTTCCATAACGAGGAAACCACTTTATTTGAATAACTTAACCTTAATAAACTAAATATAATATATATTTTTAGAATGAGTGTCAAAAGTAAACTAAAATAAAGTTTACGAGGTTAGGGGTCACAAATAAATACACTGAGGAAAAAAATCTGGTACACCTGCTTGATGCTGTGAAACCTGACAACGAGTCCATGCCACGTCGTGACGTGACATGGATTCACTGATTGCTGCTGGAGGGCATTTCGGGGCAAATTCATACTGACTGTGAATCCCACAGGCTTACAAAATGAATATATCGTTCTGGTGATCTCTTCGGAATTGCACTTTGCAAGACCATGCTAAATGATCCTCCATGTCTGCGGATTCAGGTGTTAAGTCTAAGTCAGAAGATAATGTTCCTGTGTAGCTACTCTCAACGTGCAGAGTTATCTCATTGTTCTTCTGGTCTTGTTAAACTCCTTCGGAAATTGAAATGAACATGAATGGTCTGAGATTATTGAATAGAATACTTAACTACCAGTCAGAGACATATCAGGGATTTCATATCCTGCTAATTCCATACCCGCCATATCACGAAGAGGCTCCCCTGACCTGAGCATTTCTTTTTTGACATGAAAGATCCATGAATTCATGACGTTAACTTCATATTTACGCACGTACATTCATTCCATACAGTTTGAAGCGAAACTCGCCAGTCCAGACAACATGTTCTTGGATATACATCAACAGTCCAATAGATGAGTCCTTGTCAATAATGTTTCCTTAAATAGTTCAGCCGCTGACACTTACTGATGTCCAGCATTGAAATAAGGGACAATTTAAGGAAGGGACGAATGTTCGCCTCTCGTAATGATAATCAATCGTCGATGGTCTTCTTCTGTCACAATCGATCCAACTACAAAGATGATCCAGATTTTTTCATGCTTTACCGAATTCTTAACATTTAGTTTGCACTTATAAAATGGTTTTCCTAGATGACTTCAAAATTCTTATATATTTTTATAAAATTTTTAGAGTTATAAATAGTTTATTATGAAAAAAAATTCCTGGTTCATATTTATTGTTTTATGTCATATAAGAGAAGTGGCCGGTCATTTTTAAAACTGCACAATAAATGACACTACCACCTTTTTAATACTGCTTTCATGATTAAGTATGTGAAAACAATCATTTTAAAAAACAATCTAGAGATAAAAGACTTTTGGATTTTACAAAGGTTTAGAAATTTTTTATGGTGTCCAGAAAGCTACCAACAATTTAAATATAATTAGTAAAGCTTTATTAATTGATTGTTATATACTAATTAAGTTTAGTGTACCATATATGAATCATGATGTCTTAATAAAAAATGTTTTTTTGGAGTAACGTTAAAGAGAAAAAAAATTCAATCATGTAAAGTTTTAACAAATTTTTTTAGTTTAAAATTGACTTATAAGATCACCTCCTTGCTAAATTTGAAAGAAGAACCCTGCTTAGAAAATAAGACAGTATATTAAAAATTGATTATTTAAGTTGGGTTCTAAAACTCATAATTTAAGTCTCGAATCTGATATATCATTTATAAAAATTAAACGATTATACAAAATTTGAAAATAATACTAAAAATAACAAGTGGAAGAAAAACATTTAAAATGTTCATTCTTTCTTTTGTTCGTTGAAATATTTCCTACAAATGTTCTTTAAAATGTTCGTTCTTAAAGATAATTATTTAAATTGGGTTCTGAAGCCGAAAATCTAATTCGTATCTAATATATCATTGACAAAAATTAAAAAATTATTCAAAATTTAAAGATGAGGCTTAAAATAATGAATAGAAATTTTTTTAAAGTATTTATCCTTGAAAAATAAATTCACAAAAAAATCATACATCTGACGTCAATAAAATCGAAGGTTTATGATTTACTATTAGCTAATGATATTTTAAATAAAAGACTCAATAGTTAAGTCAATACTTTAATATAGTGTTTCATTAACTAAATATTTATACTACTTGAATAAAATGCTCTCAGCATTTTAATATTTTTTAAATTCTGAAACTATAAGAAATCTTGTAGCATAATGTTCGCAATATTAAGAAAAAAATGCATAAATATTTAATGTTATGCATAAAGTATTTTCTCAAAAATTAACTAGGTTTTTAAAGATTTTTAATTTTCCAGTATATAAATATTATTTGCAGTTGTCTGTATTTCATTATTTAATCAAATCCATCGTGGCGCGAATTGATTTTCTTAACGACAACTTCATTTTTTAAGTGAAAATTAAATAAAATAAATCTAAATATAAGTAAGCTTACCTGCAATTGGTTTCGAATTCAAGTATTCCAGCATATCAGAATCAATCTCTCAAAACTTGTTATTCTAAAATGAATGAATTATTTTCAATCACTCTAAATATTGATACTTGAAAACAAATTTAAAAATAAATTTGAAAATGAAAAAAGAAGTCTAATTTGGCGATAAAGATAAGAAACAATACCTCCCCGTTCTATTCTAAGATACAAAGAAGCTTCTATTGATCCCTAATGAGAGAGATATTTCATGTATCTCGTCATTATTTCTTGCGACATTATTTATTTACTATCTTTGAATTCAATTGATACAATCAAAATTTACACTTCAAATTATTTCTAAAAAAAGGATTGACATAGTTATCTTATGCGGAAATGCATGAAATTCTCTTAAAATTTTGCTTTTCGTAAAATGATTATTACTCACATTCTTAACAAATTATTAGAAAGCAACGTCCCATTTTAAAGGTTTAAAATACTTTTCAGAACACGAGTTAATGATTGAGAGCCTTTGAGTACTATTATTTTCTAATTATTATTTCTTCGTTATTAAAATATGAGAGGTTACCACATTCTTGAAAATAGGATCTTAATCAGTTGTCGGAAAAACTACATTATTTTTGTCGATTGCTACAACTACTACAATTTTATTTCACATGTACCGGAATAGCTCATAATATTAGATTACATTTGAGAAGCTGAACATTTAATGTTATTCTAGTATTAAAAAAANTCAATGAATCTGAGAAAGAGAGAATCAATTGGAAGATTAACATGTGATTTTACAAATCTATATTCTTGTAGAAAAAGAAAAATATTGCAGATGTTAGTACTGAAATTATTTCCCATGGGAATACCATTAATTTGTTGAAAAAGGTGGTCATTGAAAAGAATATAATTGTTGTTAAGGTTAATATGTACTAGAAAGTTCCAGTTATCTTCATTAATAATATCACTGAGATTAAACATGCTATGAATTTGAAGAAGGTCATCATGAATTTTATTAGTTGGAAGGGAAGTATAGAGGTTTTCGAAATCAAAACAGTGAATTGAATCTACATTTTTTAAAGTTTTTAGTGTATTTAAAACCTGAATGCTATTTTTAATATTCCAATTTAAATAGTTATTATTTTTAGTAAGTTTATTAATTTTGTTATAAACTTTTTTAAGAATGTTCTCAAAGTAAATACCGATTTTTTTCATGTTACTATTAACGCCACTTGCAATAAACCTGAATTTGGTTGGAGTCTTATGGAATTTTGGATTGGCAAAAAGAAAAGGAAAATTGTTAATATTATTTGGTTTAATTTTAAGTCTTTTATAGATAGCATTAATTTTATTAATAATAATATCACTGTTGGTGTTAAGTTTTTTGTAGGTAATATTGCTATTAAGTTCATTGGAAAGAAGTTGTTTGTAAAAAAATTTTCAAATAATTGCAAAATTATTACTAGCTTTATCAACAGTGGTAATACAAAATTTATTTTGAATATTTTTAATATCTTGTCTTAGAACAGAGTTAAAAATTAAATCCTTATGAAAAATTAATTTGTCCCTTTTAATATTGATTTTAAAATCTTTAATGATATTCTCTCTCCATTCAAAGATTACAAATCTATATTCTTGTAGAAAAAGAAAATTATTGCATATAATTATTGCATATAATTATTGCATAAATATTGCATAGAAATATATATATATATATATAACAAAACAAGGAAAATATATCATCTCTCAGACAATTATATCAATAAAAATTTCAAGCTTCCTATAGTTTATGTTTTTTATCCTGCCGAATTTTGATAAAGTGTTTATGTTTTCTTCTTGCTTAAATATTTATTTGTGATCTCTCATCTATGTTTACACAAATTTTGCAAAATGTACTTTAATAAAAGAAGATATTTTATGCTCATTACAAAGAGTGTCGTAAAGAAATGCCGTAAAGAAAAAAAAACATTCCTATTATATATATATATTGAAATTATAGTTTTAAGATTTCTACCAAAATCTAACAAAGTTTCTTTTAAGAATTAAAAGATGATAAATTATTAATATCAAGACAAAGGGGAAGAACGGTTTATTTCCATCCGTCACAAAAATGTTAATTGGATTGCTATCTGTCGCGTGTTGAGGATTATTGAGTTTTGACTAATCAATAATGTGAAAAAACGGTATTCCCTTTGAGTTATTACATAGTGAAGATGTGCCGTGCTGTGGAAAAACTTTGCTTTTCGCGAGCAAAATAGTTTTTTCTCCGAATGAACTTTTATGGGCATAAACTATTTATCTACGGTGTTCTACAAGTATTAAAAAAAGTGTAAAATTATTCAGATGAAAATTTCCAAAGTTTTCTGAAATACTCTCTATGATTAAAATAAACAAAAAAAAAAATGAAAAGGTAAAAGAAGGAGAAAAGAAAGGGTAAATTGATTTTCAGTAAAATACAATTTAAACTGAAAATGTTATTGCTACACATTAATAATTCACTCGAAATTCTAGGCAAGTACAGATGAGTGACAAATTTATGGGAATACTTTTGCATTAATTTTATAAAAACAATCTTCCTTTTAACAGCAAATGTTTTGGATGTTGGTATAATTTAAAAGATCATGCTTGAAGCTCTTAGATATGGTGTCGTTTTTATCCATGCTAAATTCGGATAGACCAAAATGAGGAGATGGAAGTTAGTAACTTCTTTTTTGCTTTATTACTAGAAATTTTAAAATAATTCTATGGGGATGAGATATTTATATAAAAATTATTTTAGAATTATTGTGTTATTAAAAAAGGAAAGAAGTTTTGAATTTACTATGCTCATTTTGGCCTGACTCCAATTTTGCATGGGTAAAAAGGACACCGTTTTTAAAATCTGAATCATGATCTTTCAAATTGTGCCGACATTTTCAGCATGTAAAATTTTCCAAAACACCTGCGCTAAAAAGAAGGTTGTTTACATAGAGTTAACATAGAAGTGTTCATATTATTTTGTCCCCGATCTGTATGAATGATTTTTCCTGTTCGTGTTCTTTTCAGTAAAAGGAGAGGAAAAATACTTCGCAAATATAAAATTAAAATATTTTATATATCAGTTATACAAAAATCATTGAAAATAAGAGTTTATCATGAAATATTTCATTTAACACCAAGTTTTCCATTTTCGAAGGAAAAAAGGTTGAAAAAGTCTGAATATCTCTATCTTCCTATTTAAGATCAAGACTAATTGAGTTTTTCAAAGTGTCTAAGTTCCTAGTGAACTCCACTAGCTCTGAGTTACGAAAATTTCTTCATTGAATCAAAAATAAGCAATTATTATTTAAAAAAATATATGTAATAAGGTCCCAGTCTAGCTAGTTTTCGATTAAATAAAGTTTTATTCCAGCAGATATTACTCATATTATCTTTTACATACGTAAAAACGGTCGAAATTTCTCTTTACGCTTCTTCCTCTTTGTCAGAGCAACAGCCCTTTGCAGTCCATGGCTACATCAACAGCTGACAAATGCCAACGTCTCCTATCCATGGCAACTCCCCTCCAATTTCTAATCTTTAGGGCTTTCAGGTCATTTTCGATGTCGTTGAGTCACCTAGTAGGGGTCTACCTATGGGTTGTGACCCTTCGGGGTTCTTAAAGGGGACGATTCTCATGGCGCTATTTTCAGGGCATCTCTATAGATGGCCCAGTCATCCCAGCCTGTTATTGTGGATTATTTGTGAAATTTGGGGCTGGTGCTTATGCAGTCGGTAGAGTTCGAAGTTTTATCTGTTTCGTTAGCATCCCCTTTCCTCAATTGCGCCAAAGATGGCTCTGATTGTCTTTCTTTTGAAGGTGTCCAGTGACAGCTGTATATCTGAATTTAGTGTCCAAGTTTCGCTTCCATAAAGCATTACAGAAAGTATGAGTGTCTTATAGAGTTTTAGTTTTGTTTTTCGGCTGAGAAGGTTGATTGTCTCCTTAATCCAAAGAAACACTTATTAGCCATTTTGAGTCTATTGTAGATTTCTACTCTAAGTATGGGTTGATCGTTAACAACAATGTCAAGGAATTTGAATGTGTTAACCGTTACAAAGGTATAACCATTAATACATAAAGGGGCACTGTAGTTTACAGTTGAGGACGAGTTCCCTTTACACTCATTGAGCAAATTTTGGGATCCTAGTCCAAACCTTTCGGGGACTTGTAAGAGAAACACATAGACAGTCACTCAAACTCTTTCATTTATTAGTAAAGCAAAATGAATTCTACAGCAAATATTTTGATGTATCAAACATTTATTATATTAAGATTTATTTACATAAAGAACAACAGTTTCGGTACTTTTTACATAATTATGAGCATAACTATGAAAAAATCGAGATATAAATGTGGTATAAACGGGGTATATTTTAAAGGTATAAAGGAGGTTGTTATTTAAATATGTCGTTAAGGTTGCAAAGGGTGCAAATGAATACCTCAAAATCAACCTCAAATATATCTTAAATATACCTCCAGAGGTATATATGTTTCAACCTGAGGTGCTTAATTTTACATCTGTGGAGAGGTAGATATTTACTACTTTAAAGTGTTTCATTTTCAACCTTAGGTTCTTACTTATCAGCCTGAAGTATATTTTTTTACACTTGTGGAAGTATTTATTCAACTACCTAAGGTGTGTCATTTTACACTTCAGGTTATTACGAATTAACCTCCGGTGTGTTTTGTTCGACTTCAGGTTATTATTTTTCAACCTCAGGTATCTAATTTTATGCTTGTAGAGGTATATATTTTTCATCCTATGGTGTGTCATTTTACACTTAAGGTTATTATAAATTTTTTATTTTATTTCCAATGGCAGATTATAGACAGTAACAGCATACATAAACATCTAAAAATAAGAACAGAAACAAAAGATGCTGCAACAGAGTCTATTAATCACAACAAGTCTCTAACTTCCCAATAGCATTCAGTGATAGAATACCTGCAAAGTGTAGAGCAGCGGAGAAGGTGTGTGGAGTCCATGTCCTCACCAGAACTGCAAAGAGTGCATACCGGGGAAGGAACGATACCAAATCTAGAAAGATGTTTCCGCAGACAGTCATGACAGGTGGCCAAGCGGAATTCAGCCACCGCTCTTCGTCTTGGGCCATTTCGCAAATTTAGGATGGTAGCTCTCCAAGACTTAGTGGAAGTATGGTCGATAAGTTCTTCATGAGCACAGGTCTTAAAGGTCCTCTTAATAAGCTGTTTGATGGAACAGAAGGACATAATGTGGGCAGAAGTCTGAATAATTAAGGCCCCCTTTTTTGCTAAGTAGTCTGCATTTTCATTACCCGTAACCCCGCAATGAGCAGGAACCCACTGGAGAACAATGGTTTTCTGAAGGGATGCTAGGTATTCAAGTTGGAGGCGGCAATCCAAAATGTCTCGAGTTAAGGGATTATTTAAGGATGCAATGGCAAGCAAAGCAGCTCTTGAGTCACATAGGACAAAATTTTTTTCAAAAAGATCGATATGACACTGTAACTGGACTAGAGCTATTCGGATTGCAGCTATCTCTCCATCAAAAGCAGATCCCTGTCTCACAGGGGCATAAAAGGAAAAATCCTCGGAGAAAACTCCGGCACCAGCATTAGGAGGGTTATTATAAATCAACTTCAAGTGTATTTTGTTCTACCTCAGGTAATTATTTTTTAACCTCAGGTATCTAATTTTATGCTTGTAGAGGTATATATTTTTCAACCTATGGTGTGTCATTTTACACTTCTTGTTATTTTAAATCTACCTCAGGTGTAATTTTTCATAGTTGGAAAGGTGATTTTTTACTAACGTGAGGTGTATTATTTTCATCCTCAAGTATAGGTTTTTATGCTTGTAAAGGAATTTTTTTTAATCAAACTAAAATATGCCATTTTTCACTTCAGGTAATATTTTTTAATGCCAATGCAGGTAATTAAACATAATTAAAATGTTTCACCTTAGACTGTTAATTTTAACCTAAAATATATATCTTTTCACTTGTAGAGGTATTTATTACTCGGGAGTTTTTAATGTTACACATTAGGTGGTAATTACTTATTAACTTTCTACGGTCTGTCTTGATTTTCGCTGCTAATCCTAATGCTAAGAAACTATTTTCTAAGCACATAGGTAGAATACAGAAGAGTCTTTCTTTCGAAAGAATTTTCGACTGATTTCCATGTATTGTGTGAAAAAAAGTAAAATGTAATGCAAAGAATCTATCCCTCTTTAAGTCCATCCATCTTATACAACCCATTAGAATTTATTCTTTTTCACACAATTCAGAATAGGAATTTTTACTTAACGCCTTTAAGTTATAGTTTGTGAACTTTGAGCTAAATTGTAATTAAATAGTACATAAAATTTATTAATCCTGAATTAACATGTAGAGTTGAAAAATGTTAAGTATGCTGACACATAAACCTTAAAAGAACATTTCAAATATGTAGTGTTTTTGTAATTTTAATAAGTTCAATTAAATTATAGTGAAAAGAGGATACATTTGTTACAAAAAAAGGCGGGAACTCATTTATATAGGATAGATGTTAAAGGTGCTAATTTTTTTCAAAAGCGAAATAACAGCAAATTTAAATAATTTAGCCAGCTTACATATAAAAACTTTTATTAACAAAAAAAATAAATTTTTCGTTCAAGAAATCAAAATTTTAGACAATTACTCTGCTTCATCTGCAAGTTGAAATGCTGTGGTCACGTTATTTGAAGCACTGGAACCTATAAATAAAAATTTGAATTAGCGAGAGTCATATTTACATTGATAATGACAAATTTTAAAAGATTGGAATAATATTTTAGAGCTTATTTCGTTGCATAAACTTCCATTGCCGGCTATTTTCCCCTGCCGGCTATTTTCCATTGCCGGCTATTTACACGCACGCCATTTGCCGGCTAGCACGGAGTGAGCTAGTTGATATGAAGTGTACTTTAAACAACCTTAGGTATAAATAAAATGACTTCATACACCTCAATAAATACCTCACTCTCTTTAGTTGAAAAAAGGTATATTTTTTATACCTCGTAAATACTTCACTCTCGTTAGTTAAAATAAGGGAAATTTTTTTATACCTCATAAATACCTCTTTTGTTACAAGTGTAAGAAAAACAACCTCGTATACCTTAGAAATCAACTCATTAGTCTGGTTGATAGCTGGTATAAATAAAATGACTTCATACAATTCAAGAAATACCTCACTCTCTTTAGATGAAAAAAGGTGTATTTTTTTATACCTCGTAAATACCTCACTCTCGTTAGTTGAAATAAGGTAATTTTTCTTACACCTTGCAAATTTTTTATACCTTAAAAACAACCTGGTATACATTAAAAACTACCTCATCATTCTGGTTGATATGAAGTGAATTTAAAACAACCTCAAAATATTCTTAGGTATAAATAAAATGACTTTATATACCTCAATAAATACCTCACTCTCTTTAGTTGAAGTAAGGAAAAAATTTTTATACCTCAAAAATACCTTTTTTGTTACAAGTATGAGGAAATCAACCTGGTATACCTTGAAAATCACCTTATCAGTCTGATTGATTTGAAGTGAACTTAAAACAACCTCAAAATGAGCTTTATAAATAAAATGACTTCATATACCTCTATAAATACCTCACTCTCTTTAGTTGAAATAAGGTAAAAAATTTTATTCCTCAAAAATACCTCTTTTGTTACAAGTGTCAGGAAATCAACCTGGTATACCATGAAAATCAGCTCATCAGCCTGGTTGATTTGAGGTTGATATTAAACAACCTCAAAATAAGCTGAAGTATTTATAAAACAACCTCGTACATCTTAATTACAACCTTTACGAGGTATAATTTTTATTGCTGTTTTCACAGCAACTTTAAATATACCTCAAATCAACCTTTATACCTCAAAAATACCTCAAATCAACCTTTATACCTCAAAAATACCTTTAAATCAACCTTAAATATACATACCATAAATTTTCGTAAGGGGTTGGCTGTATAGTGGTGGGTGGGGTGGTGGTTGGTGTGTACTGGTAAGTGGGGTGATGGTTGGTTGCGTAGTGGTGGGCGGGTTGGTGGTTGGCTGTGTAGTGGTAAGTGGGGTGGTGGTTGGTTGTGTAGTGGTGGGCGGGGTGGTGGTAGGCTGTGTAGTGGTAAGTGGGGTGGTGGTTGGTAATTTGTCAGTGAATCAAATGACATTTGCCAGTGAATCAAGGAAAAATAATTATCTAAAAATGTGCAATAAATTCCCATAATAACTTGTTTTTAAATAAATAAAGCTTCAATATTACTGATGTCATCTTTTACATAATTGGAGAGAAAGTCAAAATTTCCCCTTGCACCCATTATCCAAATTTTAGGATCCTAGTATGAACCGTTCAGGGGAGCTATGAGTGANCCTTTACGAGGTATAATTTTTTTTGCTGTTTTCGCAGCAACTTTAAATATACCTCAAATCAACCTTTATACCTCAAAAATACCTCAAATCAACCTTAAATATACGTACCATAAATTTTCGTAAGGGGTTGGCTGTATAGTGGTGGGTGGGGTGGTGGTTGGTTGCGTAGTGGTGGGCGGGTTGGTGGTTGGTTGCGTAGTGGTGGGCGGGTTGGTGGTTGGCTGTGTAGTGGTAAGTGGGGTAGTGGTTGGTTGTGTAGTGGTGGGCGGGGTGCTGGTAGGCTGTGTAGTGGTAAGTGGGGTGGTGGTTCGTAATTTGTCAGTGAATCAAATGACATTTGCCAGTGAATCAAGGAAAAATAATTATCTAAAAAAATGTGCAGTAAACTCCCATAATAACTTGTTTTTAAATAAATAAAGCTTCAATATTACTGATGTCATCTTTTACATAATTGGAGAGAAAGTCAAAATTTCCCCTTGCACCCATTATCCAAATTTTAGGATCCTAGTATGAACCGTTCAGGGGAGCTATGAGTGAAGCACAGAGATAGTCGCACAAACTTTCATTTATCAGTACAGCATAGATATTGAATTCGGCAGCAAATATTTTTGTCATAAACATTTATTATATTAAGATTTATTTATATAAAGAACAGTATTTTTGATTCTTTCTACATAACTATGAACCAAAAAACCAAGTATTACGTTGAAATTAAAATAAAATAAAATGTTTCTTCTTCTTCTTCATCTTATGGCGTAGCGTAAGTTCTCATTTGTTCAGAATACACTAACTTCTGACCACACTTCTTCACTAAAGGTTTCCAATTCTTACAGAAAATGAAGAGTTTATTGCTACTTGAACTATGAGTGAAACACAAAGATAATTGAAACACAAAGATAATGAATTCTGCAGCAAACATTTATTATAAACATTATGTAATAAACATTTATTATTTATTATTATTAAACTTTATTTATATTTATATAAAGAACAGTATTTTTGGTTCTTTTTACATAACTATGAACCAAAAAACCGATTATTATGTTAAAATAAAATCAAATTAAAAATAAAATTAAAATTTTTTTTCTCATCATCTTATGGCGCAACGCAAGTTCTCATTTGTTCAGAATACACTGATTTCTGACCACACTTCTTCACTAAAGGTTTCCAATTCTTGCAGAAAATGAAGAGCTTATTGCTACTTGGATGGCGATAGGCTCCAATTGCTTCTGGGCATTCAAACCATACAGAAATCTCTCCAGTTTCTTTAATGATGCAATCCAAATCATCCTCATCACAATCTGTTTCAGGAGGCCCAGTTGGTTTTGGAGTTGGAGTGGAATGCTGTGGAGTTGTAGGTGGGGTAGTGGTTGGTTGTATAGTGGTGGGCGGGGTGGTGGTTGGCGGTGTAATGGTAAGTGGGGTGGTGGTTGGTTGTGTAGTGGTGGGCGGGGTGGTGGTTGACTGTGTAGTGGTAAGTGGGGTGGTGGTTGGTTGTGTAGTGGTAGGTGGGATGGTGGTAGACTGTGGAGTGGTTGGTGGGGTGCAGGTGGGCAGTGGAGTGGTAGGTGGGGTGCAGGTAGGCAGTGGAGTGGTAGGTGGGGTGGTGGTCGGTTGTGAGGAAGTTGTAATAGGTTCTGATGTTGCTGGTATAGGAGTTGTACCGACTGTGGTTTCACCTAAATTTATTAAAAAATTATTGTTTTATTTTGTATAAGATGTTACACAATTTTGATACATTATAAAGAAATTCCCTTCACCTGCCATATATAGAATTTCATGACCTACTTTACTTTCTATCATCTATAAACATACATACTATGTTTTATCGCAGCTGTTTTAATTTTCCTATATTAAATACGACCAACCATGGCTAACTAAGACGATAAAAAAATCATAAGTACTAAATAAAATGAAATTTATAATTTGTGTTATTTCTTTTTTTCTTTTCATGCTGCGAAACTTTTTAATGTTCAATAAAAATAATGATAAAAATGTACATAGGTTCATAGACTTAGCGATATTAGTTCATTTGAAAATTGCATGATTATCATCCCCCCCCATTGGAATGAATTTTGCATTTTCATTTATAGACAATTTACATTTTAGTATTCAGTACTTTCTATTTGAGTTGCAACATGCTGCATATCTGGGGAGCAACGATGGTTCAGTGGTTAAGACACTGGTTTATCAATGCGAAGAACTACTATTCTGTTTCAGGAGGCAACTGGAAACCCACCCATATTCAGATTGTAGGGAACCAGTTCTTTTGGGAAGTAAATCTGATCGAACGACCACGACGCAAAACTGTGGTGCCTTAATCTCTACGACACTTCTTGCATTGATTGCTTTTGACAAGCCTAAGTCATATAGCATATATTAAAAATGTTGATAAGTATCGTTAATAGTGGAAAATTTCTTTTTGTAAGGATGGGAGTGGTTGAAAGAGGATTATCTAAGATTTTCAAACACAATGTATTGGCAATCAAAATGGGTTACACATGGCTTAGAGCAGAATACTCTACCTATGGCAACACATTGCATGCTTACACCATAAGCGTGTGGAGAGTCATAGGAGAAGGAAATACGTTTCTTTGTGTCTTGTGATTTTCAAACAGATTAAAAACCTTTAGATTAGGAAACTACATTGAACATAGTTCTAAGAGAAACGCTGTGGAAAATACACTGAAGAGCCAAAAAAACTGGTATACCTGTCAAATATTGTGTAGGGAAGCACGTATCGAAAGCCCATATTGATGATGTTTCGTTGAATGTTTCGCACGCTGACACTTGTTGATGGCCCAGCATTGAAATCTGCTGCAATTTGTGGAAGGGTTGCACGTCTGTCACGTTTAATGATTCTCGTCAATCGTCGTTGATCCCGTTCTTGCGCGATCATTTTCCGACCGCAGCGATGTCGTAGATTTGATGTTTTACCGGATTTTCGATACTCACGGTATACTCGTGAAATGGTTGTACGTGAAAATCCAAATTTCATTGCTATCTCGGAGATGCTATGCCCCACCTCCCGTGTGCCGACTATAACACCACGTTCAAACTCACTTAACTCTGTATAACCTGGCATTGTAGCAACAGTAACCAATCTAAGAACTGTGCTTGACACTCGTTGTCTTATCTACGCATTGCCGATCGCAGCGCTGTACTTTGATTGGCTCCATACCCTTTTATTTGCATACTCATGACTGTACCAGTTTTTTTGGCTCTTCAGTGTATATGACAGTTGAATACGAAAAGTATTCAGAATGGGGAAAATATCGCAGTACATTTTTATACTACTGAGAAAAGGAAGACAGGGAAGGGTCAAGACACGGAACCGGTCTTCTCCCTAGATGTCGTACATATTTGGGGCATTTAGGGCCCTTGAAGCCCCAAATAATTACCTGACAACAGACGCAACAAATATCTTGAATTATGGTTGTGACTCTAGTGATGCCCAATAAAATGCAATTTAAAAAATATGTTTTTTTTGTTGATAAAAATTAGTGATGGCATGAAATTTGAAGAAGAAATGGAAAGTGTTTCATTTTTAGAAGTAATATTTGAAGAAAAATTAATGTATACTTCATTGTATAATAAAAGCGTATTCGCTTGATCGCTAGATATTTTAAATTATCCTTCGTTATTTCGTAGGGGCAACTTGGCAGGGTGCCCTACCCAGTTAATTATATAGCTAGGGTTCCTCAAAGTCTATCTACCTGGAATTAAAGTGAATATTGTAAATATTTGTATGATCACCCGGAAAAAAACTCTTTCATTACTTATCGGTCTTTTTCTTGATCCACAGTCCACTTCCCTTTCTGGTTTGCACCGTTTCCTGACTCTGTCAAAAAGAAAATTCTTCTCGCAACTCTTCAAACTTTTTTTAAAGAAGGCGCATTTGTAGTATTTGGAACAGTCATTTGGATCAGCATAAATTCCCACGAAACTTTTACACTTGAATGGAGCTGCTGTAACATACAGAAAACACACTATTTACCTTAAAAGAATATTTTTATGTAAACTGTGCCGGACATTAAAATAAAAAACTATTTGCTGCTCAAGTTTTGTTTACAAATTTGACTTTTAAATTTTTTTCAGAAACTATATTAACAGTTTTAAACTACTTCATCTGTTCGCATGTGAATGAAAATGTCATGTTTTTTACTTATTTTTATTGCATCAACGACAATAACATTATAGCTGAAGTTTTTATTGAATGCAATGTTCGAATTTCGATATTTAGTTGGAAAATTCCGTACAATAACGTATTTTTGACGGGTTTGTTAGAATATAGTGATTTACTCAAGTCTGTGTCCCGGGTGAATCAAAAATGACCGTTGATTTGAAAATCAATAATAATAATAACAAAATTAAAAAAAAAACTTAAGGAGATATATGTAAGATTTTTTTTTTCTGATTTGAATGTAGTATATATATTTTCACCAAAACTCAAAATTAGTTACACTATTTGATGAAGCCATTTGAGAAAATTAATAATAGTAACTAATTCAGTGTGCTCAAGTGCATGAAAGTTTCATGTTGGTATTTACTTATTTTTATGGCAACTTACTTTACTTATTTTAGGTTTTTACTTCTTTCTATTCTTTTCTTACTTAATTTTATTATTATTTTAATGTTTTGTTTTTACGTATTATTTAAATTAGGAAACTACACAGTCCAGTCACATTAATATGACCACCTGTCGAAAGCCAGAATAACCACATTTGGCAGAGTGGACTGCTGCGAGATGTGCAGGAAGAGAGCCAGTTAGGTTTCTGAAGGTGTTCACTGGGATGTTGAGCCATACCGACCCCAGTGCCATAGCCAACTGCGTTAGATTACGCGGTTGAGGATATGTGGCGCGAGCAACCGATAGAGGTGGTCCCACAGATTCTCGATTGGGTTTAAATCCGATGAGTTTGCTGGCCAGGGAAGTACGTTAAACTCATCCTTGTGCTCTTCGTACCACGCACAAACACTGTGAGCTGTATGACACCTTGCATTATCCCGCTGGTAGATGCCATCATTCTAAAGAAAAATCATTCGCATGTAGGGGTGAACATGATCCGCAAGGGCAGATGCGTACTTGTGCTGATCCATCGCTCCTTTCACAATGATGAGTGCACCCAGTGAATGCCAGGAAAATATACTCCAAACCATAATGCTCCCTCCTCCAGCCTGGATCCTTCCGGCAATTGTTGCAGGGTGTTTGTTTTCAGACGTTTCATGCCGTATACGCCAACGTACATCTGTCCGATGGAGCATAAAAAGTGATTAATCGGCAAAAACCACCTGTCGCCATTCTGTGGGCGTCCCGTTGCGGTACTGGCATGCAAATTCCAGCCTTCGTCGCCGATAAACAGCAGTCAGAACAGATGCATTAACCAGGCATCTGCTACGGAGGCCAATGCGCAGCAATATTCGCTGAACCGTTTTTGAGGATACACACTTGGTAGCCCTTGGCCCGAAAGCCAATAGTCATGCCCTTTTGGACGTCGGATAAATCGCTACGTTTTTGCACTACGCCAACACTTGAAATGCTTTCCGATGCCCTAGGACATCCTTTATATACACTCTACTGTAATATGCTGCCACCTGCCTTCTGTGATTGGTTATTTCACGTTGACGTCGAAGGTAGGTGGTGGTCACATTAACGTGACTGGACTGTGTATATGTAGCTGAAAAATGCATGGAACATACTTCTAAAAGAAAGCATCCAGTAAATTTTAAAAAAAAATTATTTGCGGCAATTAAATACGAAAAATATTAAGAAGAGTGAATATCTAAGTACATTCATCTACAACTGAGAAGAGGAGGGGAGGCAAAGAGGGAGGTTCAAGACGTAACCCCAGATAGCTTATTCGAGATTTAGGATCACGAATAGTGGTTTACTAAGTCTGCGATTCGGGTGTATCAAAAATGACCATTGACTTGAAAATCAATAAAAGAAAAAATGGAAGCAGATCGATATGTAAGATTTGCTTTTTTTTATTTATCTGATTGTAAGATTTATATTTACATCAAAACTCAAAATTAGTTACATGATTTGATAATAGATGAAATCTCTGAATGATGAACTCTAAAAAAATGTTAATTGTAAAAAGCACCATTACTTGCAGCGACAATGTGGTTTGGCCAAAGTACAAATTAAGTAGGAATCAGTGTAAGTATTTCAGTGTAGCAAAATGCACTCTTTTAGTTTTCCTCTAATCAGCAATTCAGGAAGTTTTTTTTTAAGCAAATGTAATGAAACTTTTTCAATTTATTTTTTATTTCAAAATGATGTGCTATGAAAAAAATAAACAAAAACACTTACCGCTAGGAGTTGTGGTTCCAATTACATCATTCGTCGTTTTTTTGTCATCTGGAAAAATAATTTTTTTGTTTCACGAACGAGATACAAAGATGACTTTGATGCAATTCTAGACAACGAGCAATAATAATAATAAAAAATGATGCATAAAATATCTCCTTTTACTAAAGTACATTTTACAAAATTTGTGTCAACATAGATGAGAGATCACAAATAAATATTTAAGCAAGGAGAAAACACAAACACCTTATCAAAATTCGCTGATACAAAGCAGGACTACAAAACCAGTTGGCTATAGGAAGCTTGAAATTTTCATTGATAGAATTGCCTGGGAGATTATATCTTTTCCTTGTTTTGTTTACCGGCTCTTTATATTTTTTTCCATGTCTTTTTTTAACTATGCATACAAATATATATATATATATATAAAAAAACTGCTGTTTGTAGAAAATGCAACACCATGAAAGAATCATCAGAATCAAATGAAATTTAATGCAGAAACGACTTGTACTGATACAAATAAATGATGAAATTTTCAAAACAAAAGAAACAAATTAAGCGTCCGAAATCAGTATTTGGTGCAGCCACCACGCGCTGCAATAAGTGCTGCTATACGACGTGGCATGGAGTCAAACNAGCGAACATGTACCATTTGAAGGATCTGGATAACTACAGTTCAATAAATATGATATGCAAAATAAGAACTATCATTTTGAATTGTTAGTTTAATAGTTAAGGAAATGATGCATGAGCTGAACTAATTACAATAAAACTTAAATAATAAGTATTTTACATAAAGGATTTCAAAGCTGTTTCACTCAATACTAAGCATGCCTGTTTTCTTCTCAGCTACAAAGAGGAAAAAAAAAATCTTATGACATGTTGTATTAATAAATTTTTCAATGAAAATAAAATGACTTAATTCATGTGTGTTGTAGCAGCTACAACTATTCAGATCTTACATCATAACAATAAACTGAAAAAACATATTCCCTTTTATGGATACATTTTTAATTAAATATAATTTATTAATTTCGGAAAATTTTAAATAAAAAAGAAAAACATTTGTAATTTTTATATTTCGACTATATCAGGGAATATTAGATATGAATTACCCCTTACTTTTCAACTCAAGCATTTAAAGTGGTTGCAAAATTTAAACTTTAACATTTCATTATTAGTTTAATTAATTTAATTTTAACTTATATTTACTTAAAAGTTATACACCGATTATTTAATTATTGCATTACTGCCACTTAAAATATTGTGAAAAATGAGAATTTCCAGTTTGATAAGTATGTCATTCCAACAGAAATATTTTTGTAACACAGCATAATCATAAAATAATGTGAGGAGTTTCGATCCTTATTACTAAAAACCTAATGGAAACAAATGTATACATTTATTTAAAACTATGAAGACAAGACCTTGGAAATAATGAAAAATGAATTGCAAAATAATGCTAGCCACTTGAAAGAAATTTTATTTTTCATTTAAAAAAAATTTAGTTTATTTACACATTTTAATAAAGGAATTGTCATTGTGTGATCTTGTTTGGCCTCCAGATTTGATCTAATTTAATTCCGCAGTCTTCTAATTAGTAATTCCAAAAAGTTTCTTCGAATTTAAAGTCTTCAGAATAATCTAAATTTTTTTAAACTATTTATTTAGTTACATTTATTAATATCTTGCAAACAGCAGTGTAGTTTATTAACATTTGCTCAAGAAAAAAATAAAATAGAAATTCACCCCATTTTGAATGCCAGGGAAATGACACATTAGTTTAGAAATTTAAAAAAAACAATCATTTTAAACTATTAGTAAGTAACAAAACCTATGCCTTTATGTTAGGTTGACCATGAATAACTTAAATTAATTCTTTTATCTACTGTAGAAAATATCAAAAAATTTTTTGTTGCTGATATGTACAGAATAAATTGTGTAATATAATCAATCATTAAATAAATAAATAACTTTGATTACATTCAATCTTATTACAATCATACATAAACTTGGTATTAGGTCAATATTTGCTTTCCCTTTTTACAGTATTACCAGTTAAAAAAAATCTGATAACACTTTGATGTCCTGGTATTCATAAGCCAGGAAAATGACAGCCAAAATAATGACAAATTCGCCATTTTATAGCATGTAACTTTACTTCAATTTAATATTTCGGCCTAAGACGTTTATATTCTGCAGAAAACAACAAGATTTCTTAAAATAACTCAGATAAATCTATGTACTTTATGTTCAATGATTTCAAGAAGCCAGGAGAATGTCAACATACTCACCTTGAAATATTTTTTTAAATAGATTTTGAACCAGAAAGTTGGTTCTTTATTCATGCAACAAGACATGTTAACTTGAATTAAAACGAATTTTATACCTAACATTTTTTTCTCACATCATTTTTTTCAAGTGTGTTTCTGAAATCACTGATATTGATACCATAATGTGCAGATTAATTTTAATGTAAATTTAAATCCCATTTTTTTCTGTTATCGATGTATTTTGTACTGTATGTTGCAATTTACCACACATTCTAAGCTTAAAAATTACTTCTGCAATAAAGAGAAATAGAAGCAGTTACCATTATTTCCAAAAATTTTTATGCTTCTTACTCTCATAATGCAAAAATTATTCGATAATAAAAATTCGAAATTTCATGCACATTTAACAAAACATTTAAAGAACATTTTGAAATGAAAATGTTATTTTTGTATGAATCGATTGGCTTTTGAATCATTAAAATGTTTTGCAAATAAAGTTACAAGTGAATTTTTTGCATCCACGTATTCTATCTAAAGATATCATGCCCCGTTTTGAAGGAACTTCGAAATGGTTATGCCCATTAAATTGCGAAATTCGAATTTTTTTAATTGTTACATAGTATAATTTTACAGACCAAAAAAGGGCAATTTTAAACAGGGGACTTGATGTTAATATGTATTATAAATAAATACAAAGAGGCTTTTAAAATTTCTCCTTATGATTCCTTTTTCTTCTTAAAGATGTTTTAACGTGAAAATTTATGCTCGGCAAAATGCTAATTTCTCCATTTGAGAAAAATAGTTCATTGGCTTGAAACATAAAATTCAAACAATATTGCTAAAATTTGTAATGATTTTTCAATTTATTTTTCTTAAATTTTGTATTTTGACATTTCAAATTGCATTCTTTTAAATGATGGAAAAATTGTATACTTTATATTTCTGAAGTTTTTCGACTTTCATTAAAGAAAGTAATAATAAATGTTTACTAAAAGTTATATTTCGCATAAAATTATCTTTAGAAAAACGAATAGGAATTAATTGATATGATTGGAATTGCATGCAAACTTTTTTCAATTCGTTTAAAAAAAAAATTGGGATACAGTCAAATACGCAGGAACCAAGGTTAACATTAGAGGATCCAAAATTCAAAATTCCCCTGACCCCCTACTGGCACGGCACTTGAATTCACTGATAGTTTGCTCTCCCCCCCCCCCAATAAGAAAAAACGGGTATTCAGCAAGTATATTCTATAAAATAAGAAATAGGAATTTGATTAGTGCAGTGGAAAAATATCTATTGAATTTGATAATAACTCACCACTTCCGTCATCACATATGGCAATATTGAATGGAAGACATACTTTTCTGTACCTATCAAAATGGGTCCTTCTTTGACAGGGTTTCCACTTGGATTTCCAATTGTTACACATGAAATATGCTGAGCAGTCTTCAATATCGGAGAAGGTACCGTAAGACGATGGACATTTAAAGTTCCTTTTATACTTGTCTCGGTCTCTGTTCCAATCCCAATCTCTGCCCCATTCTATAATATCTAAAGTATAAAAATATGAAAAAAATTATGTAATATAAATAAAAAAATTTATTTGGATATGGGGTAATATCGCACTCGAGCATGAATAAATAAGCTTTTATGAATAATTCCTTTAATACAAATGTGGTAAAAGTCTTACAATATGTTTCTATAAGTAATGGTTAATTAACTGTAATTTTCAACCCCTACCCTCATCCCCAAGTAGGATAATCATTTTAATCATCCCCACAATTACCTTCTTCCTCTTCCCGCACAAAATTTCGATACTATAAAATTGCTTTGTGAATACCAAACAGTTATAATCATGATTTAGAAATATTAGTTTGTCCATAATTTCTTGGTCGGAAAACTCCCTGGATTTGAGTTATTCTAACCGAAAACTGAAGGACTCTTAACCTCGTAGAGCAGCTGAAGCTGAAGTCGCTTGGCTCCACTCCTCTGTAAATACTTCTACCCCCCCCCAGAACCTCAGTGATTCATTTATATCTTTGCTTTTTGAGCGTTTTTCAGTAGCCCACTCTGTGAAAGGGGTTATTCTGGCTTAAACTCTGCATCAGGGATAAAATCTTTGTTTCCAGGTTAATTCTGAACAAGCGAAACGATTCCGTATCTTGTTTATAAAACACAGTAAATCTGGTTAATCCTGAATGTGTAAAACAATTCCGTATCTTGATTAGAAAATTCTGTAAATAGGGTAATTTTGAACGAGCAGAATGAATCAGTATCTTGGTTAGAAAAGAATAAAATTCTGTACCAGCGAAACGATTCCATATGTTGGATAATTTTTCACCTTCATAGAATAATATTATAAAATTTTATGCATAATTTTTTTCTTTTTTTATATGGGTAGTTTGTGCGCATTATAAACGTTTATATTGGAATTTTCCCTTTCCCGAGATCATTAAAGATTTATGAAGATTTTTCAAAATTAAAAACTTTTATCGAATTTTATATCAGAATTTTCTTTTTTCATCGAAAGTTAAAAAGTTTTACATTGAAATTATTTCTTTTCAAGGAATGTTATGAAATTTAATATGGGGATTTTTCTCCTGCATGGATTGGTATAAGATTTTATGCACTGAAAGATTTGCCTTTGAGAGAATGTTATCAAATTTTATATAGGAATTTTTTACCTTCAAAGGATGTTATTAACTTTGATATAGAGTTCTTTTTCATGTTGTTTGGCTTAAAAGAAAAGAAAGCTTCTTATAAAGGATAATACTGATCGGGATGCAAATCATATGAGATAGTAAAAAAGTACTATGAGACAGCAAAAAAAAAACAAAACACAAATACACTAACGAAGTAATAATGCATGGTAATCATTCAAGATATTAAGTAATGTAATAATTATTTATAAAACAAAACTTACTGTTACTTTCTTCGGAACTCTCTTCAGAGCTGCTTCTAGATTTTATAGCTGAAGCATCCACATGTGAATCCAATGAAAAGACACCAATAGTTAAGCACAACACAGCGCCTGGACAAGCAGAATTTTATGTACAATTTTTAGAATGCATTATTGAAAATTTTCACTCAGCAACAAAAGACTATACCATTAAATTTGAGTTTTTAAATCAAATTTTTTAGAAAGTTGAATATATTAATCATTAATTTAGAAATATTTGCTTGTAGAATGTAACATTTCCCCTTGAAGAGGTTAAGATATATTCATAAAGTAAAATTTGAGTATTTTGAACTGATTTTACTTCATAATTTTTTAAAAAAGTTTAATAATATGACATTTCATATTTTTGCAAATTTGAAAGAATAATTTTTTTTAAATGTATGAAAACATCAAAAAGTAGAAAAACAGTTTTTTCCATAACGAGGAAACCACTTTATTTAAAAAACTTAACCTTAATAACCTAAATATATATTTTCAGAATGAGTATCAAAAATAAATTAAAATAAAGTTTACAAGGTTAGGTGTCACAAATAAATACACTGAGAAAAAAGAAACTGGTACACCTGCTTGATGGTGTGTAACCTGACAATGAGTCCATGCTATATCTTGAAGTGACATGGATTCACTGAATGCTCGGTTGAACAAGTTGTCTTACAGAATTGTTCGCTAATACTAGCGTCTCTCTCCATATATTTTAAAATTAGTGTCAAAAGTGAATTAAATTAAAGTATGTGCCTCAGGGGTCGCAAATAAATATATCGAGAAAAAAAACTGCTACACCATCCTGATGCTCTGTAATGAGACCACGTCATGTCCTGGCGTGACATGGATTCACTGATTGTTGCTGGAAGGCATTTTGGAGTTAATTCATACTGACTGTGAATCCTGCAGGTCTGCAAAATTCATATATCATGCTGGTCATCTCTAAGGAATTGCACTTTGCTAGACCATGCCAAATGATCTTCCACGTCTGCAGATTCAGGTGTTCAGTCTAAAGATAATGCTACTGTGTAGCAACTCTCAACGTGTAGAGGTGTCTCATTGTCCTTCTGGTGTTGTTAAACTCCTTCGGACTTTGAAATGAACATGAATGGGCAGAGATGAGTGAATAGAATACTTAACTACCAGTCAAGACACATGTCAGGGATTTCATATCCTGCCAATTGCATTCTCACCAAATCAAGAAGAATTTCCACTAGCCTGGGCATTTGCTTTTTGACATGAAAGATCCATAATTCATGACGTTAACTTCATATCTACGCACGTACATCCATTCGATACAGTTTGAAGCGAGACTCGGCAGTCCAGACAACGTGTTTTTGGCTATCCATGAACAGTCCAATAGATGAATCCTTATCAATAATGTTTTCCTTAATAGTTCAGCCACTGACACTTACTGATGTCCAGCATCGAAATAAGTGACAATTTGAGGAAGGGTTTAATGTCCGCCATGCTTAATGAGTCTCATCAATCATCGAAGGTCTCATTCCTTCACAATCCATCCAACTATTAAGAGGATCCAGATTTTCTGTTTTACCGAATTCTTAACATTCACTTCCCATTTATAAAATGGTCTTCTTAGATAACTTTAAACATCTTATACATTTTTTAAAACATGTTTAGAGTTATAAAGATTTTTAAAAAAAATTTCCCGGTTCGAATTTATTGTTTTGTGTAATATAAGAGAAGTGTCCGGTGTTTTACTGTCATATCAGTTACCCAATATAATCATTTTAAACTACCCAAAAAATGACACTACCGCCTTTCTAATACTGCTTTCATGAATCAATATTGAAAATAATCAATTTAAAAAACAATCTGGAGATAAAAGATTACTTTAGAAGATTTTTGAATTTTCAAAGGTTTAGAAATGTTTTATGGTGCCCAGAAAGCTTCCAACATTTTAAATATAAATAGTAAAGCTTTACTAACTGATTGTCATATACAAATTAAGTTCTGTGTACCATATATGAACCATGATATCTTAATATAAATGTTAACGCGTAATAAAAATATAATTTTTTGTAAGCGTTAACGTTAAAGAGAAAAAAATTCAATCATGCAAAATTTTAACGAATTTTTTTAGTTTAAAATTGACTTATAAGATTTCCTCCTAGCGAAATTTGAATGAACATGAAAAGAAGAACCCTACTTAGATGCTAAGACAGTATATTGAAAATTGATTATTTAAGTTGGGTTCTGAAACTCAAAATCTAAGTCTCGCATCTGATATATCATTCATAAAAATTAAACGATTATACAAAATGATACTTAAAATAACATGTAGAAAAAAAATACTTAAAATGTTCATTCATTCTTTTGTTTGTTCAAATATTTCCTGCAAAATTTCTTTAAAAAGTTCGTTCCTACAGATAATTATTTAAATTGGGTTCTGTAACCCGAAATCTAATTCTCGTATCTAATATATGATTGACAAAAATTAAATAATTATTCAAAATTTAAAGATGATGGTGAAAATAATGAATAGAAATTTTTTTCAAAATGATTACCCTTAAAAAACAAATTCATTAAGAAAATCATACATCCGAAGTCAATAAAATCGAAGCTTTATGATTTACTATTAGCTAATGATATTTCAAATAAAAGACAAAATAGTAATATCAATACTTTAATATAGTGCTTCATTAACTAAATATTAACACTACTTGAACAAAATGCTTTCAACATTTTAATATTTTTCAAATTCTGAAACTATAAGAAATCTTGTTGAATAGTGCTCGTAATATTAAGAAATAAATGCATACATATTTAATATTACGCATGAAGTATTTCCCCCATGACTCATTAGGTTTTTAAAGTTTTTTTTAGTTCTCCAGTATATAAATATTATTTGCAGTTGTCTGTATTTCATTATGTAATCAAGTGTATGCAGCGAATTGATTTTTTTAATGAGAACTTCATTTTTTAAATGAAATTTAAATTAAATAAATCTAAATACAAGTAAGCTTACCGATAATTAGTTTCGAATTCAAGTATTCCACCATTTTCGTGTCAATCTTTCAAAAATTGTTATTCCAAAATGAATAAATTATTTTCAATCACTATAAATATTAATACTTGAAAAAAAATTTAAAAATACATTTAAAAATAAAGAAAAAAGTCAAATTTGGAGATAAAGATAAGAAACAATGCTTCCACGCTTCCACATATTTGAAAAACAGATTTTAAATTTTTATCTTTATTCTTGTGAAATACATTTATTGAAGCAAACTGTTTGATTAAGAAAGCAATCAACTTGAAAACACCAGAAAACTGTAAATGAGAACGAGATATGTGGGAGAGGAACAAAAACAAATCTATTCTTAGATACAAAGAAACTTCTATTGATCCCTCATGAGAGATATATTTCATGTATCGCGACATTATTTCTTGCAACGTGATTTATTTATTATCTTTAAACTCAATTGACGCAATCAAAATTTACACTTCAAATTATTTTTAAAAAAAGAATTGATATAGTAATCTTATGCGGAAATATACGAATTTTTTTCCAATTTTGCTTTTCGTGAAATGATTATTACTCACATTTTTAACAAATTATTAGAAAACAACGTCCCATTTTAGAAGTTTAAAATACTTTAAAGAACACGAGTTAATGATTGAGAGTCCTTGAATATTATAATTTTTGAATTATTAATTCCTAACTATTCCAATATGAGAGGTAAGTACAATCTTGAAAATATGATCTTAATCAGTTGTCGGAAAAACTAGGTACATTATTTTTGTTGTTTGCTACAACTGCTACTATTTTATTACACATGTGTTGTAATAGCTCATAATATTAGATAACATTTAATGTGATTTTGTATAACTTTTAAATATTAGAAAGATAAAAAAGGTCGCTGTTTTTCTCTGCATTTTTTACCGTTAGATTCTATTCAAACTAATATTATGTAGCGTTCGCTGTAGTATTATTTTGCATTGGTTTTAAATAATATATATTATATTTTCCATTATTATATATATTATTATCTGTTGGGTTATATTTTCTGTCATTTTCTTAAGTTACTTTTTATTTTTGGAATAAGCAAGAGGAAGATTTGGATGGCGGTACAATAATTCGGTGATATAATTTTACTTAATTTTCTATATTGTTGTGAAGCAGTAAAATAAGGAACAATTTTAATGTCATTCCGTGCATTATTTACTGAGTTAGCAATACCGAAATACTAAAAAAAGTTATATTAACCAAATTCTGCTACCTTCCATTTTCCTCCCTCTTACTCCAAATTATTATTTTGTCTTCAGCTGATCTTCATGAACGAAAATTTCAAATTTAACTAAGAATTAATACTTGAGTTAATTTTGATATGTTTTTCTTTTTTTTAATAAAGCGTTTTCTGGTAAACTTGAAAATGATTCTGGTATATCATGAATCATTTTCAAGTCTTAAAACTTGTTTTTTTGTAATTTCAAATGTATTCTTAAATTTTTTTTTAGAAATGAACCAATTTTATCAAAATCTGATTTAAACTTGTTTATGAAACATATTTTCTAAAAGTCATTATTCTAGTCATCTCTCACTTACTTTAGTCATTTGTTATTTCAAATTTACCATGCATTTTTCACATTATGAAGTTATATAATGAAAATTTCACTAAATAGTTGTAAAGTTATAATTTCATTCAAATTGAGTGAAATTTATGCAAAAAAATTTTTTATTCCCATCTTAAAATATAACTACATTTTGTTATTTATTTTCGTGAAATAAAATTTTAGCTTCATTTTTTTATTCAAGCTTAAAATAAAATTATTATTTGAATTTTTGAATTGCTATTTTTGTAATAATTATGATAATAAAATAATTGAAATATAACCATTATTAAATATTACCCTATTAAAACTAAATTACTTACTATTATAAATTTTCTCAGTTTCATTTTGATTTATTATCAGTTTTATTTTGATTTATTATCAGTTTTATTTTGAGTAATATTTATTCAGTAAGAATAAATACTTACGTAACTTTATTTTCTCAGTCTCTGAATTTACCTAACGATAACCTGAAACATAATTCAAAGGCACCCGTAGACACTTCTTCTGAAAATGAAACCAGGATAGCATTTAAAATTTTAAAAATTGTCAATAATTTTTTTATATTGTCAGAATTATATTGCTGTTTAAACATGAACTAGAACTGATTAAAAACATAACTGAAATATTAAAGCACAAATTAGAACATAATGAAAACACAACTCTGTTTGATAAAACTACCAATACTAACATTAAAAACTTAAAAACTTTTTAATAATCTTAAATATAACAGTTCTGCCAAAATAATAACCATCATACTCAAGAACAAATGAAAACCGAAAAAATATCGGTGGCTAACTAGATTACTTAAAAAAATACAACAATAACGAAGGCATTGCAGAAGGTTAGTAATTTTTAACTTGTTAAAAATGTAAAATTTTTGTATTTTAATACTATTAGTATTTTGGCGGTGACTTGGGAATTTGTGGTAATGGCAGACTTTTACTGTATTTTATTTAAGCACTACTACGACCTAGAGTGCCTTCAGTGAACAAGAGTGACGTCAATGGGATGAAAAATGTTTTTTTCTTCTCCTAATCGATCATTTCATTAAAACAACGTAATATCTTTACAGTTTTTAACTGGTAATTGATTGACTTTTAAAAAATTGCTTTAAAAAATTGTTTTCTACATTGAAATTTTTTTGAAAATGAAATTAATATTTCAACAAAATTCTATTCTTAAATATTAGTATCATAAATTTATTTTTTAGTAATTAAACAAAAATTAAAATTAAGCAAAAAAAAAAATAATTTTTTTGAGAAATATATTTAAAGCTTGTTTTTTACTTAAAAACACAATATATCCATATAAATGAATAAATAGACATAGAATTATTGTTTTAGTATACATTAATTTATTTTGTTGTGCATGGGCAAGTAGTTTAAAATTTTAATATTAAGAGAGTATGTAATTCAAAAAATAATTATTTCTTTTCTTGAGAACATAAATAGCCCTCATTAATAACAGTGAATTTTAAGTATATGATATTAAGAATGTTCAATCTATTTTGAATTGTCAAAGATACATTTTGAAGGAGGATTTTAAACATTATATGGATATTTACGTATGATTATTCATTTAAAATTATTTTAAATGGTTCGGAAAAGTTTTTACTTGACGAAAAATTAAATTAGAGTGCAAAACTCTGCAGTAGACGTATACTAGAATGTAATAAATTCGAAAAAGTAAGAAAAATTAGCAATTTTAGATCATAACTTTTGACTACAATTGTAAAATAAGTATTTCTTAAAATAAAATCAAAGCATTCAAAATTGTATCTACCTTCTATTAATGAAAATATTCAGCTTTCACATCACTAATCATGCCTCCCGTGTTAAACGAATGGAGAAATTTTCCATTTAGCCTGCGGCGGTAAAAACTTAGTTTGCGCCACTCTTGTTCACTGAAGGCACTCTATTACGACCAGATCAAGAAAATCTGTAAATTTTAAGTACTTTTAGTGAAATTTTCACACTATGACCATTGAACCCATCAGAACATATTAATTTAAAGTTATTAGATTTTGGATTATTAATTGGCTTACACCACTGCCCAAACATTTAAAAAAACTTGGACTTCTTCACTACACTCTAACAAAGTCAGTAATATTTTTTCTGCAATTCATGTTACTTGATGCAACAATTTAGTTTCCCATTGTTGCTAAAAATGATGTCAATTTGTTCATATATTTTCTTCTACAAAGTGGGTTAACAAAATCATAAGAAAACTTGAAAAAGGAATTTATAAACAAACTTTTAACTTGCCCGGCACTAAAGGACATCTTTTTGTGTGAGCGTTACTGGCGCGCAGGAGACTTATTGGGTTCATAGACTTTTCTTGCCACGTCTGTTATTGTTTGTGTTTATTTATTCTGTTGTTCCTCCCTTTGTGGTGAGTGGTCTTTTGTAACCTTGGCCATTGGAAATAAAAATAAAAAAACTTTTAACTCTATAAATATTCACAAGGAAAAGAATTAGATAACATCGAAATAGTGTTATAACTATATATGAATCACAGAAATCTGATTGTTTATTATAAATGAAAAACTAAACATGGTGATTAACTGTAAAATTTTAAATTTTTTCGAAAACTTCAAAACAAAAGAAAAAACCGTCGTTTCTATATTCTTCTATTTCTATATTCCTCTCTCTCTATATATATGTATATTTATAAAATCTTAGGTTATCTGTGCTAAGTATTTTGTTGAATGTGGTTAACAAATTTTGTTACAATTGAGAAAAATGACAAATTACAATTTTGTAGCAAATCCATCAAATTTCTTACACATTTTCTTAATTTGAATTTTTAATAATCTGTCACATTCCACTTTGTGCTGAAGAGTTATTTATGACACAAATAAAATTAATGTGCTATAAGTTTTAAAATTAGCCACTTTAAAATCTAGAACTGATGCTTTATTTTTATATTAAGCAAAATATAGCTATGTACTACTTGCGCTAAAAAAATTAAGTGAGAGCAGAATATAGCTATGTTCTAGTCCATATCTAGTTTGGTATTATCATACCAAAATGGTTGTGGTATGATAATTGATTTTTCAGGGGGAGTTATTGCTATAATCAAGTTAGTTTAATAAATGCATAAGTAAAAACGGTCAAAATTTCTCTTTACAGCAGTGTTTCCCAACCTTTTTTGTACCATGCCCCACCTAAACCTTTCTAAAATTCTTATGCCCCCCTATGTAACATATACATAATTTTCAATATTAAAAAATTGAATTGTTCACTTAAGAAACTTAAAGGATAGGTTTTAGGAAGAAATCACTCACAGTAAGTAAATTTTCAAAACATATAATGAAAAACTAAAATTCAAATGCAAAATAATTTTAATAAAAAATTTTCTATAATTTAATATTTTAATTTAGTGAGATCCTTGCTCTTGATGCAGATTTTATGTTAGGTTCCAATTTGGTTAGCTTCGGTCTCAAGTTTCCCTGTTGTGTTATATCCCGACGATTTCTTTTTTTTTTACTAGTAAATCATTTACAGCACTAAATCCACATTCAGCTAAATATGAAGATGGAATCGGTAACAATAGTTTTCTTGCACATTTGATTGAATTTGGGTATTTGTTTTCTGTTTCCTCACAAAGCCATGACATCACTCCTTTCATATTAAATGAAGTTTTAACTGACTAATCATTTTGTATTTCTGCAAGTTCTTCTTGGTATATTTGATATATCAGACAAACCCACTAACATGGAATGCAACATCCATGTTGGAAAATAAATTTTTTTTAAATCAGAATATCTTTCTTTTAAATCAGCCAATAGAATTTTCAGATGATAGACAATAACAAGTAAAACGGTATCATTTACTTCACATTTTTGGAGCCAATGAAACTGTTCTAAGTTTTTGTTGTTAATATATTTCTGACATAACTCAACAAGGGTAATGGAACCAAATATCTTCGCCTTTGCATCAACAAGAGTTTTATTTGTTCTTTAAAGTTTCTTATTTAATATATTCAGTTTTTCAAAGATATTGACTGAATAACTCACAAATGCTTTACCATCAGCTGTAAACAGATACTTCATTTCAGGTTTGTTGCCTTAAAAATCCCTAAGTCACATAATATTTATTGTCCGCAATTATTCAAGAATTTGCTTTTTTCTTTCGATTTTGTCACCGAAATCTCGCATTGCATTTAAATGGCCCAGAGCAAAAGGTTTAAACTCATGTCGAGTCCATTTTTGAATTGCCCCTCTTTACAATCAAATTGCCCCAAATCAGGTGTCAAATTGTCCCCCCCGGTGGGGCGTTGGCCCCACGTTGGGAAACACTGCGTTACAGCCTTAATTTCCCTTTTCTTCTTTGTCAGCGCAACAGCCCATTGCAGGCCGTGGCTGCATCAACGGATGACAACCGCCAACGTCTCTTGTCCATGGCAACTCTCTTTCAATTTCTAATCTTTAGCGTTTTCAGATCATTTCCGATGTCGTTGAGCCACCTAGTAGGGGGTCTACCTCTGGGTTGTGACCCCTCGGGGTTCTTAAAGGAGACGATTCTCATGGCGCTATTTTCAGGGCATCTCCATAGATGGCCCAGCCATCCCAGCCTATTACTGTGAATTATTTGTGAAATTTGGGGATGCTTATAGAGTCGGTAGAGCTCGAAATTATATCTGTTTTGTCAGCATCACCTCTCTTCAATTGAGCCAAAAATAGCTCGGAGGCTCTTTCTTTTGAAGTTGTCCAGTGACCGCTGTATATGTGAATTTAGGGTCCAGGTCCAAGTTTCGCTTCCATAAAGCATTAAAGGAAGCATGAGTGTCTTATAGAGTTTTAGCTTTGGTTTTTGGCTGAGAAGGTTAATTGTCTCCTCAGTCCAAAGAAACACTTATTAGCCATTTTGACTCGATTGTTGATTTTTGCTCTAAGTATGGGCTGATCGTTAACAACAGTGCAAAAGGTATTTGAATGTGTTAACCCTTACAAAGGTACAACCATTAATACATAAAGGGGCACTGTAGTTTACTGTTGAGGACGAGTTCCCTTTGCACGCATTGTCCAAATTTCAGGATTCTAGTTCAAACCGTTCGAGGAGTTGTGAGAGAGACACATAGACAGTCACACAAATTCCTTCGTTTATTAGTACAGCAAAATGAATTCTACAGTAAATATTTTTTTGTCACAAACATTTATTATATTAAGATTTATTTATATAAATAACATTATTTTTGGTACTTTTTACATAACTATGAACCAAAAAATCCCTTATTACGCAAGGAAAACTTTTTTTTTCATCTTATGGCGTAACGCAAGTTCTCATTTTTTCAGAATACACTAAGTTCTGTCCACACTTCTTCACATGAGGCTTCCAATTCATGCAGAAAATGAAGAGCTTATTGCTACTTGGATGACGATAGGCTCCAATGTCTTCTGGGCATTCAAACCATTCAGGAATCTCCCCAGTTTCTTTAATGATGCAATCCAAATCATCCTCATCACAATCTGTTTCAGGTGGTCCAGTTGGCTTTGGAGTTGGAGTGGATGGCTGTGGAGTTGTAGGTGGGGTGGTGGTTGGCTGTGGAGTTGTAGGCGGGGTTGTGGTTGGCTGTGGAGTTGTAGGCGGGGTAGTGGTAGGCTGTGGAGTCGTAGGTGGGGTTGTGGTTGGCTGTGGAGTTGTAGGCGGGGTAGTGGTAGGCTGTGGAGTCGTAGGCGGGGTTGTGGTTGGCTGTGGAGTTGTAGGCGGGGTAGTGGTAGGCTGTGGAGTCGTAGGCGGGGTGGTGGTTGGTTGTGGAGTTGTAGGTGGAGTGGTTGTTGGCTGTGAGGTAGTTGTAGTTGGTTCTGGTCTTGTTGGTATAGGTGTTGTACCGACTGTGGTTTCACCTAAATTTATGAAAAAAATATTGTTATATCAGAGCTATTACAAAATTTCGTTATAATCAAAAAGAATTCAACTGCCGTGAAATAATTACCAGATTATATGGAATTTCATAACCCACTTTACTCTCTACCATCTATAAACATTCATTCTATTTTTTATCGCAGGTGTTATAAATTGTTTTCCATTAAATAAGACCAACTATGCTTGGGTAATGGCGAACTAGGCAGATAAAAGATCATGAGTTCTAAATAAAAGGATATTTTTTGTGTTATTTCTTTTTTTTTCTTTTCATGTTTTGAAAGTTTTTAGTGTTCAATTAAGAAAAATATGCATAAGTTTGTAGGCCTAATGGTACTAATTCTTTGGAAAATTTTCATAATCACCCCAAAAAATGGATTTAATTTGGTATTTTTATTTACGGACAATTTATAATTTAGTACAGAGTACTTTTTTTATCTAGGAAACAGCGATGGCATAGTGGTTAAGACTACTGGTATATCAATGCGAAGAGCTGCGATTCAATCCCTGGCTCCGGCTTGAATCCCGCTCATCTTCAGATCGGTGTTAACCAGCTCTTACGGGAAGTGAATCTGATCACATGACCACAATGCTGTTTGATCACAAAATTTTGAAGCTTTAATCTCCATGGCCTCTCTCGTCAGGGAAAGCTTCTTACATAGATTTCAAGTTATATAGTTTCTATTAAAAATTTAATTAGTAGCATCGGAAAATGTATCTTTGTAAGGATGAGAGTGGATGAAAAAGGACTATCTAAGATTCACAAATATATAATTTAGAAAAATATCAGTCACTGACAAATCTAGTTAGTGGCATTAAAGCTTGAAATATGTACCTGTCAACATACAAAACAATTATATTGAAATATGGTTATGACTCTAGTGATGCCCAACAATATGTAATTTAAAAAATATGTTTTTTTTAATAAAAAATAAGCTATAGCGTAAAAAAAATGTTCATTTTTAGGAACAATATTCGGGAAAAAATATATATACTTCATAGAATAATGCAAGCGAAAGTATTTAGTCCTTAGTTATTTTGTAGGGTCAGCTTAACAGGATGAATCTTTAAAAGATCCAGAACCTAGGGCTCCTCAAAGTCTAGCGACCAGGAATTAAAGTAAATATTGTAAATATTTGTATGACCGGAAGAAAAAAAACTCTTTTATTACTTGTCGGTCTTTTTCTTGATCCACAGTTCACTTCCCTTTCTGGTTTGCACTTTTTCTTGACTCCGTCAAAAAGAAAATTCTTTTCACATGTTTTTAAACTTGGAATAAAGAAAGCGCATTCGTAGTACTTGGAACAGTCATTTGGATCAGGAAAAGTTCCCATGAAGCTTGGACACGTGAATGAATTATCTGTAACATACAGAAAACACACTATTTACCTTAAAAGTATACTTTATATAAGCTGTGCAGGGCATTTATATAAAAAAAATATTTACTCCTGAAGTTTTGTTTATAAATGTGATTTTTGAATTTATATTTTCACCAAAACTCAAAACTAGTAATACTATTTGATGACGGATGGTGTAGCAACAGCGTGGATTGGCTAAAGTGCAAATTAAGTAGGCATCGATGAAAGTATTTAAGTTCGAATAGTCTGTAGAGTAGCGGAATACATTCTTTTAGTTTTCGCTCAGTTAGCAGCGCCATCTGCAGACGAATTTTGCCATTAATCATAAAAGTTAGGGTTAAAAAGGAATAAAACAGGATAAAATTCCGGTTTTCTATGGATAAATTAGCAAATCGTATGTCTTTACGATTTTCCTTAATTGCTTTTTTAAATCAATTGTCTTTTTTTGGGAGACCCCTAATCGAGATAGCATGCGATACATCTAAAGTTGGTCTCTCCCTAGAAGATGGATGACCCTAGAAGACTCTCTAAAGATGGATGAGGAGCTACATAAAGCTAAGCACAGGTGACGCATGCGGTTAAAATTCGTAATAAGACATCCGGGTTACTACCTCCGATTACTTTTTATCCATAAAAAAAACATTCCATCATCCTATATCTTTATCGTCCTTTTACTGTTTACAATATGACTTGTTCTATTTACCACTTAATGTGTTAGCCCATCTAATTTTAACTGCAGAAATAAAAAACTGAAGATAACATTAAAATAATGACAACCATTACACATTACTTACATCGTGATATTAATTTCCTAATATCGATCTATGTCTCCCATCCTTTCAGAATTTACAATTAAAAATATAAAAATCTAATGAATAACAACGTGCGAATTTAAATAGAAATCTCAATAAAACTTCCCAAATATAGCGCCGTCTCGTAAACAGAGCTCAAGTGGAGGTACACTATCAGGCCAAAAGTTTCCGGACACCCAGTGGTATTAATTTAGAACATTCTGAGGCACATATTAATTTGATGTTGGTCCCCCTTTTGAATCGATGACAGCCTGCACATGTCTTTCCACCAGTTTTCAATCGGGGGCCATATTAATTGACTTCAGGCTTCCATCACACCTGAAGTGAGGGCCTTCAGTGAGGAGGGTCGATTTGGCTGGCTGCGTAACCTGCGTTCTAATTCGTCTAAAAAGTGTTCTACAGGGATTTAGATTGGGGCTCTGAGAAGGTCAGTTCAGTTTTTATACACACATTTCCTCAAACCACGTATGTGCAAGCCTCGATGTGTGAAAGGAACAGTTATTCTGCAGAATGTACACATACATCTCAGAGTTCATGTTTCCAACCATAGACCGAAAACAAATCAAGAGAAGCATCCCCACTCCATTAGACTTCCACCACCATACTTAATAGTCGCAGCAATGCAGTCACTAAAGAAACACTCGCTCATTGTCTCACTCACTCATTATCTCACAAAGGCATAAATACAACCTGACAAACCACTACCAGCACTTTTATAGCTCTTGTTTACGCACCAAATTGCGTCCCCCGCCAGAACCACTTTTTTAAGGGGTGTCCGGATACTTTTGAGCAGATAGTGTATTCACTAGAAATTTTTAAATCTTCGTTCCTGTGTTAGATTTTTGTTATCGTTTACACATAAGTCTTCATCTATTTAATCATTTATTAAAATTTTAACAAAGTGCTAATGCATAAATTTAAAAAAATAAATAAATACTATGAAATTTTTACAACTTATTTATTATTTTAAAATGATGTGCTATGAAACAATTCAACAAAACATTTACCTTTAGGAGTTGTGGTTCCAACTACCCCTCTCGTTGTCTTTTTGTCATCTGGAAAAATATGACTTTGATGCAATTAGAGAGAAAGAATAATGAAGAAAATGATGCATGAGATATTCTTTTTTACCAAAGCACTTTTTTCAATATTTGTGGCAACATAGATGTTTCTAATTAAATTATGTATTACTTCTTAAAAAGAAAAATGAATTATTTTGAATGAATAAACGGAAGAAAAATTTTGCACGGGGAATTTACATATATAAAATTAAATAGATGATTTAAACTTTAATCTAAAATGAAAAATAAACTAATATGCAAGTGCTTCTGTAATTACCGTCCATAACGTATATTTTAGACAACTTTTTAAAAAGGAACTGAAAAAATACACACGGTTGTTACACTTTTTTGTTTTTATTATTCTTTTAAATATTGTTTTTAAACATTCAATATTCATGCTTTTTGTCTTCCTTTTTTGTCAATAATTTTGTAATGAGTGTAAGAAGTTTATTAATTTCCTTGGAGCAAATAAATGTTTTTATAAGAGAAATAATCTTTCTATTATATATTACACAGTTCTTCTCGACGCTAATAATCTGAGTAATTTGTTCGTATATATATATATATATATATATATTTTGGAACTAAGTAACTATAAAATACTGCAAGGTTGCAAGCAAATTATGTTTTTAGGCACTTATAACCTTCAAGGAAAAAAAAGGTTTACTTTGTGTTAAACTTATATAAAGCTAAACGACCTGAAAAAAAACTCAATATCACTTTAGCAGACATAGTTTCAGTACAAATGTGAAGAACTCATATTTTTTCGACNTATATATATAGAGAGAGAGAGAGAGAGAGAGAGAGAGAGAGATTCTATTTTGGGAATTCAAGGCTGAAAACATACCATTGTATTAATCAATAAATACGAAGGAAAGAATGAAAGAGAGATTAACAAAGAAAAGTAAGAAAATAATAATAAGGATTCTAAAATAATAAAAAGGATTCTAAATAAAATTAACTTTCATTTTAATGTGGAGAACTTCTAAAAAAAGACAAAAGCGTTTTTTCTTTAATCTAACAGAGCGAAACCATCTTGTATTAGAACGAATAATTATATGTTAAAAAAAAATGGAAATTTTTAGTTTTGCTTTTTTTGTCAGTATATGCTCTTTATTATTTTTTTTTCTTGCATGATTTAGTTGTTGTTGTTGACGTATGCTTGTTTAGGCAGAAGGGGTACGATTGTTCTTGTTTCTCAATGGCGCCATCTATGGCCAAGAATTCGACTTCTGTCACACCATACGTCGGACCCGTTTATAGGGTGGACCCATTCATCCATCCATTCATTCATCCGCAGATCGTAATTTTGACCTGAATCAGAGAACGATCGATTTCCAATCTAGTACCCCCAGAGGTATTGATTTGTTACGGGAATATGGAGGACTTTTGCCACTCGACAGATTTAACATGCATCAGTCACTTTACTTCACGGGGAGTCTTCGGCCGGCTGGGTTCGAATCCACGATCTCTCGGACATGGGCCTAGCTCCCTACCGACCAGGCTATCCCGGCCCTGTAATGATTTAGTAATGTTTACTAATACAGATCTATTGATAGTTTGCTCTTTTTCTTTCCTATGAGAAAAACGGGCATTTACCTAGTATGTTCAATAAAATCTGAAATAGAAATTTGATTAGAGCAATGGAAAAATATCTAGTGAATTTGTTAATAACTCACCACTTCCGTCATCACATACGGCAATAATGAATGGAAGACAAACTTTTCTGTACCTGTCAAAACGTTTATTTTTTTGACAGGATTTCCACTTGGATTTCCAATTGTTACACATAAAATATGCTGAGCAATCTTCAATATCGGAGAAGGTACCGTAGGACGATGGACATTTGAAGTTCTTCTTCTTTTTATCCTTGTCTCGGTCTCTCCAATCCCTATCTCTGCCCCATCCTATTATATTCATAGCATAAAAATATGAAAAAATGATATAATATAAATAAAACTTCTATTTTGATATGGGGTAATACCATACTAGAACATGAATAAATTCCTTAATAGAGAAATGGAAAAATACTTACAAATTGTTTTTATAAGTATTGGTTAACCAACAGTAATTTTCAACCCCTACCCCCATCCCAAAGTAGGGTAATCATTTCAATCCACGCCCCAATCGCACTCATTTTTTTTCATCACAAAATTTCGGTACAGTGAAATTGCTTTTCGAATACTAAACTGTTAAAAAATGCAATTTCGAAATATCAGTTTACTCATGAGTTCCTGGTCAGAAAATTCCCCGTACTCAAACCAGAAACTGAAGTACTCCTAGCACTGGTCATGCACTGAAGTCTTCTATTCCACTCCTCTGTAATTATCCCCTAGAAACTCAGTGATTCATTAGTGAAAGTCTTGCAATAAACCACGCTGTGAAAGGGGTAATTCTTTCCGAAATTCTGTATCAAGTTTAAAATCTCTGTTGCCAGGGTAGTTCTGTACCAGTTAAACGATTTGGTACATTGGTCAAGAAGCTTTGTAAACGGCTAATTCTGTAAAAGCAAAACGATTCCGTATCCTGGTAAGACAATTCTGTAAACGGAATAATTCTGCATTTGCAAAACACTTCTTTTTCTTGTTGTAATTCTTAAAGTGGTGCCGTGATATAACAAGTATTTTAAGATTAAAGACTGTTACTATAGGTTCGTATTACGTTAGAAAAAAATACGTCAAAATATTTTTTTTTTAATTTTTATTTTTCATGAAAATTGAGTGCTATTAAGCATTTTATTTGTAATATTTGTAATTAAAAAATCATTATTTCTAATTGCATTAATTCAAAATAACCGAGAAAGAGTTTTTTAACAGAAAAAAACGAATTATAAAAACATAAATTATTCCTATTTATGACCAAGACTAGTTTTTCAAGTTCAGTTTTTTGAGGAAATCAGCCGTTCATGCACAAAAAAAATATTTTTTCAATTTCCCTGGAATATACAAGTTGAGAAGTATTTAATTTTCATTGCATGTTATTGAATTTTAATTAGAATTTTTCACCTGCCCCTCGATTTTGAGAAGTAAATTTTTTTTTCACGGGATGTAATAAAATTTTATATAGGGAGCTTTCATCTTTACAGAATAACACGAAATTTTATTTTAGGATTTTCCTCCACCATAGGATGTTGTACAATTTTATATAAGAATTTATCATCTTCAGGCTATTATGACTTTATATAGTTTTCATTAACTTTCCAGAATGTTATAAAATTTTGTGTCGGGATTTTTCTCTTTCATAAGATTTTTTAAAAAAAATATTCAAAGGTTTTTTAATTGTCATAGGTTAATATTTTTTGTAGGTTTTTTTTTCTCTTTCATGCAGTGTATGATTTCTCCAGTGACAATGCAATGATCTTATAAAATATTTGAGACTCGTTAGACTTTCATAGAATTTTATAAAATTTTGTATTAGGATTTTTCACTTTCCTAGAATGCTACAAAATTTTATGCGGGGATTTTTCTTCATAGTCTGTTATGAAATTTCACGTTTGAATTATTAGACAAAGATTGAATGCTTGCAAGAGATGTTATAAAATTTCATTTAGAGGTTTTTTCTTTTTATATGGGTAATTTTGTGCGCAATATAAAAATTTATGTTGGAATTTTATGGAGATTTTTCACATTTAAAAGATTGAATTGAAATGGAATATTGGAATTTTCTCCTTTCATTGAAAGTTTTATGCATTGAAATAGTTGTTTTTGAGAGAATGTTATGAAATTTTAGACAGGATTTTTTCACCTTGAAATTATGTTGTAAATTTTGATATAGAGTTGTTTCATGTTATTTTGTTTAATAGAAAACTTATGAACACCTTATAAGGGATAATACTGATCGGAATTTAAATAACAAGATATAAAAAAATGTGCTCCAAGACACAAGGAAAAATTACTATTAAAGTATCAATGCATAGTAATCTTGCAAGATATTAGGTAATGTAATAATTATTTATAAAAATTTAATCTACGATTACTTTCTTCGGAATTCTCTTCAGAGCTGCTTCTTGATCTTATTGCTGAAGCATCCACATGTGAATCTAATAATAAGATGCCTATAGCTAAGCATGACATTGCACCTGGAACAAGCAAATTTTTATATACATTTTGAAGAATGCATTATTTAAAATTTTCACTAAGCAACAAATGACTATATTATTAGATTTTATTTTTTAAATAAATTTTTTTTAAGAAGGTGAATATATTACTTATTAATTTAGAACTATTAGCCTGCAGAAAGTGTAACATTTCCGCTTGAAAAGTTTCAGATACATTCATAAATTTTAAGTTAAGAATTTTTAACTGATTTTTACTTCATATTTTCTTTAAGAAGTGGAATATAATGCTATGTGAAATTTTTGTAAATTTAAAACGAATAATTTTTTTTAAATGTGTGGAAACATAAAGAAGTAGGTATACAATTTTTCCATAACGAGGAAATCACTTTATTTGGATGCTCAAGTGAAGAAATTTGTTTTACAGGACTGTTCATAATAACCGAAATATATATTTTTAGAATGTATGTGAAAAGTATATTAAAATTAAGTATACACATTAGGGGTCATAAATAAATACACAGAGAAAAAATTCTAGTACACCAGCCTAATGCTGTGTAACCTGACATTAACTTCACGCCAAGTCCTGACGGGATATGGATTCACTGCTGGATGGCATTTTGGAGTTAATTCGTACTGACTAAGAATCCCTCAGGTGTACGTAATCCATATATCGTGTTGGCGATCTCTATTGAATTACACGTTGCAAGACCATGCCAAATAATGTCTCATGTCTGCAGATTCAGGTGTTCAGTCTAAAGTCAAAAGATCGTTCCTTTGTAGCAACTCTCGATGTGCGGAGGTGTCTCATTGTCCTTCTGGTGTTGTTAAACTCCTTCGCACTTTGAAATGAACATAAATGGGCAGAGATTATTGGATAAAATACTTAACTACCAGTCAGAGACATATCAGGGATTTCATATCATGCCAATTGCATTCTCTTCATATCCTGAAGGGGTTCCACTAACCTGAGCATTTCCTCTTTGACATGAAAGATCCATGAATTCATGACATTAACTTCATATTCATACCCATACATCCATTCGATACTGTTTGAAGTGAGACTTGTCTGTCCATACAAAGTGTCTCCTCTACTCATCTGCAGTCCAATAATACTAATGAATTGTTTTTAAAATTCCTGTTACATATTTATTGTTTTGTGTCGTATAAGAGAAGTGTCCAGTCTTTTACTGTCATGTCAGTTACCTAAGATAATCATTTTTAAAAACGACCCAATAAATGATACTACCATCTTTTTAAGATTCCTTTTACGATTTAATATATAAGAATAATCATTTTAAAAAGCAATTTAGCGATGAAAGATTACTTTTGAAGAGTTTTGAATTTTCGAAAGGTCGAGAATTGTTTTATGTCATCCAAACCATTACCAACATTTTAAATATAATTAGTAAAACTTTATTAACTGATTGTCATATACAAAAGTTCTGTGTATCACATATGAGTCATGATGTCTTTTTTAGGCCTTAGTAAAAAAAAAACAAAAATTCAATTATGCTGTTAACGTTTGTTAACGAATTTTTTTAGTTTAAAGTTAACTTATAAGATCCTCGTAGGTCTACATTTAATTCAGACTTGATGATAATAGTGGAAGTATGTGCAGAATGAATATTAATTACCAACAATGATAAATTTTAATGTAATTTTTAAAAATACATGAAATCTGAAAATTACTTTCTGTCATTTAAATCCATTGCAATGCGAGCTCCGCAATTATTTGTTGAAAAGTACAGTGCCTAACTGAGGTGAGGAAGACGCAAATATGATAGTGGTTTAGGGTCTTGCATTTAAAGGACTCCAGTTATAACAGAAAAAAAAATCCATGCTTATGAAAGTTTTAATTTTTAAAAAAAAATTGTATGTAAAAATTTTATGTTTGTTTAAAAGTTGCAGGCATATTTTATAGCTTTTTTTCAATACTTTGCTCTTTAAAGGCCTTCACTAGATTTCTATTCATAAAATTTAGAACCCTGTGAGAAAATAAGACACTATATTAAAAATTGATTAATTAAGTTGAGTTTTGAAATTTGAAATTTCGCATCTAATTCATTATTTATAAAAATTAAACGATTATACAAATGTTGAAAATGTTACTTAAAATGATAAATAGCTAAAGTTTGCTTAAGAAATTTTAATTCTTTCCTTTGTTCCTTCAAATGTTTCTTTAATTAAGTTTTGAATCATAACATCTAATTCTCGTATCTAATATATAATTGTTAAAAATTAATTTACAGAATTATAATCAATTATCCAGAATTTGAAAGTAATACTTAAAATAATGAATGGAAATTTTTTTTCAATATTGGTTCTTTGAAAACAAATTCACGAAAAATTATTCATTCGATTTAATAAAATCGAAGTTTTATGATTTAGTAATAACTAATTGTATTTTAAATAAAAAACAGAATTATTTGCATGTCAGTAGTTTAATTTAGTGTTTCTATTAACAAAATATTATAACACTACTAGAACAAAGTATTTTCAGCTTTTTAATATCAGCCTTTTTAATCAAATAAGGCTATAAGAAATCTTGTTACATAATATCCGTAATACTATGAAATAAATGCATAAATATTTAATATTATGCATAAAGTATTTTCTCAAAAACTAATTAGGTTTTTAAAGATTTTTAATTCTCCAGTATATAAATATTATCTGCCGTTGTCTGTTCAGTATGTAATCAAATCCCTCGTGCTGCGCATTAATTTTTTTAACAACCTCATATTTTAAGTGAAAATCAAATAAAATAAATCTAAATATAAGTAAGCTCACCCAAAATTAGTTTCGAATTCAAGTATTCCACCATATTCGAGTCAATCTTCCTAAAGTCTTTATGCTAAAATGAATGAATTATTTTCAATCACGATAAAAATCAGTACTTGAAAATAAATTTAAAATAAAAAAAGGTTTAATTTGAAGATAAAGATAGGAAACAATACTACCTAGCTTCTACGTATTTGATAAACTGATTTTGAATTTTTATCTTTATTCTTGTGAAATACTTTCATGGAAGTAATCTGTTTGATAAAGACAGCCATCAACTTAAAAACATAAGAAAACTGAAATTGAGAATAAGATATGAAGACGATGAACAAAAAAATCTATTCTTTGATAGGAAGAATTTTCTATCGACCCCTTATCAGAGATATATTTTAAGTATTATGTCAATATTTCTTGCATCATTATTTATTTACTATCTTTGAATTCAATTGACAAAATTTGCCCTTCAATTTAATTTTTTAAAAAAGGGAGTCGCATATTTATCTTTTGCGGAATTATTTTTTTGTTGCCAATTTTGCTTTTCGTAAAATGATTATTACTCACATTTTTAACAAATTATAATGAAACAACTCCTCATTTTAAAAGTTTAAAATATTTTTAAATGCACGAGTTAACAGTTGAGAGTACTTGTATATTATAATTTTTGAATTATTAATTCTTGATAGTTAAAATATGAGAGGTAGCCTGGCAAATAGAATCTTAATCAGCTGTCGGAAAAACTGCATTATTTTTGTAGTTTGCTACAACTTCGACTATTTTATTACTACTGTACACAAGTATCACATTATATTAGATTATATTTGAAAACCAGAAAAATCTAACCTTATTTTGTTTAACTTTTAAATATTAGAAAGATATAAAAGGTTGTAGTGCATTTCATAAAGTAAAATTCTATACAAACTAACATTATCTGACGTTCGTTATAATATTATTTTGCATTGTATTTGACGCTATGTAGAATTAGATTTTATATTTTCTGGTATTATCTTGAATTGCTTTTTATTTCTGGAATAAGCAAGAGGAAGATTTGGATGGCAGTACAATAATTCGGCGATATAATTTAATTAATTTTCTGGATAGTTGTGAAGCAGTAAAACAGATCAATAGTTTTATAATGGCATTCCAAGCATTATTTGCTTTACTAGGAATAAAGAAACACTAAATAAAATTATCTTACCAAAATTTCGCTACCTTCCATTTTCCTCTCTCTAAGCCCAAATTAAATATTATTTTGTGTCCAGCTGATTTCTATGAATGAATATTTCAAATTTACAAATGTTTATTTTTAATATATTCTTAAATGTTTTTAGCAATGAGTCAATTTTATCAAAAACTCAATTGAACTTGTTTATAAAAGTCATTATTTCAGTCATTTCTGGTATTCTGGAAACTTAGTTTACTCTAGTCATTTGTAATTTCACAACTACCATGTATTTTTAACGTTATGAAATTGTATACTAAAAACTTCACTAATTAGTTGTAAAGCTATAATTTCATTTATATTGAGTGAAATTTATAATTTTTTTTTTTCTTCCCATCATGAAATATAACTGCATTTAAATATTTATTTTCGTAAAATTCACATTATTTATTTATTCAAGATTAAAATAAAATTATTATTTGCATTTNTTTCGTAATTTGTTTATTCTTTTGAATGTATCTTGTTTTTCCTGGACCTCTATACAAAACCATCGGGGTACTGAGGGAGATATTTTAAGCTTTTGCTTCTCCCTCAAATAGAAATGGTTTTGTTTTTAATGGCTACCGGGGCCGGTACCCCCTGAAGACGTCGGCTTCGGTGGTCATATTTTTATTTTTATTTCATTTCATTTGTTTCGTATTTTGTATTGCTAGTGCACACAAGTATCACATTATATTAGATTATATTCGAAAACAAGAAAAATCTGACCTTATTTTGTTTAACTTTTGAATATTAGAAAGATATAAAAGGTTGTAGTGCATTTTATAAAGTAAAATTCTATACAAACTAACATAATTTAACGTTCGTTATTATATTATTTTGCATTGTATTTGACGCTATGTAAAATTAGATTTTATATTTTCTGGTATTATCTTGAATTGCTTTTTATTTTTGGAATAAGCAAGAGGAAGATTTGGATGGCAGTACAATAATTCTGCGATGTAATTTTACTTAATTTTCTACATTGGTGTGAAGCAGTAAAATAAGTAACAATAATTTTTAATGTCATTCCACGCATTATTTTCTTTGTTAGCATACAGAAATACCAAATAAAATTAGATTAACGATTCTGCTGCCCTCCATCTTCCTCCCTCTTACCCCAAATTATTATTTTGTGTCCAGAAAATTTTCATGAAAGAAAATTTAAAACTTTACTAAATAATATACTTGAGTCACTTAACTTTACTTTGAGTCACTTAACTTCAGATTTTTTTTTAAATAAAGAATTTTCTGGTAAATTTTATATCATTAAACAATTTGAAATGTTTATTTTTAATTTCAAAAATATTCTTAAATGTTTTTAGAAATGAGTTAATTTTATCAAAAACTTAATTGAACTTTTTTTATAAAACATATTTTATAAAAGTCATTATTTTAGTCATATTTCCCTTTACTCTAGTCATTTTTAATTTTGCAATTACCATGCATTTTTAGCATTAAGAAATTGCATAATAAAAACTTCACTAAATAGTTGTAAAATTATAATTTCATTAAAATTGTGAGAAATTTATATACATTTTTTTTCTTCCTATCTTAAAATATAACTGCATTTTTTAAATTTATTTTCTTAAAATAAAATATTGACTTTATTTTTTATTCAAGGTTAAAATAAAATTATTATTTGAATTTTTAAATTGTTATTTTTGTTATATTTGTAATATTTGTAATAAAGGAAAACAATTTAAATATAACCAAATTACTTACTTCTATGCATTTTCTTCCATTCCTTTTTTACTCTGAAATTAAATAATGATATACTTGCGTAACTTTATTTTCCTTGTTTCTGTAATTTTACTTAACGAAAAAGCGAAAACTAAACCGAAAGCCACCCAGAGATACTTTTTCAGGAAGTAAAACCAGGAAAGCATTTACTAATTTAAGAATAATCAATAATTTTTCTTTTCTATTGGCAGTATTATATTGCATCTATCAGTTGTTAAATAATATCATTTTACTACCTAGTTAACTACAACTGCAACTCATTTTTTTTTCTAAATGTACTGATAACAAACTATTTTTGAAATGTAGTCACCTCTTTTGCAATACTTTTAGAAGACGCACTTTGCCGGGGAGCTTAATTTACACTGGTGTTCAAAATAATTTGAAGTAAAAATTGGCTTTTTGAAACTTAAGGAATTATTAAGAAATATTTATTCATGTTTATATGAGTCAGTTTGTTATTCTAAACCAGTTTTTAAGAGCTTTAGCAAATTGCAGAGTATAGGCAATTGGAAAATTTAGCAGCTAACGGGACTTAATTTTCCTTCAGAAACATTTTAAAAATTAATTTTTAAAGTATTTTCGAATAAATCAATTCCTTAGATTGATTAGCTATTAACTTTAACTTTAATTTTTATAATTTCTTTTTACGGCTGATATTAGTTTTTGATTTCTTATGTAATCTCTTATATTGAAAAGGAAAGACCTTTTTCTGAATTCCCTCAAGATCAAGAGAATTTTTTTGTTGCCAGTGTTAACATTTCCCTAAGCTCCCTCTTTTTTTTTCTTAATTTGGGGCTTTGAAATGTTTTGTAGATACTGTCATATATAATGTATCAAAAGTTTGTTTAAATTTTTAAGTGCAAGTTCTAGGTACTTTTTTTTTGAAAAAAGGAAACTAAAATTAATATTTTCTTAATTCGATGAATTTAAAAATTTTAGCTTTAAAAATATTGATAAGAATTCGACAAGGAATCAGATTTTCTAATCCAAACAAACTTTTGCGCATAAAAATTAAAAAAAAAAAAATCACTTAAAAAAAATTAAAAAAATTACTAATTTAAAAAAAATTATTTATATTTGATTTTTCAACAATATTTTGATTTTTAACAATTTAAAAAATGGCTTGCCAAATTGACTTAAATTTTTAGAATCAAATTAATGATATAATATAAAAACAATGATTAATTCTAGGTATTGCTTCCCAGAAATAGTTTTCGTGAAAAAATTATTAAAAATGCTTTTTAATTATTTGTTTTTTATTTTGCTCACTGAAAACAAAATAACTTGCAATTTAAAAACATTTTATTGAATACTATTTTTTAGTACATCTAAATATTTACATTAATCCTTTGTGTTCAGATTTTATTGTCACTCAGTAGGAATCAGTGGTTGAGAGCAGACATACGAAACCCTAAAACTCGAGAGCAGTTAAAAGGATTAAAATACACATTGTTTCATTAAAAGGAAGAAAAAAGATGATCTTGTTGGTATTCAGGGGTAATTATCAAGATAAAAATTTTATGGTGAAACGCAAGTTTTCAATTTCTGTGAGTAAATCAAATCTTGGCCGCATTTTTTCACTTTTGGCTTCCAATTGATGCAGAAAATGAAGAGTCTTCTGCTGCTTGGATGGCTAAAGGAGTCAAGTTTTGCAGGACATTTGTACCACAAGGGAATTTGTCCAGTTACCGTGATAATACAATCAAGATCATCTTCATCACAATCATTTTCAGGCGGGCCAGTTGGCATTTCAGTAGTTGTTTCTTCTTCTGCAATTGTTGGAGTAGTTGTAGTTTCTGGAGTACTTTCTTCAGGAATAGTTACAATTTCACGAGTAGTTGACTCTGTATATAAAGGGGTGGAGACAATTCTCATTGTGGCTGGAATAAAAATTATCGTCTGTAAACATAGATATTTTCATTCGAATAATATTTTATAGCTAAATAAAAATGCAAAGAGATACTAATTCTATTATATTTTTCCCCATTATCCACCACTTCTGGAAACATATGGTCTCATGGCACTCATCGGGTGGTCCTATTGATCTCCTTTTAGCAGCCCATAGACGGATCAATGTCATTCCAACAACACAAGAAAGGCAGATAGAATCGAGAAATTATATCCATGCCCGAAACGGGATTCGAACTCGAAGTGTTCGGGGTTATTCTTAATTTTTCCCCCGGTTTTAATTTTAAGTATTGACTCTAAAATTTCGTTTATATCCAAAGGAAATATGATGAGATAAAATTCAAAATTAATTGTAAATAACATATTACAAATAGTTTTTAAATTGGCTTAATTGATCGCATTCTTGATCTTTATAATTATTCAGATCTATCTCATTGTATAAAATGCATCGATATTTCCCGATCAACGAATGTCCGACTTCATTACCCACCGCTTGTTTTTCTCCTATTTAGGGGGTTTCAAAATTTTGACTTTTAAACTGGTATATAATTGTAATAGGGCTTATATGAATGCAGAAGAACAGGTCTGTACTATTTCATGTCCTCGAGACATTGCAGTGGTCAGTCTTGAGAAAATACAAAATAATTTTTTTTTGATTAAGACGCACCTACTTCGATAAATGGTACACAATGAAAAGTTAACTAGCTATTTGTTACTGCGTCATCGTCCTCCTCAAGCAGTTGCTTCCCAGTTTCATTTACACGTCATTTGATCCTGTACACACTCGACTGCTAACTGTAACGCAGGAGAGACAACACACACAACCGTGAACTTAATACATTTCTCACGACAAACTCTCAAAACTCGGTGAACTTAATACAGATCTCCCGGTCTTTCACAAATACGGCAACTAGTGGATTCCGTTCATCGAATTATATCCCTGATAAAATTCTGTTAGGGAAGTATTGCGACGTAACTAGCCCCGCTAATTCTTAAACATCAATTCACTAGTATATAAAACAGGCTAACTCGATTCAATCTTGGGGTAACTTTTTCATAGATGAAGGTTGGCATTGTCGATAACACGTTCCCCACACAAGCATTGAGAGAAATTTGCTTGCGTGGAGGACTTTTTGATGATACTAACACTCATTTGAGTTACATGGAGAGGAAAACAGCTTAAACCTCTCAGGATAAGCCTGATGTCGAGGTTAGTCTAACCCATGATCCGTCTACCACTGAGTATATTTTACATCAGCACTGTGGTCGGTGCAAGCCGGGTGCGGAATTCTTATTGACCAGCCATTGCTGGGATTGAACCCAGTTCACCTCACAGGAAGGCGAACGCTATATCGCCTGAGCCACCACGGCTCACCTAAATCAATTTTTATTTTATTTAATAACCGTTGTTGAACAACCGACCCAATTTTTAGGTTTGCGACTACTAATGTTCAACTCCATAGCATTGTAAGTTTGAACCCAATCCAGAAGATAAAGGAACTCCTGGATTAAGTGTTGGGAGAAATTTGCCTTCGTGGAGGACTTTTTTGATGGAATTAACCCGCATTTGCGTTTCATGGAGAGAAAGACCACGTGAACCTCCTACGATTACCCTGACGGCAAAGGCTCTCTAACCCATGATCAGTCTAACAATGAGAATATTTCACGTCAGCATTGTGGTCGGTGCAAGCCGGCTGAGGATTCGTACCGGTTCACCTCATTGGAAGGCGAACCATCCATATGAGCCATCGTGACTCGCTCAAAACAATTGAAGAACTCAAAGAACGCACATGCAATGCTCTTGCGTCGGTGACTGCACACATGTATGGCGTAAAATGGGCTACTTCCTAGATGTTGTCCGTGTGATAAATGGAAGTCGCATAAAGAATCCATGAAGCATGTATACGAAATTTTGAAGTCCCTGTGTAAATGTTAACGATAAATTCTTTTTCGTTAAATAGTTATAGCCGTTTGTAATCGCTATATTCATTTCGAATTTCCCTGTGTTATTATAGAATACTACTATACTGTTTTAAGATAAGAAAACTAACCCCTAATTTTGCATAGTAATAGGTTCTTCTGTGTTGCGTATGGCAACTTTATTATACCTATAACTCAGTTTTCTGGCTATTGCTCTTTCCCAGAACTTTAGAGGGCACACTATATACTTAGTAGTTAGTGGGTGTCGAAGTTCTTATTTTTGTTATTTTAATTTATCTAATTGGTTGTCCATGCAAATGAAAAAGCTAGAAACTGCTTCTTTAGAGTATTTAGGCTTGTAGTCCAAGTACTGACGAAATGCCAGTTTTTGGATTAAGCATAATGCTTAATCCAAAAACTGACCAAAATCCAAAATACTACAATGTAGTAATACCTGGAGAGCAATCTCCAGCAGAAATCCACTCGAAAGCAACTGCTGAGGCTGTTCCTGATGGATTTGGCAAGTGACAACGGACTTGGGTAGGAAGACTCTTAGTAAATATTAAAATCACATTGTAAATAAGTATGAGGTCTACACGAGGTTAATTAATTTAATTATTTTCTTTATATAAAGATAATCATCAGGATTAAAAATGAAACATACGCTTCACATACGCTTACCTACTAAGAACAGAACAACATCTAACATTGTCTAAGAACAGAACAACATCTTATTTGCTAAAGCTGTTCTGGGTTTTGTCGGACGACAACCAACAGGGTACGGTAAAAAATTAGCAAATATTAAAATCACCTTGTAATTAAGCATGAGGTAAATAACTACAATTAATTCACATTTTTTACTTAAAAAAAGTTATCGGGATTAAAAATACAAAATGAAATGTATATGTAGAGTATCTTTCACATTTGTGCGCTGTCTGAATCTTTTCAAAGAAAGAATATCATCTTACTTGTTTGTCTATTTCCTGATTCACACTCTACTTCGCTTTCAGGTCTGCATTCTTTCCTCCCTCCATCATATAGCTTCTCTTTGGGACAGGTTCTTAAAGATGGCATGAAGAAATAACACGTGTAATACTTTGAACAGTCTGTCGGATGCGGGAATGTTCCAAACATATTTCTGCACATAAATATTTTCTCTATAATTAAAAAAAGGCAAATTTAAATCACAAATTGAGGAAATAAAAGTATTAAAAATCGAGGCTCAAACCTAAATTATTTATCCAGTGCTATGTGAATGTTTAATTAAAAGTATGCGATGTACAATGCGTAAAAAAATGAATAAAAGAAAAATTAAAAAACCGGGACTGCTTTACATAATTGTTGATCTAATGATCAGATCTCCACATTCTGGGACTCAATTTTAATGGTTCGAGAGAGTGACATCAAATACACCAATTAATTAGTGCAGGCAATAATTTAAGTTACAAAAATAGACACAAAACATTAAACTTTCTATAAATAAGCATTACTTTCATTCGACAGATTTTTTAGTCGGAGATAAGCAAAATTTCGAAACAATTGGATGATAAATAAGGGTAGTAGGAAGCTATATATAAATGGCGATAGTTCCAAAAAAAACAGCCAAGCAATTTCACCACCACAAATGAGTTACTTTAGATAACCATAGACTGATTCAAGCGAGAAATACCTAACTTCACTTCGTTGCTAAGCAACCAAGTTTAGACAATTAAAACAAAATGAAATAAAGTTTTTTAATTGCTCGGAGAGTTTTGTTTATTAATAGTTAACAGAAAAATAACTCCAAGTTTCTTGATAAAAGACATTTTTTGAGTTGATTTCAGACCAAAAAGTAAATAATGTTTTCGTTTTAATTTCAATTTGAAATTGAGATTCAATTTGAATTCAATTGAATCTATTATCCCAATCAAAAAAGGTATTTTGTCGGAACAAATTATTAGAACTCGCGTGCATTTTCCTGATAGTCTCTCCACTCCAGGATCTAGATTATAACTGTGATGTGCGCTGGGTGATCAAGAGGTCAATCTTCTTTTGTACGTTGCCTCCTTGGTAAATAAACAGTCTTTGGAAACTAAATAAATCATAAGTGATTCACGCTGTCCTATAGTCACACTCGCTAACACTATCCTATAGCCATGCATGCCAATTCGTTGGAAAGTGAAAATAAAGAAATTGTTTCTCTATTTAGATATTTTCTCATCCATTAGGCTTCCTTTGGGCTCAAAGGCAGGAAAGTAATTTGATTAGAAATTATGCAGGAATTCCAATCAAAGGCTCCTTAAAAAAATTAGTTCAACGCCATCGGAATTTTCGATTCAAGGTTCCATAACATTGCTATCTTGAAATATAATTGAATTGAAATTGAATTGAGTCCTAGAACTTCTATTTTTTAATCAGATTGATAAGCGATCACTCCCGTCAAAAATATCAGCAAACAAATTTTTGACTAGCACCATTTCAGTGCAATTGAAAATCATTTTCATATGAATCAATCAATGAATCAAAAAACAGAAAACGTATTACCTTTCACAGGGGTTGTTCTTTGCTCTGGAAGAGTGCTGTATTTATCGTCTGGAATAGAAATTTTATCAATATTTTTAAAGTAATGCATAAAACTTACTTCAATTAATTAGTCGATTTCATAACCCTTATTACGTATAATAATAAAAAGAAAAAATTTGAGTGCCTTTCTTAAAGTCTGTGTGGGTATCTTATACATTTCAAGAATTTTGCACTTGGGTCAATATTTGGATAGTTGGTGCAATAGAAAAATTTCAGACCAAATCTTTAAAATTAATCACAAGTTTTAACTGGTTTAATTGAATGAATTTTTTACATAGATTTAGCATTCTGCATTGTTGAATACAAATTGCTGATTCAGTTTTTTTTTAATTGAAAAGATAACACAAATAAATATTTGCTAACTTACAGTTCATTAAATAAAAAAACAATCTTCAATGACATTTTTTGTGTGCGTTTTTTAATGTTTACTTATCTTTGATCGATAAGACCTGGTTAGCTAAGGCAGAATTGGAGCATCGACGAAAATTAGAAGTTTTTAAACTGCCTAATATCAAGTGCCTTTTTTGTTTATATTTAGACTTTCAAAACTTATTTTTATAAATTTAGATACACTCATAGCCGTAAAAATTAAAGCATCTAGCCGTATTTTTCAGAATAAAAAAAAATTCACGTACGCTAGTACAACATTAATCTACGTAAGCAATTAAATAATCAAAGCAAATTGATCATTAACTGTAGGAAAAAATACAAATTAGAAGAAGTTTTAACCTTTCTCCTCATGAGTCACCCTTATGGCAAATACAGGATGAGATACAATCGTGCATTGAGGCATGCAAATCGCGCTTAATGTTCTGTAGCATCTAGTTCCAAACTTGTTGTAACGACACCGCTTAATCGAAGAAAGCTGTCTAGAGTTGCTCGTTTGTCAAATGTGGGGATTTAGCTAGCCAGAGAAGAGTGGTAATGGGATAGAGGCACTCCCGTGACGCCATCGCTGTGTATGACCAAGAATTATCTTGTTTAAGATTGGCTACTTGGAGCCCTGCCGTGAGTGGCTAAACTTGTGGCTGAAGGATGTCACGAACGTACCATTGGATTGTCGTTCTGCCAAAGATCAATGTTAGAAGTGATTTCGTGTCGTATGCAACGGCACTCTATACCATCGCACCAGCTGTAGAAGTGGTGAGCTGCTGCAGAGCGTAAGAAGGATTGAGGCATTCACCACGCTGCTGCACACGATGCTCATCAGTGCTCAAATTAAATTTATTTTCATCACTGAAGACGACCTGGTTCCATTTGATAGAAGCCCTATCTTGTCGACAACAACACTACTACAAACCGAGGTAACATTAGGTGGAGTCAATTCAGCCAACTCTGTACAGCAGCGCACCACTTCTACAGCTGGTGAGATGATAAGGGGTGCCATCGCATCCGACACATGATCAAATTTAATATTTTTATGACACCATGACAGCCCAGTGGTACGTTTGTGACATCCTTTAGCTACAGATGTTACCATTCATGGCAGGGCTTCCAAGGGCCATTTTTCAACAAGACAGTGCTCTGCCATCTATGACAAGGATGTCCCAAAAACACAGAATGAACTTATCTGGAACTTATTGGGACGGCAAAGAGGACAGGCTCCAAGTTTAATTCATTTAGCGGTGTTTTTACAGAAATTGTGGAACGAGGTGAGGTTGAACATCGTAAGGGAGTCTTATGCTTCAATTCTCGAACGTATTGCATCTTGCATTCGCGCTAGAGGTGATCCAAGAGGGTTCTGAAAACTCCATTCATTTGTGTTTCTTCCTGCAATAAATAATCACTTTGATTTGATTTTTTAATCACTGACTTAAAGCAACGTTGTAGTACTTGAGTGTATTCAGTTTCGTATTCTAGTTGCACTAATTTTTATGGTAATAAGTGTATTTAAAAGTGAATTATTTTTAAAATGAAAAAGAAGGAGTTGAAATACTAAAAAAGGACAAATAAAAATTGCTTGATCGTGGCAGATCTTGGCTATCATGAGTAGTCCGTAATCTATAGTATGCACATTATAAGTCGCAAACAGATATTTAAGTGAAGAAAAAAATAACTAAGTTTTTAAACTTTAATGAATCACTATTAAAAAAGTCAAAATCAAAAAATGTGGAAGCCAGTTTGATTGTTGGGCAAAGCTTGAAAGTGTTTCCAAATCGCATTTTACCTATTCTCAGCTTTTGCTGCCAATAAAAGGCTTGCATGCAAATTGTCGCCAGGATTTAATAACTCTTTTCCATTTTTTTGCACAGTGAAATATTATGGTGGAATATTCAAGCTTGGTGCTGAAAAATTCTAAACATTGAGTGAACGAATATTTAATTCAATTTCATACCGAATCGAGCATTCAGACACATTTTAAAGAAAGTAGTTGAAACTACAATTATTGAGGAAGCTTTTACCAAGCTTTTTTTTCGATTCACGAATTAGAATTAATTTCGCCAATTTCGGCATATGTTTGAAAACCGTCAGACAATCGACATTTTTTTTTCATGTTTGCTACAAAGTTTTATTTGCTGATTATGATGCTTTTGCTGATGCTAAGCGATCCTGAAGATTTCGCAGAAAAAGAAATGTATGTTTATGGGTGACATGCATGTGCCCGTTTATGTGTGTAATAAGGATATTTACATTTTAGTTTTTAAGCCTGTATTAAATAATTTTGTGGTTTAAATTTTTTCTGTTCGGTTCTGTCAAGCCTACTTAGAATTCGTTTTCTCTACACTACGTTCACAAACTAATTTTATTTCAAGAATTAGTATATATATGCATTCTAAATTACTGATTTTTGCTTCATATTGTTTCTTAAAAATTCTTATGTGTACCATGTCTTACTGTAATAAATTTTAGTGCTACTTATTATCAAACATGGTGTTTGGCTCCGGTTACTTTACACCAAGTAGTGTAATCGAATATTCTAGAAGATGTTTCACAGCACCTGAAACGATTCTTGTAGTTTTTTATATTCATGTAGTCCTGTATTATGTAGTGGAACACCACTTTGCAAAGTAGTTGGGTGTAGTCACCATTTTTGGCTTTCAGATGCACGAAAATTTTTTTAACAGAGTAGTTATAGTTTTTTACTGTCCCCCGAAAGGCAGGCATAATTACGGACAAAATTGCGACAAATTTTGATTATTTGATTATCATAAGTTGACCTTGTATTATAGCATCTTACCTACAATGATACTTAATATAGTTAATATTTATTTTGAGGGGATGAATTTTAAAAGTTTGATCTAATAACATAAAGCTACAGGTATTGTGTCGATAAATGCAAATGTGCATGATTTTGAAGTGTTAATCAATTCCAATTAATTAATTATTTGCTTTCTTGTTTATCGCATACGAAGAAAGGGTGTTGAGCTTTTGATAAATAAATATTAAAAAAATACCTTCTCCCTTGTCACAGGTTGCGATCCATTTTGAAAGACAGCGTCGAGTGTACTTATCAAAATTTAAGAATGGAGGACAACGCATGCGACTAGCTCTCCCTCCTACACACATGTAATACCTAGAACAATCTTCAACATCAGGAAACATACCAAACCACAATGGACATTTGAATTTTCTGGCAAAGTAAGGATCATTCAAATTGACATCTCCTAAGAATGAAAGAAAGCAAAACAAGTACAGTGTTAGAGATTATGATGGACCGAACTTTAAATACTTATGGGTGATTCTTAGGAAACATGACAATTCGGACCAAAGAATTTCTTCAAATTTAAGGTCCTCAACACAATCTAATTTTTTCTGCATATTTATTTAGTTAAATTTACTAATATCTTACAGACAGCAGTTATTGACATTTGCTCAAGAAAAAAATAAAATAGAAATTCGCATTTCGAATAACAGGAAAAGGACATATTAGCTTGGAAGTTAAAAAAAAACCAGTCATTTTAAGCTGTTAGCAAGTAACAAAACCTAAACCTTTATGTTAGATGGACCATGAATAACTTAAATTAATTCCTATATCTACTGTAGAAAGAATCAAAAATTTTTTTGTTGTTGATATGTACAGAATAAAATTGTGCATAATAATCAATCATTAAATAAATACCTTTGATTATATTCAATCCTATTACAATAATACATAAACTTGCTAATAGGTTAATATTTGCTTTTCTCTTTACAGTATTAGCAGTTAAAAAAAATTCTGGTAACACTTCAATGTCCTAGCATTCATAAGCCAGGAAAATGACAGCCAGGATAATGACAAATTCGCCATTTTATAGCATATAACTTTACTTCAATTTAATATTTTGGCCTAAGACGTTTATATTCTGCAGAAAACAACAGGATTTCTTAAAATAACTCAGATAAATNAAAAAAACAGTCATTTCAAGCTATTAGTAAGTTACAAAATCTAAGCCTTTATGTTAGATGGACCATGAATAACTTAAATTAATTCTTTTATCTACTGTAGAAAATATCAAAAATTTTTTGTTGCTAATATGTACATAATAAAATTGTGTAAAATAATCAATAATTAAATAAATAAATAAATAACTTTGATTACATTCAATCCTATTACAATCATACATAAAATTGGTATTAGGTTAATATTTGCTTTCCCTCTTTACAGTATTAGCAGTTAAAAAAATTTCTGGTAACACTTCAATGTTCTAGCATTCATAAGCCAGGAAAATGACAGCCAGGATAATGACAAATTCGCCATTTTATAGCATATAACTTTACATCAATTTAATATTTTGGCCTAAGACGTTTATATTCTGCAGAAAACAACAGGATTTCTTAAAATAACTCAGATAAATCTATTTAGTTTATGCTATTAATGATTTCAAAAAGCCAGGAAAATGAGAACACAAAAACCTACTCACCTTTAAAAATTTTTTGAAATGGATTTTGAACCAGAAAGTTGGTTCTTTATTCATGCCACAAGACATGTTCAGATAAGAGGGCATTTAATCAATATATTAACATAAGATATTGATTGCTGGCTCTGTCTATTTTGGTTATAAACCACTAAATAAAAGTAGCCAGGAAAATGACATATTTTCTTGTGACAAACAAATTATTGACAGAAATTTTTTTTTTAAACGAAGGTTTTGTAAATAATACCCTCTGCGTATATTCTAGAAATGCTTGCACCGGCTGAGATAAAAAAAATTAGATATTGAAAAATTTATGGAAAGTTTTGAAGCTAGTTATTATTGGAAACATTGTTTGTGACATGCGAGAAACATGAAATTTTGAAGTTCAATTTAATTTTTTAAATATGCAAAATAGTCGATGCTAATACTAGGTTATCTTAATTATTTATTAAATTTTTTTTTAAAAAAAGTTCTTTTAGTAGTTTAGAATTAGATCTTGGTTGCAAGTGACTGTAAAATGTCATATTTCGTGAGAATCACCTTTATATTCTCGAAACCACGCAAACTGCACTTCTAAACTACAAACACTTCTTCCAAAAGTATCCGGGGACCCTCTTAACGAAAAGAATCTGCAGGTGGAGGGTTTTTTTTTCTTCATGATTTGATCAGGGTCTCTCAAATCATGCGTTTAGAAAAATGAGCTATGTCATGTACAGTAAACATATAAAAAATTGAAAAAAAGGGAAAGAAAATCAGAACACTAAATAAATGTTGATCTAATGATACTATTTCCACATACTAGAACTCAATCTCAATGGTTCATGAGGCTAATTAGTCAATCTAAAATATGCTAATTAGTTAGTGCAGATGATATTTTAAGTTAAGAAATCAGACACGAGAGCGTACTCTCTCTGAATATACATACCTTTTTTTGTTGACTGATTCATATTTTTTACCCTCAAAATATAGGGGGTAGTCAAAATCCTGGAAATACGGTGCTAATAGTTTGGTCAGGAGAGCAACTCAAAGTCCAGATACAATAATGTTATTATAATGAGGCTGCTGATAGTAATAATGTAAGGTAATTCTTTTGGAGCTCTTTTCAGAATGAGGTATACGATTACAAGGTTCATTTCTGAGATGAAGAAAATTTTAAGAAACAAGCAAGAAATAAGATAATATTCAGAATATAATAAAATATTCATAATAATTTTATTAAATACAGTAAAACCTCTTGGAAGTGACCGCTTTCTGCTCCACAGTAAAATGCTCGTTAATGGAGATTGGTAGTTCTTAGAGTTCACCTGCATTGACTTTAAAATATTTTCGAAAACACATGATTTTTCGCAAGAGATTATAAATTTACTTGGTGTCATTTTCTTGGTGCAGAAAAGTCACTAGTGTTGGCGTCATGAAAATAAGATCAATGAATATTTAGCCTCAGTAAAAATGATCCCTACTGATATAATTAGATGCAAAAACAAATGAACCAATTATGATTGATACTACTATTTTAAATAAACGAACAGATATGTTGGTAAAGTTAGCATTTAGTTGTATATCTTAAAAATTAATTTGCTTCAAGAAATGAGAAGAATTTTATTTGTTTGAGATGCTAATTTTTTTTAAATTGCTTTTTATTGAATCTAGTTTAGCTTTCAATCCTAAAAATAAATCATTGATAGCATCGCTTTTAGTGCACTCTGACTTCAGCATGAGATTTTTCGATCTCTTTTAGAGATCACCAAAAAGAGCTCTCTAAATACGAGCCATTCACCAATATTTCACCGAGCCATTCACCAATGTTTCACCAGCCATTCACCACCTTGAATCTACTTATTAGTTACGTTAATATTTTTTTGTTTTAATATTTCTTCGTGTTTTTCTTACTTGACCTTTACCGTATTTGGGTGGAGGTTTTTCCTGTCGCTGGAAAATGTTTTGATGATCTCTCCCAAAGGTTTTCTTCAACACAAAGTCTGTGAAAAAAAAAATTCCGTACCTCCCAAAAAAGGTCGTAAATAGAGGAGGTCGCTATACAGAGGCAGTCTTTCCTGGAGGTTTCGCAGTAATAATAACGAATACACACGTGGTGAATTTTCGACGAAATAAGTGGTGATTATGGGGTATTTAGTCACCCTGTGACCGCTAATTTAGTCCTATAGTTTAAAATGGTCGTGCGAAATTTAAGTCAGCAGGCATTCTTAATGTTCATAAAAAGATGCAAAAATTCCCACCTTTCTGTTGATTAGCCACTGCATGGAAATTATCATTCACAATGGAGGCATCAACCTTTACATTAGAAAAATAAATACACATAAATGCAAGGAAGACACCTGAAAAAAAATGAAAAAAACACAATTACAAGTGAACTAAATACTGAAAAGACAATATTAGAGAGGATTTGCAAAGCTTTACGGTTTCTCGCATCTTTTACATTAACGCTGTTTGACTTTCACAGAGTATGCGCGAAGATCTCTCCACACATCCCATAATCTCTAAGAGAGGGAAAATTGGGTTATGGTTCCTGTTAACATAAGACAAGCGTTAAGCAAAATCTCTCTATTATTAGTGAGAAGATCAAAATATTCTATTGCAGTATGCTTGGCAAATTAGACTTAATAGGGTGAAAGGAATTTTCTTTTGCTAAAAAATATATAACATACAATGAGTGGCCAAATTATTATGACCACCCCTTCAGTCGTCTGCTTCCATACCCTATACGGCGCAATGTGCGTCGAACAGTACGTTCAGAGACGTTTACAGTTGCTCCTTGATTAAGATCACTTGTAATTTGTTGCACTGTTGCTCTCCTGTTGCGCTGCACATCCCTGGCACATCCTTCAGTACCCTGTGACGACCACAAGTCTGACGTTGACATCCGGTTTTTTGCTTGATTGTCCATTCTTTGTACTCATTAACAACTGCTGCTCTAGAGCACTTCACAAGTGCAGCCGTTTCGCTGATGCTCGTTCCGACACATCTCGCACTCACAATCATTCCTCGTTGAAACTTTCTTTCCCATATCTGAGCATACAACACAGTATAACTGATGACTCACTTGTCCAGCATTCCCGTGTTATGGTTATCTTGCCCTCTAGCGGCAACGCTGTGACGCAATAACTCATTTGCATAATGGTCATAATAATTTGTCCACTCAGTGTGTATACCAAAATGTTCGAATTTGAAAACTTCTAAGACGCTTTACTGGAATTCATCAAGTCGGCAAAAAACGTGACTAGAACAAATCTTTATTGAGTGACTTCAAATTTAAAATGTATAAAGTAAAATCTCGTTATAACGAGTATGACGTATTTCGAGAAGTCCGTTTTTACATGTTTCTATTTAGCCAGAAAGTTGATTCTTNCACCAATGTGGGGAGAGTAGTTACAGACCATGTCAACTGTCATCTATGAAAAGGTACCCCGACATAGAGTCGAGTTAACATTGTAATTTTGTAGTGGTAGATACGCTACAAAGTAAAGAAAGTACTAACTTTATGCAAACACGGCAATTGTTTTTGAGAGAGAAATACATTTTTCTGCTGTTTAAGTGAGGAATAATAAACGATGGGGAGGAAATGGAAGAAATTTTTTTATTCCTGGCATCAATACAGAAAAGTGAAAAACGAACATATTTTCACCTTTTTTACCTCTTACAGTTTTAGCCTTTTAGGTTTTTAAATCAAATGCGTCCAAGTAATCTTCCTGGGATTCGAAATCGAATTAATAATCAAGTAAAAGGAAAATTCTGTTAAGAATCCTGCCGCCTACTATAACACATCTATCAATGTTTCTTTTTGACAACTTTTAATGAAATCAACATTCGGCATTATTATTTCCTCCAAAGGCTATTACGTAATGTTTCAATCAAGTTTTTTTATTGATATTTTAACATAAGGGCAATTCCACGAAAAGTCAAAATTGCAAATTTTAGCAAACTTATTTTACTACATATTTGTATCATTACATATTTTACACATTTATAATAATATATATTTTATGTCATTTTAATGCTTAAAATATAGACTTTAATGTTATGTAGTTTGATTTGTATTAAAATTCAATTAATACATTCAGTTTCAAATCAGAACTCTATTATCTATGTTTTACTCTTTTTCAATTATAAAGGTGTTACTTAAATATTCAATTTTAATATTTTATTAAGTACTTTCAGCATTTTACCTATTTTGATTATTTTTGATTACATTATATTACAAAATTTAATTATTTGGTTACATTATATTATATGAGCCGTGTTGACTCAGGCGATAGAGCGTTCGCCTTCCAATGAGGTGAACGGGTTCGAATCCCAGCGATGGCTGGTCGATATGAATTCCGCACTTGGCTCTCACCGACCACAGCGCAGACAGAAATCCTCAATGGTAGACGGATCATGGGTTAGAGTTCTCCTGTCATCAGACTAAACGTGAGTGTTTTACGTGGTTTTCCTCTTCATGTAATGCAAATGGTGGTTAGTTTCATCGAAGAGTTTGCCACGAAGGCAAAATTTCTTCCAATACTTTATCCTGAAGTTCCCTTGTGTTCTGGATTAGGTTTAAAAGTACTACAAGGCTACGGAGTTGAACATTGGTAGTTGTAAACTCAAAGTAGGATCGGCTGTTCAACGACGGTTATAAAATAAAATTAAACTATGTGCATAAGAAGTAATTCTTTGCAAAAATATTTTTTTGGTAATTTTAGAATTTCAGTTGGAAAAGTGTTTGTTACGTCCGTAATAAAAATTCAGCAAAAGTTAGTTTCCTAATTAAAATTAAGCGACATTCTTAAAATTCTTTTCTGATGCGTTTATTATCATTAGTAACAAGTTAAATGCTCCATAAATATTTTTAAGCATGCAATTCAAAGATTAAAAATTCGTGTTAAAGACATATCATTATGTGTTATAGACATATCTACTTGGATACATTCGTAACAAATTTAGAACTTGACTTAAATATATAAATACTGTTAATGACGCTAGCTAGATATATATTTGAGAGAACAAACGATAATACTTCTAAACTTTTGCTCCTTTTAGTTATTTCAAAATGGAATTTTATATCATTTAGAATGTATAATATGTATTAGTTAAATATTTTCATATGAAACATTGTTCAAAAAATATAATATTATTTTACGAAGAAATCGTATTTCAAATAATGAAAACATTATTTAATCTCACTGCCTTAAATTAACGATGGTCTGTTCGTCCAAAACAGTTAAACGTAACTCAGAGCACCATAAAATAATTAGCGGGGATCTCCAAGACAAGCATCTACCGTCATTCGGGGCTACTTTGTGCAGCGGGGGCTACTTTGTGCAAATTCGAATTTGGCATTTTTCAAGTGCTGCTATTCAGTATTATGTTCATTTCACGTTAAAAATGTGTGGAATTTGAAGATAGAAGTCTCTTCTATTACTACAAACATTTTTTCGAATTTTAAAACAATCTCAGAGTGTGTTTCGTTCATCAAATGTTAACAATTTTCCGAGGACGTCGGATGTCGAAAAGTGTGCGTGGAAACTTTAGCTGTGAAATGCAAAGACGTTGATAAAACAATTGTTGTAAGTGCAAAATTTTTTATTTGTACATTAATAAACAATTATATCATGTTAGCGTTAAAAAAATTTAAAATTAATAACAACTAAACGGAAAATGAAAAAAAAATGCACTGTGGGGCTACTTTGTGCAAAGTTTCATTCGTTTATTTTTTCGATAGAAAAATTGTCAGACGTTATAAAAAAAATACCTCGAACGAGAAATTACCTTGATTACACTTCAGAAAAGCTGCAACAATGTTTGCAAGCAGTTGTTGGTGGTATGTCGATTGCAGAAGCTTCTCGGAAGTACAAAANGAGAACAAACGATAATACTTCTAAACTTTTGCTCCTTTTAATTATTTCAAAATACAATTTTATATCATTTAGTATGTATAATATGTATTAGTTAAATATTTTCATATGAAACATTGTTCAAAAAATATAATATTATTTTACGAAGAAATCGTATTTCAAATAATGGAAACATTATTTAATCTCACTGCCTTAAATTAACGATGGTCTGTTCATTCAAAACAGTTAAACGTAACTCAGAGCACCATAAATTAATTAGCGGGGATCTCCAAGACAAGCATCTATTGTAAAATTTATTTATGCTGTTTTCATTAAAGTGTTTAAAACCTCTAATCTATTATAATAGATAAAAACAGAGCAACAACAATTGTTTCGAGAATGCAAACATAAAATGTCTTATAAAAGATGTATTTGGTGAATTTAAGTGAGAACTTCCCTATTAAAAATAGTACAAAAGGCACACTAAATAATGAACTACCACGCATAAATTTTTATGTATATCGAAGTTGCGCAGACTGTACAAGGAATATACGGGGTAGAATAACATTTTAAACAAAGATAAAAAAATTGAAAAATAAATTTATAAAATGAAGAATCTGAAGCTATCACAGATTCAAAGTAAAACTTAACTTTTCTGATTTTTCTATTACAAATTTCCTTGCGGCATTGTAAATTTCTTACGTTACAATTAAAATATCAGCACTATTTATTTTTTATTTAATTGCAAAAATCATCAGAAAATGAGGTTTTTACTTAATAAATCTTTATCTTATAATTTGTTTTCATAAGAGAAGGGTAAAAAAAGTATTTGTTTTACTCAAAAATGAGCTTAAAAATATTTTTTGCTAATCAAATATGTTCTTAACTATAAGTAATTTTGTTTCTAATTTTTTATTTATTTACGGTTTTCATTTTGTTAAATCTTATCCATAATTTGATAAAATCTAATATCATGTATTTCAGTAGCAAATTTATTTGCAATTTTCACAATTAATAAGAGTCACAATCTTTAAAGATTGAATGCTTTCGAAGACGTCATAATCTCCTGAATATTGATTAAAAATGATTTTTAAAAAATGTTGTTTTTTAAAAAACAAAATGTTAAAAAAATCATACCAACAGAATATGAGGGCAGTATTCAATGGCTTTATGCTTTTCGTTTGCCAAAGCGTGGAAAGAAATTTCATTGGCTTTTTAACCGCATACATACATATATGTATTTTATGTAATACAAATCATTTTTTTAAAATCAATTCCTCACAAAATTGGTAATATTTAATTATTACGAAGTATATTATAGGAGAAATCATAAATTTAACTAAGTTATATAACTGACTGAACTAGAACTGAACAGAAAAACTTACTAAATTGCAATTTTTGAGTATAATGACTCCACATTTTTTTAATCTTCTTGCTGCGTCTTCAATGTTGATCATAAATGTACGATAATTTTTTGATTGTATTAAAGAATCACACTATCTCGTGAACGTATCAACACATGGTTGAGAGCCTTGAAGGAAAATAACAATGCTTTAACAGAAAGATAAATTTCTTTTGAATCGAAACAATTCGTATTAAAATTTCTAATATTTTTTGCTTTAATCATTTCATTTTTATAATATTACAAGTTAAATACTCGTTCTTCGTTTAGGAAAAAATGCTCAATAAAGCAATATCAATGGACACAACGAAGTCTTGTAGCAAAAATAAAACAAATAAATAAATAAAAAGCATATAGGTCATTCTTTATAAAGCTCTACATTTCTCTCCCTTGTCTGTGTCCAACTTATTTTTCCATAATAATTTTTCTCTTTTCAAATATGTAACTAGTAAAGCCTTCCAATGACCCATTTTAGAAACAATAAATTTATTATATCATAAATATTATGACTAATATTATGATATTATAAATGATTTATGATAAATAATTAATAATTAGTTGATTAATAATCGCTTAAAGTTTATTAATAATTAATAATAATTAATTAATAATTGCTAATAATTTTTCTTTTTACCATTACAAAACTGTTAAAGCCTTCCAATTACACATTTAGAAACAATAATTTTATTTTATCATAAATATTGAGACTAATATTATGAAATGATAAATAATTTATAATAAATAATTAATAATTTTTCCTTTAAAAAAAATAAAACTATCAAACTACGCATTTTAAAAACAATAAATGTATCATATCATAAATATATTAAGACTAAATATTATATGATAAATAATTTATGATAAATAATAAATAGTTTTTCTTCTTATACACATAAAACAATTGAAGCCTTCTAATTACACATTTTAAGAACAATAATTTTATTACATCATAAATATTATGATTAATATTATGATATAATAAAAAATTAATAATTTTTTCTTCTTATAAATTTGAAACTATTAAAGCCTTCCAATGCCACATTTTAAAAAAACAATAAATTTATCATATCTTAAATACTCGTTTTATGACTAAGTATCTGATATGAATGTGTTTGAGATATGAATGAAAATTTGAAACCTAACATGAATGAAAATTTCATTTCCTGTCGCTAACCTTACAGTTAGGTATTAAAGCAAGTTCTCAATATAGATTTAAAGCAAAATAAATAAATATAGAGGATATTTTTGTAGATACGTAAAGTTATTAGAAATATATTAAATAAGTAGCCATTTCAGATTTTAACACAGAGTACCTATCAAGTCCTAATAATTATAGAACTAATGAGATGAATGCTGAAATATGAATTACTGTGATGCATGTTGATCTTTGATATTCAGAACTAATTAAAAAACTCACGTGGGTAATCATCTAGTTTAGGATAAATTAACGTGTTAAATGCCGGGATTTCACCCAAATTTTACATTTATGTGTTTTATCGATGATGCTATAAATTTTTAATTTTTTACTTTTCTGTGATTAAGGGAAAGTGATGACTGTTAGAGAACACGAGGGAACTATGAGTGAAAATAAACCCATACAGCAATTAAATTTAACTCATTTTGCTGTTTTAGGATTTGCATTGCATTGAAAATTTCAATTTTTATGAAACAAGTTGCATTTTTTGTTAAAAAAATATTACATTTTGAAATGCTCAGTTGGAATGGAATAGGACTGCAACAATTTTACATAAAACTTTATGCCTGGACACCCCTGTTGTAAACACAAATTGGCAGCAGAGATTTATTTTAAGTTTGAAATTGATTAAAAAAACATGGACAAAGAAATTTTTATTACAATTTAAAAAAAGAAATTAGATTAACTAATAAGTATCTGTGTTTACATTTTCATCATTTTTCGAAGTCAACAAGAATTGTCAGGAACGAAAAACACAAAATTCTTTTAATTAAATATTTAATTGAGATTTAAATATGATTGATTCACTTCTTTTCATCATCAACACTTGCTGTCTGAGGCCAATGAAATCCTTTTTCAAACTAAAAGACATATATTTACACTTGTATGAAACGTTTAATTGATAATTAAAATTAACTTACGCTTACCAATCAGCTTTTATTTCATTTTTTTACGACAAAAAAGTTTATGCTATTAAAAAGTTTTCTTTGAAAAAAAGAATAATTTGATTTACGTCTTAAATGTGAGAATTCAAGCATGTCATTTATTCATGTATATACTCGTACATACAGTGCACAAAATAAAAATTAACACCATGAATAACTTTTGATTTAATAAACGGATTTTCACACATTAGGACTCTATAATTATAGTTAAAAAGGCTAGCCTTAAACGTGTTAATTAATTAGTAACTAAATATATGCAGATCATCAGTTTTCCATGAAATAGTATCTCGGAAGTTGTGAAAATGAATCATTCGCCATACTCATAAGTCAAATCTCATATATACTTTATCTTGTTTAAAAAATTTAAAAATTTCATACAGAGTAAGGTGTTTATAGGATGTCGAAGGCATTCGGGAAGTTATGAAAAAGAACTGAATCTTCTTCAAATCTCCCTGAATCCTTTATATATAAGTGCAAAAGTTAAGTGGTAAAAAACACTTTTATCTAATAACTTTTGATCCAATAATCGGATTTTCACATACTAAGTCTCAAACTTTACAGAGGTTACCTTAAATTTGCTTATTAATGTATGAATACGATATTTTAAGTTACGAAATCAAACACAAAAACGTGTTTCTCTGAATAAACAAGCCTTTTGGTTTTCAATGGATTCGAATTTCCTACTCTCAAAATAAGAGGTCCTATATTTGAGTCCCAATAGTAGGCAGGAGAGCGACTGAAAGTTTTGGCCCTTTAATGTTTTTGCGCATTTTATTACATCTCGACAGCTTGATAAATGAATTACGAAATTTTTGCAGGCAATTATAAAATTCGTTTATGATATCTGCAGATAAATGAACATTGTCTTGATTAGTAGTTTCTTCGATTGAAAAATTATTTCTGAAATTTAAGCGAAACTCATTCTTTTTATAAAATAATTCTATAAAGAGAAATCATTTGGAATTAAAATTCAGTTAAAGTTAGGTACTTCAAAAGTTGAGATTATAAATTTTTAACCACCGTTAAAAACGTTCTACTTCAAAAAATGCTTCCTCTCTCAGAATATCTAAGAATTTAGTCTGAGATCCAGAAATGACGAGCAAATTGAAAAATAAATTACAGAAATAATAAAGCGGAAAGCGATAGAAGTGTACTGTTTTTTGTATTTTACTCAGGAAATCAGTTAATATTTACTTTCCAAATTTTAAAATTCGTTACAAAATTCATAAAAAAGTAATAAAAAAAGAAGGAAAGAAACTTTGCTAACTAGGAAAAACTATAGAATAATGTTTTCAATATAAGCACCATTTGCAACAGCAATGAGTCATAGCCTGAGGGCAAAAGTAACAGACCCTCATGTTGTTACTTTACTTGGAATAGCCAGATATGCAGCAGAAATTATTGTTACACAATACTTTACATTATGCTGGTTTATGTTAACGAGTTATGTTCCTATTTGAAACTTGAAATTTTGTTTACTATTCATAACGCTGCAAACTGTAAATTTTTATCCTCGTTGAACTTTTTTCATTGATTTTTCAAATCGTCAATTATTTTGTAAAAAAATCATAAAAAAGCTAGTCGTAGAATTTTAAATTTTTCCAATACATTAAAACTGAAATTTTTGAATATTAACAATACAATCATATAACTCCAGTATGAAAAATAATTTATCCACATGATAATTTTTTATTTCACAAAACTTCAATCATCAAAATGACAAATTTTTAGGAAAATTAAAATTCTTTCAATAAAAATCATGAAGTTAGTTTTAGAGTTCGTTATTCGGGGTACTGAATTGGAACACAGGTTCTCACTTCCTGCGAATAAATCAACCCTTGACCGCATTTCTTCACGTATGGTTTCCAATTAATGCAAAAAATGAAGAGTTTTTTGCTACTCGGGTGACGATAGGAGCCAATGTCTACTGGACATTTGAACCACTTGGGAATTTCTCCAGTTACTGTGATTATGCAATCAAGATCATCGTCATCGCAATCATGATCTGGAGGGGTTGGTTCTGGAGGAGTTGGTTCTGGAGGAGTTGGTTCTGGAGTTTCTTCGTTTGGAGTACTGATTTCAGGAGGTGTGGATTCAGGCAGCAAAGGGGTTGAAGCAACAGTGGTTTCACCTGGAATTCGTAAAATTGTTTCAAACATCAGAAAATAGTAATCATTATTCTTGAATATTAACGATGGAAAGTGCTACTGAAAGTGTTGTTCATTCACTCATTTCTTCGTTAAAATCAAAAGTTTCCTTTTGTTATTAAAATTAAATAAAAAATGTTTTCCTTAATTAAATATGTTTAAAAACGAATATTATACAGTGACAGCATACAGAATAGAAAGAACAGCATAAAATCTTAATATGAATATCAACAAGGGGGAAAATTGAAGAGCTACGTGGATGAAAGCCATAATGAACAGTTTTGAAAAATTGAGATTTATCTAGGAAAAACCTCAGTTTAGTCTTGGTTAACAATATAAGATTCGTTTCATACAAGATCGTTTATTTTGCAAAGTCTTTTAATTCCAAAAATATCTCAGCGGAGGAAAAATCCTCTGCTTTTGAGTGTTTTTGGAGGGTCATTGGTAGCAAACTAAAACGAAAAGAATGTGAATGTCATGATGAATACAGCTTAAATGAGTTACACATGATAATATGAAAACTTTATTTGCTTCAGAAAATGAAAATATGAAGATGGTAATCAAAGTCGACATGTTTCGAGCACTCAAAAATAGGAGCCTATTCTCAAGCCTCGCTTAACTCGAATGGGTGCTTATTATTGATCACTTGAGGCATGTCGACTTTTACTACTATCTTCATATTTTCTGAATTAAAAGAAGTCTTTATATTATCAAGTATACTTTTCTGATTCAGTTTCACGGAATTAAGAATTAATTCCACGAATTAATTAAGAATTAATAGACTTAGCTCTTTGGAGGATTATGGAAAAAAATATTGGCAAGCTATAGAATTCTCTTTCTTTCGTCAGTAAATTCTCTAGCCTTAAATCATTCATCCTATTGGCTTTCAATTTATTGAGTTATAAGAAAAATAAACTTTGATAATTTTTCAAACATTGCAGAGGTTCAGTTAAAATTTATTAGTCGAATGCGGTATATGTTGGATTTTTTTTTTTTTTTGAATTTCATTAATAATCCTGTTCCTTTTTTTAAGATGAAAATGAAGTACAGCGTTTCTAAGAGAATAACCATCGCCAAGACCACCTTATTCTCCTAATCTTAAATTTGTGACTCCTTTCTGTGGGGAAAGATTAAAAATGAAATTAAAAAAAAAAAAAATTGGAAAAAAACCTTGTTAAGTTTAAAACTGCCGTTTATAAGGTCAACACAAGCATTGATGTCTCAAAGTTTTGCAAAAGTCTGCAATTCGTTTGCCGCAGATTAATGACAAGCACTTAGAACATACCATAGTTTAAATCAGAATATTTATAGTTACTTTTGAAAACAAAATGCCAAACTTCAAATTTTCAAAACAACTCTAATGTTTTTGAAAATTTTATTTTTCATTTCATATACCACCCTGTGTTTGCTATCCGGGAATGATAAATACGCCTAGATAATTGCTCTAATTTCCTTACTCTATTTTTTAAACATTTCCAAAATTAATTCAAAAATATTTCAAGTCAAAATATTTTTAGAAGATTGATGAATTTTCAATTTCCCAATGGGAGAATTTATTGATTTGGAAAGCTATTTAAGAAATTCTAACTATTAAGTTAGTTTTTACAATTTAAAGTTCGTTTTATTAATTTAAAGCTATTAAGTTAATTTTTACAAGATCTGTGTTCTTCATACGTTTGTTTCATGCGTTTATTGATGAGTAGTTTTTTTTAAAATTGAAATCTCTCTCAATCGCAAAAGATCATCATACCTGTTGGTCGGTTTCTCGATCCACAATTTACTTCGCTTTCGGGTCTACATTCCATCTTGATTCCATCAAACAATTCATTCTCAGGACAGGTTTGTAATGATGGTTCGAAGGATGAACAAGTATAATATTGGGCACACGCTGTTGGGTGAGGGAACAATCCAGATACTTCTGGACACACGAACACTAAATCTGCAATTAGTAAAAAATTTTTTAATAGTTATTTACAAATAAAACTTGTAATATTTTGTGTGATTTTTATACCTATTAAAAGAGGGCGCAAAATAATCGAAGAGTCAAATATTAATATTGCTAATTTCGACAGTATACCAGATTCAGAAGGTTTATCGAAATAGTCAGCTGTCTGCTTCTGAAACTAGAGGTTTGAATCCTAGCAAATGATCGAAATAGTGATAAAATAATTGTTGTTTATAAATTTAATGTTGAAGTTTCAAAAAAAATACGGGACAAAGAACGGGAAAAAAATGCAGTGCTCTCCTTTTTTCTAGCCATTGCTTTTTTGGAGTATTTTAATCTGTGATAATTAGATGACAGCATAACACGTTCCTGCCATTGCATACATTACGCTATTTTAAACGTTTCTGCAATGCTATAAATAAACTAAGTACAATGTTTTCTCCCATTTGGAATGATTTTTGAGTGGGAAACATTGTCATTGAAAGCACAAAAGAAACGGTAACTAAGGAAGCGACATTGCTTAGAAGGCATTGAGATATTATTTACAAAGCTAGTGTCTAAAAATCATTCAAGTATAGGAATTAATTTTTAATTCTTTTCAGCTTTTTAAAGAAGAATTATAGATTTTAAGGAACACTTCGAGCTACTCTCTTGAGTCGTTATTGTTGTCTTCGTATGCCTGTTTAGGCACAGTGATGCGATTGTTCTTGTTTTCCAGTGGCGCCATCTATGGTCAAAAATTCAACTTCCGCCACATCCATACGCCATACCCGTTTATAGGGCGGACCCAATCATTCATCCACCGACCGTAATTTTGACCTGAATCAGAGAACGATCGATCTCCAATCTAGTATTCCCAGAGGTATTGATTTGTCATATGAACATGGAGGACTTTGTAAAATGACAGATTTAACGTCGACGAGTCACCACTTACTACACTGGGAGTCTTCGGCAGGTGGGATTCGAAACCAAGAACTCTCGGACATGGATCCAGCGCCCTACCAACCAGGCTGTCCCGATCAATCTCTTGAGTAAACGGACGTTGCAAAACGTAACCGACAAAATATTTACCTTTCACCGTAGATCCCATTTCATCGGGGGTATCTTTTCCTTCTTCAAGTGTTGTTGCTTCTTCTTCTGAAAAGGAAATGCTTTCAATGTAAACAGGGTGTTCTGTAATTATCACCATTAATATATATTTTTAGAATCCTTGTAAAAATGAAATAAAAAAATATTCATCAGGAGGTGTAAAGGATCATTTAAGCGGCGAAAAATATAAAACGCTACTTTTTGCAACTGAACAATTTACATTTGATTGCTGATTAACAAAAGAAATCTTAGTATATGTTTTCTTCCAAGTATAAATTAACTCAGAAAGAAATGTTTCCTTCTTGGTTAAACTTATTTATATCTTTATTTGTATGATATTTTTTCAATAAAATTTTATAAGTGCGTTAGAAAAGTCTTAAGCTCTAGTTATACGCTAACAACGAAATAAAATCAAATATGATAATTTCAACACGTCGGGTTTTAACTCTGTTGCTCTCTAGATTGGCTTCAATGATAGTAATAAAGTTGATACTACAAGTTAAGAGATTGATAATTTTTGAACTAAATTTCAAATGCTAATTTTTTTTATTCGTCTTACTTCCTGTACATTTTCCCACTCACTTTTAATTTCAAGTTTTTAAGTTTTATGGTTCTCCCGCATTAAAACATAATGTCATGTAAATTTGAACAACTAAAACAGTGTCAGTGCCTCTGATGATTTTTTTTCAAAAGTGAGATATCTTTTGTAATTATATATTTTACAATATCTGATGAAATTGAGAATTCTTGGTTTATTTTCTTTAATAGCATACTTAGAAATGACTAAGAAAAAAAATGCTCGCATTCATTGCCTATTTTTTTCCGCATAAATGAATTTCAATATAAAAGGGTTAAAGATAGTGGAAGCTATGGTAAGTTTGGTAATTTATATAAAGAACAACATACCTTCCCCTTTGTCACAAACTGCAACCAATATCGACATACATCGTCGCCTATTCTTATCGAAATGGTGAAATGGTGGACAAGGCATGCGACGAGAAAATCCAGCCATACAAATATAAAACTTAGAACAATCTTCTATATCAGGGAAAGCACCGAATGAAGCAGGGCATTTGAACCTGGCGTAGTAAGGATCACCTGATTCGATATCTGCTAAAATAAGAAGAAAAGACATCAATAAACAATATCACATTAGTTTGACAAAAGTGCCAATGGTAACAACTACTGGGTGACCCATCGGTAGGCCTCATGAAGAGCAACTACGAGGTATTTTAATGGGTAGAAATCATGAAGACAACTATAGGTGTTTCATTGAGTATGCATCATGAGAACAGCAATGGACAATTAGTCAAATCTTCATTTCGTGACATGCCTACAGTCTGTCTATGGAAAGAACCCCCTCGTTATTCATCTGGTACAGTGGTAGTGACTATGATTACAAGGTTTAACTATTTCTAGTAGGGGTGTTAGGTCAGTATTTAAGACAAGTTTTGGCTCAAGTCGGAGGGAGAAAGGGAATCAGGGGAGAGAGAAGCTCCCCTCTTTGAAATGTGCTGTATCTTATCTCCATAGCAGCAGACAACAGCAGGCATAGTTCTTTCCATAGACAAACTATAAGTTAACTGTTAACAGAGCTCAAAGCTAAAACGTAAATATTTTCGTCAACACCTTTGTTCTGAATGTAAACAAAAACCGGTTACGAAGCGTGTGAAACGGTTTTTCCTTTCCTCAAAAGTACTCAAAACAAATTTCGTGTTATAATAGAACCGAAGCTGTAGACTCTCTTTCCTATCAAGATGAATTTAAGAAATATTGCTTATGATTTTATGTCCTTTAGATTGCCAACAAGGAAAAAATGTAGATTAGTTGTTTTTAAGCATATTCTTCCTTATAGTGTAGTTATCTTTTCTTAAATAACGTGTTTGTATCATTTAGTGTCCCAAACGAGGCTAATGTTTATAAAATCAACTACAGAAAAAAGAAAGTAAATAGAAAAATAAACAGTTCGCAACTATCTGTATAAGAAACTAACTTTTTCTCGTCGAGTTTCAAAAATAGTTCATAAGTCTATCAACAGGTGGCGATATTAATTTTAAGAAAAATCTTATAAAACGATATTTTAACAATAACCACCATTTGCGTTAACAACGTTGAACAACCTGAGGACTAAAATAGCAGTTTCCAGTGTAAATATTTCGTTTAGGAGTGTTTTAATGCGCGGCAGAATACATTTTTATACAGTCTTTTACACACAGCAGCTCCATCTGTTGACGAACTTTTTTAACTAATTTAAAATTTGGTGAGAAGAAATAATCGGTTCTCCAAATAGTTTGCAGTAAACTATATATTTCATTTCTCTTTCATTATTGATTTAAATCGTTGTACTTTTATGAAATATCCGGTCATGCAATTTCAAAATACCGCAGCTATCATAACTAAAGATAAAAAAAAAACCAAATATTTTATTTCGGAGCATGCTTGTTTGCTATCGAAAACAACATGCATATAATATTATTACTAATAATAATTAATTATAAAACTATATCTGGAATTTGATATTCTATAAGTCCTTAAATTTATTTTCAGTTCTAATAAGGATCTCTTATTATTTAAGCTAAGTTTTATTATTGATTTTTCACCAAATTTTTATCACAAGCTAAACAAAAAAAATTTCTTCGATAATCATGATGACAAGCGGAAGAAATCAGAAAAGATAGGGTTACAAAAATTTTAACCTTCTTGCTGATAAGCAGTTTCATCTGAAATACCTTTATCATTCACAACAAAAGCATCAACGTTTAGTTTGGATAGATAAGCGCTGATAAGAAAGAATACCACTGAAAAAAGAAAATAATACACGTGTATTTAATAGTTTAAGAATATGATACAGAAATCAGTATTATTGTAAATAATATTAAAAAAAAACATATTTCGAAGTAAGCTTGTTATTAAAAATATAAACTCGCTGGGTGCTTTACATTTACCATAATTTTAAGGGGAGAGGGGGCTAGTTTGAAATTTTTTTTACAAATTTGCCAAAAATACCCTATTAAATATTATTTTCAACTTATGAAGTATTTTTGCAACAATAATTTGGATGTTTTATTGCATTCCTGTTTGTATGTAGATGTTAAAAGTTGTTTTGTTTTTAGAAAAATGTTTGTATAAAAAGGGTTGTTTTTGTCCACAAAAGCCCTCTTACCTGAGGCTATTGTGGATAATCTTGATAGCTTCTTACAGTGGAATTTATTACAACTCAGAAAGTTGTATCTGAAACGAAAATGAAAATAATTTCGATCTAATCCTTATTGAGGAATAAATATTGACATTTATTTATTAAAATATAAATTTATAATAGAGAATTTTACTATATTAAGAAAGACATTTTGAACACAAATAAATACATTTGAAAATCATTATTCAATTTGATTAATTTGATAAATATTTTGAATTTTTTTATTTATTTCGTCGAAAAAAAAAACTGAAATGTCAATTTTAAACATGTTCTGAGCTACAATCGTGGTTGCTCTTTCAGTTTTTGGTGACAAAACTTTGGTAACTATTTTTTTCTTGAAATTTGAAAAAATGTTTTTTTTTTCTGGAAAAATGAAAGATCCATGATTAGAATAAGTATAGTCATCTTGAGTTGTGGTGGCTCAGGAGATAGAGCATTCGACTCTCAATGAGGTAAACCGGGTTTAAATCCTAGCGATGGCTGGTCAATACGAATTACCGGCTCGCACAGACCACAGTGCTGACGAAAAGTATCATCAGTGTCTGACGGATCATGGGTTAGAGTCTCCTTGCTGATAGGAGAACCGTGGGAGGTTTTCTTGGTTTTCCTCTCCATGTAACGCATTTGCCTGTTTGTTCTGCAAAAAAGTCCTACATAAAGGTAAACTCTCACCCAATATTTGATCCTGTAGTTCCCTTGTCTTCTGGACTTTGTTCGAAATTACAAGGCTTGAACATTGGTAGCCGTAAACTCAAAATCGGTTCAATGACGGTTGTAAAATAAAATAAAATAAAACTATATCCATCATTCTTAGAAATTCCTCATACTCCCCAAACATATATCTAGATCCTTAAATCTACGAATTCTCTAACACTATATACTGCTTTAATATTATATATATATTTTTAAAAAAAACTTAACTAGCACAAAGTCATCAACTCTTCTTGAGTCATTGTTATCAAAACATTTCAATCTATTTATATCTGTCTAATATCATTGAGATTTGAAAATGAAAATAAAAACAAATAAATAAAGTTGCGGATTTATAAATGAATTTTTTTCACTTAAAGCAAAACCACCACCAAGTAGCTCTAAAGCCATGTGTTTGCACTAGGCTCACAAAGACATATGTTTGTTTATGCCTAATGCTGATAATTAGTAACTATGCAGAGCAAAAGTTAAAATTGATTTAAGAAAAAAGCAGCATGATTTATAACATATTATCACATTCAGTTAAAATTTGAAACTTGCTTTACATGGAGAAGAAAAGCACGAAAACCACCCATTGTTAACCTGGTTGCAAGGGGACTCTAACCCTTGATCTGTCTACCACTGAGAATATTTTACGTCAGCACCGTGGTTACGTCATCTAACCAAGATACAGTTTCCCATTTCACGTCCTGCGTTGATCTTATTTCACGCAAGGTTATTTGTCTTTGTCTGTTAACCTGACAATTCTATGTACACGTCGGCGGACTCGTTTATTAAGTGCACGTGATCAGCCACTGTTGTCCATGGTGTCCATGGTGGGAGGGTATGGCGGAAATTAGGTATTCACGGTACACTCTTGACACTGTAGATGCTTTATAACCGTCGTTGAACAGTCGTATCTAAACTCGGTTCAACTCCGTAGCCTTGTAATTTAGAACTCAATCCAGAAAACAAGTGAACTCCTGTATCAAGTAATGGGAGAAAATTGCCTTCGTGGAGGACTTTTTGATTAAACTAAACCGCATTTGCGTTACATGGAGAGGAAAACCAGGAAAACTCCTCACGGTTATCCTGACAGCAAGGGGACTCTAACCCATAATCCGTCTTCAACTGAGGATATTTTACGTCAGCACTGTGGCCAGTGCAAGCCGAATGCAGAATTTGAATCGGCCAGTCATCGCTGGGATTCGAACCCGGTTCACCTCATTGGAAGGAGAGCACTCTATCCCCTTAGCCACCACGTCTCACACATTGTAGGCACTTGACAATTCCTTAACAATGTCCGAAATGGAATGTTCCATGCGTCAAGCTTCAACTATCATTTCACGTTCAAAGTCTGTTAATTCTCGTCTTGCGGTCATAATTGCATCAAGAACATTCTTGAATGAACAACGCGAGCACGAATAATAGTCCTGTCAGTGCGCAGCCCACATATACGTTTCGTACGCGATACTACTACTATCTGTATCTTTTCATATTGCTATCCCATGACTTTTGTCATGAGTCTTGTTAGTGTATATAGGTACAAATGGATAAGTACTTTTTTTTAAATACATAACATCCTTATAACTTCAAAACTATTTGTCCTATCATCTCCTGCTTGTTCTCGCCTGATTCAGTTCAAAAAATACATTGTAAGAAATTCCTTTGTCTCGATAATTGTCGGGCATCGATGTAGAATGTTTAAATAAGAATAAGTCAAAAAGGTACTTTATATGCATAAAACCTTTTGCAACTTTTTAATTATTACTGTTATTGATAATACGGTATCATTCGATTCAACGTAAAAAAATGGAAACAATAGTTAATTTGTTTAGATCAAGGGGTTGAGTACAAAATTGTACTTGATAAGTGCAAGTATAAACTTGTACTTAATGAGTGCAAGTATAAACTTTTACTCTCTTTCTTTTTCTTCATGAAATTCTTCTAAACTATTTATGGATGAGTCTCATTCGTTTTAGCGTAACAAATTGCGTAGGAAACAATAATTCATGTGTCTAAATGGTAGTATAAAAGTGTTAAAGATCTTTTACTGTTTATGATTAACGTATAGCATTAAAACAGTAATTATAAGTTTAATAATTGGCCTTTTTAGAGATAAATATACCGCATTTTAATGATATTTCATTGTTTCTAAACTATTTTTTCTGATGATTATATTCAGAAAAGTAATAGCTATTTTACTAAGTTTATATTTTTGAATATACATAATTCTATTAATTTTTCGCCATTTATACGATTTTCTACTGGTGTTTATAATTTCAAAAAAAGTAATAATAAACTTAATAAGTTGACCTTTTTGAAAATAATGATGCAACATTTTATTAATCTTTTGCTATTTAGATAATTTTTTATTGACGCTTGTAATTTAAAGAGTAATAATAAACTTATAAGTTGACATTTTTAACGATAATGGTACCACATTTTATCGAATTTTCGCTTTTTACTGTTGTCATTTACAATTTAAAAGAAGCAGTAATGAACTTACTAAGTTGACCTTTTCGTAGATAATGACACCCCATTTTATTGATCTTTTGTTTACTTGGTCAAAAGAAATAAGAAAAATTCACACTATCTCGTGAAAATATAACATATGGCAGTGAAAATTGGGAAAAATAATGATATTTAATCAAAAAGATAAAGTATCACAGAAGTTGAAAGCCGTAATTTTCTAGCAATTTCGTTTTTATCATTTTATTATATAATTCATTGATTTTGAAATACAAAAAAATGTAACAATCCATTTTGATATGTTTGTTTTTCCCAAAATATTTGTTTTCACTTTTTAATGTTATTTCGCTATACATTTTTGATGTTTATAAATAATGTTAGTCAAGTCCATAATAATGATCTTAACTTGATTACATTAAACTTGTTCAATTTGTAATAAATCGTAATTATTCCAAATAATTGCAATTCTTTTTTATAAATATTGCAAAATTAAAAAAAAAGATTGAAAAAATATTTATGAAAAATTCTCATTCGCAGCTGTAAGCTATCATTATAGTGGGAAAGTATTTATTAAAACTGAGATGGAACACTAAGGCAATGTGGTACACAAAAACCTTCATTCTTTCAATATTTTTCTTTTAATAAAAAAAATCTATTATTTTTCGTTCAATAGATTCAATTTTTGTACTTTTATTTTAATTAGAACTCGAGATGTGATTTAATTTTAGTTTCGATCTAACTTAATTTCTATCAATGTGCTTGAAGACTTTTTCTCATGATCCATTTTTTTTTCAATTTTGAATTGATATATTTCATAAGAAACTGAAGATAATTGCATTGATTTGTCATCAGGAAAATAGGAAAACGTGTTTAGATTTGTACACATAAATGTTTGAAAATTTATTGAAATTTTTACTATAAAATAATAAAACAATTCACAACAAAAATGTTGAAGACTATTTAAAATATGCAGATATTTAGGCAAAATAATTTAAAAGCTAGTTCTTTTATAATAGTTTTAATTATATCAAAAATTAAAGACATCAATTTTTAAAGTTTTTAATTTTCTTTAAAAATGTGTCAAGTTAGATTTGTAAATATTTTGAATATACTTATCATATGATGAGACAGAGCAGAAAATTTCAAGCAAATGCATGTGTTTTTAAAGAAATTTCAAAAGTGCATCCCGGACCACTTTAAGAATAAACGAAAATTGGTACTGAGAAACTTTTTAATTGGAAACCTATGAACTCAAGACCCAAAGGAAAATCCAAAATCCAAAATGACATAAATGACATAACAAAAGACTTAAAAATGATGGAAAATAGAATCTAAAAATTCATGTCTAAGCGCTGAAATTCAGGCCCGATGTAGGCTATAGTGACATAGAAAAAGAAGATGAAAAAGAAGAAATAGAACATCATGAGATTATGGTAGACCTTCAATCTAATATTTTACTTATTCATAACTGTTTAATACTATTTATATACTTTTCAAAACTAAAGAGCAAGTTAATTTTCTCTATGGTGCGTTTTAAAGTTTGAAATATTTAAATCTGATTTAAAACAGAGTCATTTTTTTGCCACATTTTATGTTTCAAAATATTTTCGTATGAGTTAGAGAATTGGTTTCGGAATGTTTTCTACACTTCATTATTAATAAAAGTAAAAAAATAATAATTTGATATTCACGTATTCATTTTGAAAATTTAAGCAAAGCATAAATTAAATTTCAAACTTCGGTTTAAATTTAATGTCATATAATTTTACATAATTGCATGGTTTTTGAACTTTTTTTACTGCATATTATATTCTCATTTCACAAAAAAATTATTCGTTAATACAAATTATTCTTGATGGCAGTCATTGCTAGAATCCAAACCCAGAAAACTGGCCGAATGTACGGACCCCTGTACCATCTCGTCATACAATGCAAAAGGTTTTAAAATCAGAAAAAAAGTCAAATAACTTTTAGAATGCAACGAGATGGCAGAAAAAATGAGGAAAAAAAATGTCGTTAAAGAAGTTCATGTTTTATCAAACTGTTGTGATTGTCAAAAATAACAAAATACAGATCAAGCATTTCTGCATAATCAGAAATGATAGTTTTAATTTATGATAGTGCAAAATCTTTCCAATTAAAAAGGTATATCGATATTATTTACAGTATAAATTCTGTTAATAAATAGTTTTTACAGACGAAGCACTTTCATCATACTTTGAAGGTTTATTTCATCAAGTACCTAATATTAAAAAAGTAAAACATCTTAAATACATTTGGACTTAATATAATATCATTTAAAAATAGAATATTTTAAGCATATTATTGTGTTAGAAACTAGATTCTCACCATTTCTTTTTTCTTAAATTTTAACATTCATTTAGTCATTATATATTTTTGGCATGGATATAATGTTTTATAATATTCGAAAACGGATGTTTTATTCTCCAACTATTTTCTTTGTTTAAATAAGCTTAATCTAATTTTCAAATCTTTAAAATGGAATATAAAGTTTAGAAAAATGTATAAATTTGGAGCCCTTTCCTTTCGAGTTTAATCAAAGGCTGTTCGCAACTTTTGTGCTTTGTTTGGGAAGAGTGTCATAACTAAAAGAACCACTATTGATTGGTATTCCAAGCTTAAAGAGGAGAATTTTGACAAAGACGCACCTAGTTCGTGTCATCCAGTTGAGTTTGACGAAGAGTGATAAAATCAACATTTGCACGAAAATTCACGTTTAACAGCAAAAGAATATGGAATGCTTTCTTCAATATGCAATGCTTTCATTACAGCTACCCCTCAATGCTTTGTAAGAACCATAGACCATAAAGCAAAAACTATTGATAAAAACGAAAACTAAATATTGGAGAAAAAAAACGGTGGTGATTTAGTTGCCAGCATATTTATAATCAGCATATTATATTTATAATTTACATTAATACACATATATAAATTATATACAACACTATAATTTGTAAATAACTATTTTTCTGTATCATTGGTCAAAACATGTATTTTCTTATTAAATAAAAAGGTTTAGGGTTTTCTAATTTAGATTTGTTTTATGTCATTTTTTAAATGAAAACATTTATTTTTTAAAATCTTTTTTATTTCGAGTTCTACAAAGTATTTTTTATGAGACAGTTTTATTACAATATTTATAAGCAACAATGTCAATATCCGACCCAGTTCTCAAACTTTTCCGGTTAAATAATTTTAGCATTCAATCTTATTTAAAAATTTGAAGTAAAGTTTAATAAAAAATTCTATTAACCTTCTGATTTTGTTAATGATTTTTAATAATGATTCATTATTGAACTAAGTATTCCAACGGATAAATGCAGCAATTAATAATGTTCAGAGAATGTAAATTTTAAGTGTCTTTCTGTTTGTGTAACGGTATATTTTAAGGTGGAACGCAAGTTTCCACTTCCTGTGAGTAAATCAAGTCCTGTCCACATTTCTTCACGGATGGTTTCCAATTAATGCAAAAAATGAAGAGTTTTTTGCTGCTAGGATGACGATGAGAGCCGAGTTCCACTGGACATTTGAACCAACTGGGGATTTCTCCAGTTTCAGTGATTATACAATCAAGATCATCTTCATCACAATTATGGTCAGGTGGTGTTTGTTCTTCGGTTGTTGTTAACAATGGAGTAGTTATCTCAGGAGTTGTAGGCTCTGGAGTAGAGGGCTCTAACGTAGAGGGCTCTAGAGTAGAAGGCTCTGTAGTAGAGAGCTCTGGAGTAGTTGGCTTACGAGAAGTGGGTTCTGGAGTTGTAGGCTCTGAACTTAATGGCTTGGTGAAAGGAGTAGTTTCACCTGGAATGAGAATTGTTAAAAAAACAATTTTAAAGTTATTTGAAAAATTTTATTTTTTTAAACAATCTTAGGAACAACGTTTTCATAATGCCTGTTTCCTGAATTTCTAACTTCGCAATTTGAAAAGTTTTCTTCGTTTATACTTTAATCCCTTAAGGGTTCAGGGGAAGATTTGTTTGGTTTTTCGCATAGAATCATACGTTTTTTTTCTTTGTTTTTCAGTGAAGAAACATTTCTCATCAGAGAAATATAATGAGAAATAACCTAAGTGATTTCACATATAATAGCAGCCTAATGTTACGAAAATAAGCAACAAGTTTAAAAATACTCTGCCAAATTTAAACTAATAAAAGCTTAAAGACATGCATAAAAAGAAGAACAATTGGTATGTTTCGAGCACTTATTCTTAAGATGAATAACACGTAAAGGATAAAAATATAACAGGTTTGGGATAAGCAAAAGCACTATTGCTAATGGAAAAAAAACGCGGAGGTTGAAGGAGGTAAAATTTTCTCCTCGTTTTGCGACCTTCGTCCACCATCGTAATCTCTGGCTCCATGATTTTTATTGTTTTGTCTCCTAATTTTTAGTTTTCATACATTTCCAATAAATATTTCACAGGTTTTAGCAATTTTGGGCAATGGAAGGAAACAAATTGTCATTCATTAAAATTATTTTTTGTTTGAGACAAAATTTTATTTTTTGAGACAACTGCAAGTGAAATAAGATATGAAAAATGAAATAAATCTATGCCTAGTAAGAAAGTAGAGATGAAAAACGTGAAGAACCGAATTAAGGTTGAAGTTGAATTTCTTGAAAGCTGTATTTTTCTAATACATGCTAACCTGACTTCATCAATAGCAGAGTTTTCAGGGAAGAAAAAGTGTAAACGGCGCAAGAACTCTAAAATGTCCAGTAAAATCCACCTTTACAATGCATTCATAATATGCAAACCAAAGATGAAAACAAAAGAGCATACAATTAGGGGCAGTAAATTAATATTTTATAAAATTAAAAGTAAAAACTCGAAACCTGACAAATCACAATTAGCACATGTAATAAACAAAAAGGCAGGTTTAATCGCTCTAGGAAACAGAGAGAAGTTGAAAATGATTACTGGAAACAACTTCAAGTTTCAGCCTCCAATTAAATCTACTATGATATTATAAAATTTTGTATTAAATATTTTTGTGTATTACATTTAATTCCCACAATGGCAATTTGTCTAATTTTATTAATGTTTTTTTTTCTTTCCTTAAATATTGTCTTACGACCCACCATGCGTATACGTTTTTTTAAATTTTCGATGAGGATTCTAAAATTTACTATTAGCTTCTTCCTTCTCACTCCTGTCAAAATGACGAGGTGAATTTTGGCGTCTATTTCTTGTGCCCGTGGTATTTCTGGGCAGCAGTGTTTAAAATTAACAATTATGATTTAACGTGCCAAAAATATTATTTTTACACCCGGAATGTTTATTTAGCTCACCAGATGGCAGTACCAGACTATTTCTAATGTCTCTAGAGATAGTTTATTTTAAACTAGATGTCAGCACTAATCAAAGGTGAAAGCTAAATATTTATCAAAAAATTAAAAATGAATGCAGATATTGTACATGTACTTAATTTTGTCTCCTTTTCTTGAATAAGAAATTGTCACTTTTTCAGGCTATTTTCTTCATAAGTGTGCAACCATTACCGCTGTCCTTAAAGAAAACTCTTTAGATCACTAACCAGCTGGGAAAAAATTGGGTGGGGTTTCGGGTTTTTTTAAAATTTCGGGTTTTTTTTTCAAAAACCTATTAATGCTAAAGTGAATTCTTTTGTTTCGCTTTCTATATGTGCATATTGTAAAGATAATCATTATATTTCAAAGTGTTCGAAATTTTGTAATTTACCAGTTCAGCAAAAGATTGATTTCGTTAAAAATAATAATCTTTGTTATAACTGTTTATCAGGAATTCACACTATAAAAAAATGTAAATCTTCTAACACCTGTTTTAAGTGCAATCGCAGACATCACAGCTCTTTGCATAGAGATGAGAAACCGAAACCCTTTTTTCCCTCTTTAAGTGCCCCTGAATTTATACCCAGAGCAGATGAACAGAATTCAACGACGCCATCAGCCGCGCCTATTAATGAAGTTTCGTCTACAGTTTTTGCAAATTATTCGAATAGTGAGCAATTAGGCGATAACATAAATCAAAGGAATTCTTCAGTTCTTTTATGCACTGCTATAGTCAAGGTTATAAATTCTCAAAACGAATCCATTAATTGTCGAATCCTCTTAGACTCGGGATCTGAGAAAAACTTTATTACTCGCGAATGTGCCAGCCAGTTAAAATTAAAAATTAATCCCGCTCAAATATCTATTTCTTGTTTAGGAACTTGTAATACTTCGAGTAATGGACAAGTAGATTTATTATTTTCGCCTCATTTTAATGATAATTTAAGATTCTCTACATCCGCATATGTTATTGATAAAATTTGCGGGAAAATACCAAAATCTTCCATTCCAATTGATTTGTCTAAAAAATATCAAGATCTCGTACTAGCTGACCCATATTTTTGGAAATCAGGAGATATTGATATTCTATGCGGTGTTAATGTATTCTNCACATCGAAGTTGTTGGAAATTTAACCGCTGAATCATTTATTGCAGCTCTAAAAAGATTTGTTGCGCGAAGAGGAAAACCAAATGAATTATTTTCAGACTGTGGTTCAAATTTTGTTGCTGCAAATAAGGAAATTAATCGAGTAGTTAAATCTCTTCAAAAAGAAGAATCCATCCATCAGTATTTTGCCGATGAGCAAATTAAATGGCACTTTAACCCACCTTCAGCACCTCACTTTGGAGGAATTTGGGAAGCTGCTGTGAAATCCGCAAAATCGCATTTGAAAAGAACAATAGGTGATCATAAATTGACCCTTGAAGAGTTTTTAACTCTTACTGCACAAATTGAATCCTGCTTGAACTCTCGTCCTTTGTGTCCAGTATCGGACGATCCCGCTGAGCTTTCAGCACTTACCCCAGGACATTTCCTTGTGGGAACCGCTCTTTCCTCTATACCAGAAGAGAACCTTCCAAGCGAAAACATATCCCCATTAAAACGTTGGCAGTTGACTCAGAAACGTTTCCAGAATTTTTGGAAAAGATGGGTTAACGAGTATATTTCCAGCTAACAGCAGCGCCCCAAATGGTTGCTAGTGCAGCCTAATTTGAAAATTAACGATTTAGTTCTCATTAAAGAGGACAATATTCCACCTTTGAAGTGGAAATTAGGGCGTATACAAGAAGTTTTTCCTAGCGCTGACGCTAAGGTAAGAGTGGTCAGTGTCAAAACTGAGACTTGAACTTATAAAAGACCCATTCACAAACTGTCAGTTTTACCTATTGACTGATTAACTTTCTTTATTTTAGACTTTTATTTTTGCTTTGTGTTATAGTTATCCGGTTTATACCAAGGAATCTATACATCTGTTTATGATATATATATTTTTTAATTTCATGTATGCTGCATTAGTTTTTTATAATTATCTTTTTATTAAATGTGTATAGTTTAATTTTGTTTTATGTCAATTTATGTGAAAATTTTGAAACTATGTTTCAAGGTGGCCCGGTATGTTGAAGCCGGTATGAATGTAGTAATAGTAGCGCCACCTACATTAATTATAAGAAAAAAGTTACTTCCTTGTTGGATATCATTGCGTCTAGAGATAGACCAATGCGCTGTTGTCAATAAACGCATAATTAATAATTAATCCGCTATTCATTATTTTTGTTGTTGTTTATCTAAAATTAGATCAACATTATTTTCATGAGCTCGTAATACGAACCACGCAAACGCAATCAAATACAAAATATTAACAGATAGTGATCAGGGCATCTTATAATGTTTTTAGTTAAAATATAAATTCTATTTCATTTAGATATCTCGTCTTCAGAAATCTTATTTGATTGTAAAATGTCACCATACTTGTGGGTCGGTTCCTTGATCCACAGTTCACTTCGCTTTCGGGTCTGCATTCTTTCTTGACTCCATCAAAGAGTTCTCTCTTGGGGCAAGTTTTTAATACCGGTATGAAGAAAGAGCATGCGTAGTAATTGGAACATTCAGTTGAGTGATCAAATGATCCAAACATTCTCGGGCACAAAAATGAATGATCTATAATTGGAAAATTGTTGTCTAGAATTAGTATCGTTGGTAAAAAGGGAGAGAAAGTAAAAAATCTTTAAAAATAAGTATTTGAAATCTGAAAAAAAACAGGGAAAATTAGAAGAAAAATAATGATCCAGATTTTTAAGTTATTATAATAGAATAAAAAGTGTTGGAACTAGAGCAATATGTACTCTTTTTTGCATTTTTCTCTTTCCTTTCAATAATTATAAACAAAAATAATGAAGTTTATTTAAAATTGAACTTTAAAAAAATGTAAACCTTTTAACGCAACATTTTTATGAAACGTATTTTCCATACTTTTTTCATTATTTTGTATTAATTTAGGTCAGAATATTCGAAAATATTATATTTAACATTTATGGTCAGGAAATACAGCACCGGTATTTTTCTACGTTAAATGTAAAATTAAGTTTTTTTCTTCAAATTTGCACTTATTTGCAGTTATTTAAATCTAAGAGAGCTATAGGAAAATTATATGAATATAGGAAAATGGAGATTGTATGAGATTACAGTTTATTGAATATTGAGATTATATGAATTATTTGTTCAAAATACAGTTCCTAAATAGCATCAAAATGTAGATATTTTTTCTCTGTAATAATTGACAAGAAATCGGTAGAGATTAATAACTGTTTGAATTATCCAATACCATTTTCTTAGGGATGAAACTGAACACAAGAAAAATATTTTTATCGGGTACCTTTTTCAGTAGTTATTTTTTCATCTGGATGAGTTGTTTCCTTTCCTCCTGTAATAGGAATATTGTGTATAATTTAACACAAAAATAATAAACTTTTCTTTACTATATAGTCTGCAACTATATGTAGTACGATAACATTATAGAACTTTATTTAAAAACAAAAACTCCTTTAATCTTATTAAAACTGTATTGTGTTGACTGTATGGTGTTGCATAATCATCGCACTTAATATACCAGGTTAGGCACAAGCTGGATTAAAAGAAATGACCGGAACTCCGACTATCTGATACCCATGGAACCAAGAGTTCTTGCAATCAAAATCGTAAGATAATGGGAGAATCTTTTTAAGTGGATTTTTAAAGTGTTCAAACATAAGTATAACATTAGGTGTTCAACGCATAAACTTTAAAGCTAATTTATTCAAATTATAATTGTCATTATTTTTGTTTGTAATTATTTAATATCAGTTAAATATTTCTAAAATGTTACTGAAAACATTCATGCAGTCAGCTCTTTAATTTATTATCTATGGATAATATAACTGTAATGATATATTTACCAATCCTATGCATGGGAAAATATTGAACCACTCTTTTTTTTAAAAATTAGATTGCTTTAAAACAGATCAAATTATTAAATAAAAGTTTTAATTTAAGGCGCTTAATCCCGGCATGAGATAGCTTTGGTTCTGAGACATGGAGATATGGTAAGTCTCAATTGAATATATTTGTACGAAAGATTTATAGGAAGCAAGACTAATATTATAGGAAGACTAAGTAAAATAATTATAATAATAATAAGTGTAGTAGAAGACCGTAAAGAACGGAAATTAATAAATGTTTTTTGAACTGAGACATAAAATGCATCAATAGATTAAACTGGGCTTTCAACAGTCAAGCACTCTTAAATCCTTTCATTCGGCAAAACTCTATATCAAGCATTTTATGAGACAAAACTGGAAAGCGTTGCTCACTTCTTGTATTTCTTCAAGAAGTTGGAGGAACAGCTTAGAACAGGATATTGCCGATAAGCCCAGCAATAAAGCTGTTGCAGAATTCAGACTTGCGGTGGGCCATGATTACCTGGCGAACCACCTATGCCGCATCGGCATTTTCCCTGACCCAAATTGCCCGTTATGCTCGAATAATGAACCTATGGAAAAGAACCATCTATTGAGATGCTCGGCTCAGCGTGGGGACTCTGAGGTGAGGCGCTACTGGAGTGCCCGACATCTGTTAATCAGATAGTGACTTTTTTCTCTTACTTGTTGTTCACTGTTTTTGTAAGAGTTTGTCATTTTCTTTTGCCATTAGAAATATAAAAAAGAAAAAAAATTAAACTGGGCTGCTCAAGTTTTCAGAAGGAATGATTTAAACCTGCTGAAGGACAAGGAGGAAGAAAACCTAAGTTCCAATAATTGACGCAGCTGAGAGAGAATTAAAACTCTAAAGGTTAAGGAACGGAGGACAATTATAACCGTCGTTGAACAGCCAACCCAATTTTTGGGGTTACGTCCACTAATTTTCAACTCCGTAGCCTTGTAATTGTGAATCCAATCCGGAAGACAAGGGAACTCCTGAATCAAGTATTGAAAGAAATCTGCCTTAGTGAAGGACTTTTTGATGGAACTAACCCGCATTTGCGTTACATGGAGAGGAAGACAACGAGAATCACCAACTGTCAGCCAGGCGGCAAAGGGACTCCCATGATCCGTCTACCACTGAGGATATATCACGTCAGCATGGTGGTCGGTCAAGGCCGGATGCGATTCATATCAACCATCCATTGCTGGGATTCGAACCTGGTTCACCTCTTGGAAGGCGAACGCTCTATTTCCTGAGTCATCGCGGCTTAATAGAGGACTATTGTCCTCCAGAGGCCCTGTACTTGAATTTACAAAGTGAATCTTCTGCATTATCTTTGCAAACTAATATTTGTCTGCGATTTCAAAGCAGTCAGACTGAGATTATTAATGTAAAAATTCAGATTAATCCGACATGCATATATATATCAAAATTTGCAAACTTAAGGTCTTTAAGAATTATGCATAAAAACTTTATATTGTTTATCTTAATGTTAAATAAGTAATAATTAATAACAATGATACTAAAAAAAAATTGAATGAATCTCTATATTGTTAAGTTTGCAATTAAGTAGCAGGAGGAAAAAAAAACTTTACTTTTTGTTTTGAAAAATTCTCTCAATTCGGGTTTTTAATTTTTATTAGAAACAAATTTAGTCATGTTAAAAAATAAGTCTCATTAATTTCTCCCCCATTTATTTGTCTGCTTTTTTAAAAAGAAAAAAGAAAACACACAGATGAAAAATAATTTGCAGAGCTGCTTTAATAATCTGCAGCCCTCGGTGCTGTGCTGGAAGGTTTCTGCTCTCAGGCTTGCAAGGTTGCTTGGAAATCTTCTTAAGGGAAATCCTTGGCTCTCACTGGGCTGTCATGCTACTAGTGATGACGGTGAAATTTAATTTTGAAACAGTCAAATAAATGTTTTTGCATACTACGAGCATATAAGTAATATATTTAAATTTAAAATAAATAAGTTCAAATACCAAAATCAAAACTAAATCCAAACATGTAGAATGTAAACAAAACAAAAGTAAACGAAACATGAATGCATAACAAGAGTTCATCAGGGGTACCCTACACGCATTTAGGCTCCATGCCTTCAGAACGAATGCATGGAGTTTAAGAAAAAGTCTTGTTAAGCATTCATGTTCCTTTTACTTTTTTTCTGTTTGATTATACATTACAGTTTCGGATTTCATTTCGATTTTGATATTTAAGCTTTATAAACTACTTATTTATTTTAAATAAATGGTATTCAAAGACAAATTCTGGACATATGCTGGACATATTTCTACTCATTAAAAGAAGAACATTATTCCTGCAACAGCTGTTTTGGTCCAGGGGTTATAGAGGTTAGGGTTCCACATTTTTGTGAACAACGGTACGATGCGATCGACAATGTATGCCAACCACTTTTACTTCGTAGACAAACTTCTACCCATCCATTAGTATCCATGTGTGGATACTATATATGGGTGCCCATCTATGGACCATCCAATCCAACCCCAGTTCTTCACGACAACATTTCAAAGCCTTGACGACAGATCTATGGAGGCTCGTTAAAAATGTTGTTCATTTTAAACAATATCTACTGAAATTACATCAAGTTATTTGGACAATTGCATCATGTTATATGGAAACTGCATCAAATTATATGGACAATATAGGTAGGATAATGAGTGTTGCAAAATATTAAGAGTTGAAAGCAATGAAAAGGATACCTTTTCCTTTGTCACATATGGCAACTATAAATGAAAGACATTTTCTTCTGTACTTATCGAACAGTTTGGCTCTTGGACAAGGCAAGCGTTGAGGTATTCCAGCGACGCAAAGATAGAATTTAGAACAATCTTCAATGTCAGAAAATGTTCCAAATAGCGATGGACACTGGAACTTCTTTTTCCCATTGAACGTGCTCAAGTTGGGGATTCCTAAGAATAAAATTTAAATATAATATGAACAAAACGCTTATCTCATTTCGTTAAACTGATTAGAATATTTTTACATTTCCATCTCTTTGCAATTTTATGTGTCAGTTAGAACATTATACAAAATCAAAATTATCACCATATTTACGAAATTACAGGGAAAACCATTGAAACATTTTAGAATAGTCTTTTTCTTAACGAAAAAGTAAAACCTTTTTAGTTAAATAAAATTTTACATCAAACAGGTTTAGCATACATTCCATAGCTATGTTTTAAACGAATGTTTAGTACATTGCCCCAGAAATTTTAAATGATGGCTTCTAAAAATAAAGATTTTTAATGTTCTCTAGTGTAAAAGCTTCTTCAATGTATAAACGATCGAATTAAAAATTAATAGGATTGAAACAATATAGTAATAAGCCACATTTCTTTACAGGCTATATATTTACATCGAAATATTTCATAATATTGTTTTTAAATAGGTACTAAACAAGTTTCTGCAATTTCCTGATTTAGCTTTACCGTATGCTTATTGCAATTCTTGATTTTAAATGTATTATATTACAGGCAGGATTTTTTTAATGGGTAATAAAATAATAATTGATAAATAAAATAATAAACCGTAATTAAGTTGTTTTTACTTCCATGCTTAAAAATAACTATTTTTTGGAAAATTCTTCGTATAATGAAAATAATCAAGACGTAAAAATTTAAGTTCTCTTGGAATGAAAGCATTTAATATATGAATTATTTCATTTAAATGTAAGCCTGTTGTTAATTTAAGCCATAACCTAGTCATTATTAATTTTAAAGAGAAAAAATTAGAAACTTTCCGCTGTAACAAAAATGTGCAAAAAAAATTTCCGAATCATTCTATACATAGCTTAAGTCTCTGATTTAAAAAAAAAATAATCAATGCAAAAATCTTAAAATGTAAGTATTTTAAAAATTCGTGAGTACACAAACACTGTATTATATTTTCATTGACAATATATTTATAAATGTATAGAAATAGATTAAATAAATGTTCCAACCCAAGCCTTTTCGGTGAATAACAACTTCATCCGAGTTAGTTCCATCATTTAACACAGAGGCTTCAGTGTTTACTTTTGATAGATAAATGCCGATTAGGAGACATATTACTGAAAATAAATAAAATAAACAAATAAAGAAAGAAACAGCAACACATCAAATTATATCTTTTTATTTCATATTATTTTATAACCGTCATTGAACAGCCTATCCGATTTTGGGTTTACGACAACTAATGTTCAACTCCGTAGACTTGCAATTTTGAACCCAATCCAGAAGACAAGGGAACTCCTGTATCAAGTATTGGAAGAAACGTATCTTCATGGAGGACTCTTTTGTGGTACTAATCCGCACTTGCTTTACATAGAGAGGAAAACCACGCATTAGCCTGACTGCTCGAGGAATCCGTCTACTACTGAGGATATTTTCCGTCGGAACTAAGGTCGGGGCGAGCAGATTGCGAAATTCATATCGACCAGCCATCACTGGGATTGAACCTGGTTCACCTCATTATAAGACGAACGCTCTATCCCCAGAGTCACCACGAACCAAATTATATCTTTGCTGGATTTTTGAGAAGACAAGAAAATGTAAAGCTGGCTGAAATTTTAGAAAAAAACTTAAAAATTTAAGAATCTGAATTTCTAAATATGGACACCGTGATCTACAGAAGTGTTTTTTATAATTTTCTATCTTTTTTTTGCTAATGGGTCTCATAAATTATTTTTAGCAGAATTTCTTATCTCATTCACATTGCGCATAAACAAATATTATTATAGTATTTCATTTTAACAAAGATAGTTCCATTATAAGAGTAGTACTTTATTCACGTCTCAGTAGAATTTCATGAAGGTCTAGGAAACATCTATGAGGATTATCCGAAGACATGCCATCACAATTTCGATACGTTAAAGAGAGGATGAACCCTCTCTTTGGTAGCCTGACGACCTGCGCACGAAATCAAACACGTGTCATATTGTTGTTTCTAATGAAACTTGGAGAAGCAAAGACGCTAGCCGTTGCTCTTGAGAATTAAGTCAGGAAGGAGCGCATTTCGTTGGATAAGAGAGCACCACTAGGGTGAAAGTGGGCCTCAGCTCAGAGCCCTCGAGATGGAAGGCATCTCATTTGTTGAAGCCACTTCCTCAATTCAGACGTAGATCTGAATGAGAAGAATTTTTTTTCCAAATCCCTTTACTTGTGATACTGTTTAGAGACCGACAACAGGACATTCGATTCCACAGATTTTGCGATCGCTTATATCGCACGTACTTAATGGGTCCTAGAAGCATCAAAAATCAAACAGCAGTCCCTCCAGACCACAGTATGCTCTAAGCATTAGGATACCACGGTCGCACGTTACGATATAACAGTTCAATGAGTACCTATACCGCACACTCTCGATCCCTTCGCAGGCTGATTAAAGTGGTCACCCTTTACTCGCTTACTAACTGCTGTCAGTTTTTGGTGTTTTTATTCTTCCTTCCCTCAAAAGTGGTTTTTTAGATTTAAATATTAATACACTAAATGTGCACACACACAATGATTTCAATTCTTTTTTTTTCTCAATGTTTCTGAAAATGCATATTTAGGAGTTTTTCTTTATGGAATACATTTTTGCATACTAAAATAATAGAAAGAGTCAAATATTTTCTGCGGAATTTTGAGGTTTATTGTCGAGCGTCATTAGGGCAGTTATTTTCTGTCCTTAATCAAAGCATTTTATTAAGCGAAAAATTATAGATTTTTTTTCGTTTTTTTTTTTATTGATGACCTAACATTACTGGAGAAAAGCAAATTCATGACTCGAAAATATGCTTTAAAATTACTGTTCATGAACTATCATTATATCGTAAAATGCAACACAAGTTTAGGATTTGAAATAAAAAAAAATCGAATGATAAGTTCGTCAAAGTAAATGTCCTTGTATTTATGCCATATACTTATTTTTGATCAAAATATGGCCGTGAATTCATATTTTAACCTATACTTTAAACTGTATAAATTGTTCAAAACGAGAAAAATAATCTAAATTACATCGAAATAATCTGAGTAATTAGTTCCAAAACGCTTTAATTTAGTTTTTCAAAATCAAAGTGTTAAGGTATCATACTAATGCCACAATATATTCTACAGCATTGTATTCAGTAGGTTTTATATATTTTAGTTGTAATTATAAATAAAGTTCTTATATCGGATACTTCAAAAGAAAAGAACGTAAAAACTTACTAATTTGACATTTTTGTAAGCCCTGAAACCACATTTTTTAAATTTATTCTAACGTTGCCGATTCGAAAGTGAAGACATTTACATTTTATCGCGTGAAAATCAAACCATATGGCACACAGATTCAAAAATAAATATCAATATTTAATCAGAAAGATAAAACATTGTGAGATTGGAGGACTTTGAACATATATAGATTTATAATTTTATTCCATAATTAAAAAGATTCTGATTCTCATAAATTTCTTGCCATCATAATTTAATGTGTAATATAATAAAAAAATACTTTAATTTTATTATGTATATCTGGAAATATTTATCATTGTGGAACAAATACATTGTTATACGGTTTCTAATTTCTTTTAGTAATCAAGATTTACAAAGTAAGATTTACAGGATCTTCCGCTACTATATTCTAAATGAACAATCAATACCTGATATTTAAGCCCCTCCATTGAGCTATAAGAATAAAAGACAAAGGAACTCATTTGTTTAATCATTTTGTGCCTGACGTCATAGATAAAAATACGTTCGCTTTATTTCAAATAAAGCAAAAGTGGTAGCACAAGTGTTTTATTATAACAGTTTATTTTACGGAAACAAGATAGTTATATCTACAACACATACTAATAATATATTTAAATGCACTGATAGAATTTTCTCTCTTAAAATTACGGTAAAATAACCGGTTGCAGTCTGTCCATCCGATTAGCCGTGAAGTTTACGGTAAAGAACATTTTTTACCTTTACAGTTTTGAAACCGTTAACAACAAGTATGGTTATAAAACCATGAATACAAAACTATACTGTTTTTAACCATTTACAACTAGTATGGTTTCAAAACAGTACGAAGGAAATTTAACCGGACGTAAGAGCTAGGTTTCTAGTTAGTAAATGCATTGGAGAGTGCAAGAGACTGGAAACTTTTCACGTGTTGTAGAGAATGAAGGAAATATTGTGGTGTCACCGCTGTGACTCGAATTCCAATTCTGTCTGTCATGACTTTAATAGATTGGCCCTCTAGGCTATAACATGTACGCAATAGCAAAAACTAATGGGCCTTAATAGGTGGGTTTAGTTGGTGCGATAAAATTCTGGTTGTTTAACCGTATTAGAGGAAAACAGTTAATAAACATTTTTTTTTTTTACAGTTGACAATTTGAATACCATCTTATTTATGGTTACTTGACTGTCTTATTTGAATGTGGTAAAATAAAAATTAAATAAATTGTTATTTATCCATTTTTCTGAGAAATTTTTAATAGTAGGGAAACAGGATTTAAATTAAATATACGGTGCTTTTTTAATGCAGGAGTGATAAGGAATTGCAAAAAATATCCATTTGATATGTGCAAGCATGTATCATTTCTTTGCATAGGTGTTTTTTAACCATAGATCACTTCTTACAGGTTAAGCACTATTGGATTAAGTGGGCTTTCCAAGACGATATTTTAAGATGGAAAGCAACTCGTTTGAACAAGTATCTGAAAATTTCTACATCTTCATAGGCATTGAAATACTTTTATCCTTAACTCTTTATTAGATTTAAAAATATAAAAAATCCCTCCAATAAGAAATTCTCAAAATTATTACCTATCATTTCTTTCTTTTTTTGACTAGCAAATTTTTTTAGAGGCCTTATCCCATTTAGTACTTAATAATATGTTATAAACTAGTCCAAGGAGGGGGAATTTTCTTTTGTGGCAAAATAAATTTTCACATATTGGAAAAGTGGAAATGAGTGGAAGGGATTACCTTTTAAAACGACTGCATTGGTATAAAAATCAATAATAATAATTCAAGAGAAATATATCACCGTATAATGATCAGCCTCTTTTTCTAAATTATTCAGGTCTTGTTGAAAAATTCAGCAGATAGACAGATGCTTTTATGCATTGGACTTTTATCAGTTTGAAAACAAAGAAACGTGTAAAAGTATCGGTTATCAGTATAAAGGAGCAGCTTGATGTACAGTGCGGAAAATAAAAAATGGAATAGTAAGGTATACAATTTTTATACATCATTTTAAAGAATGTAGTTTTACATAACATATTACAAATTTTGAGCAAAATTGGTCAAATATTTCCTGAGAAATTTTATGTTAAAAATATGATTTTTTAAACATTTTATCGGAATTATATTTCCTAAATTGCGGCTACCCCCTATTTTTCGGAGTCGGGAATCCGAATTCTTCGAAAAAAAGGTACATTTTTTCAGAGAAAGTACGCTTTTGTAACTGATTTCGTAACTTAAAATAACATCTGCACTAATTAATTAGTTTATTTGTGGTCATCCTCTCAAACCACTGAGATTGTGTCCTAGAACGTGAAGATTCGATCATTAGATCAAAAGTTATTCATGGTGGTCCAGTTTTCTTGCGCACTGTACTGTGTGTAAAATATTTTAAATACTTCAGATTTAATAATCGGAGTGTAAAATACTAAGATGCAATCTAGAAAAAGTGGTGCCAATCACTCAGTCAAGAGAGTGGGCGAAAGTATTTCGCTCCTGATAAACCAATCTCTAATTTTTTTCACACAATTGTAAAACTCGTTTATTGAATTATATACTTTTTATAATTAAAATTTTAATATATATTTTTTATTATTAGGTAATTTCAATATTGAATTAATTTATTATTATTTAACTTATTAAAATATTTTAATTATATTTATATTATATTTATATTAAAATATTTTTACTTATAAAAATATTTTGAGTTGTAAGGTATACAAATTTAAATAGGAAAATTCCAAATTCGAATGGAATTGAGCGAATAGTTCTTAAGAAGTAGAAATTTAGAAGGTAGGGGAGTGTCGGGTACCCCGCCCAGCTGTAACCCCCCCCCCCCACTGTCAATTTCATATGTATAGAATATTTCTTCAACTCAATGGGCCATCGGACATTAATTGTTATATTAAAAAAAGATTATTTTCAAAGTTTCAAGTATTTATGCAGCTTTAACATGGTAAACTATAGTTTTGAAAATATGTTGAATACAGTAGTCATGAAATTAAGAAAAATTGGTTGAATATTTCGATTAAACTTCATTTTTATACTAAAAAAATAATTTTTTCTATACATACAGCATTAAAGTATGTAGTCTTAAGTTTAATTTGCACAAAGAATGAAGTTTATATGTAAAAAATTGTTCTAGCAATTACAAATTTACAAAAAAATTGGATTTCGGGTAGCCCCCCTCGCATGAATGTCGGGTATCACCGCCGAATTTTATTTCGTCGATAAATGTACAGTTGCAAAGATTATCATTTTATTGCTGCAAATTTGATCGTTATATGCATTTTTAACAGCAAATATATGTTTTAATATTATATGAAAGATAAATTTATATATTTAAAAATGCAAATTAAAACGAGTTTATAAGAAGAGATCAATCAAATAAGTTTATATTGAAAAACAAATATTGTTATTAATTATTGTTAATTAAATTAAATTATTCTCTTTAAATATTTAATATAATTATATATATTAATATTATAATATATTAATATACATTAATAATAATGAAAAGTATGACATTTGTTGTTATTAAATGATAGAATTCCCTAAAAGTATATAAATATGTAATAAATAAAATAATTTTATGATAAAAATGATAAATGAGGTTTATCTATTGTCAATACATTGGTCATTTTCATTTACAACTGAAAAAACATTCAAAAAACATAATTTTTGTAACTGGTCGGGGCTACCCGACACATTTTGAAAAGAGCTGAAAAACATGTTTTTTTGAATTTTTATTTTTTTAAGTTAAACTATTCTTTTTTAAATATAAGCAATACTCCTTAAGTGGGTGGGGCTACCCGACTCTCCTCTAATTAAATAAATTGTTGTTGCTGTTGTTGTAATAAGCCTTTAAGGCAATGGGTGCTAGTGTTCTTGCTTATCAGTGGCGCCATCTATGGTCAAGTATTTGAATTCTGCCACACCCGTTTAAAGGGTGGACCTGTTACTACATTCATTTATTCATCCACAGATTGTAATTTTGACCTGAAGCAGAGAACGATCAGTCTCCAATTCAGTTCCCACAGAGGTATAAATTGTTAACGGAACATGGAGGACTTTGTAACCCGATAGATTTAACGTGTGCCAGTCACCATTTACTGCACGGGGAGGGGAGTCTCTGGTAAATATTTTACTTTTTTTATGTTATGCTATTATCCTTTTTCAAATTATTGAACATTAGTAGTGGTAAACACAACAAGGCTTTTTCAACCACGTTTATTAAATAAACGTAACATGAAATCCAATATTAACTTAGAATCAAGAATTAAAATCAATCAATGAAGTTATTATTAACATTGTAAATGCACGGAAGCACAACAAAGGGGAAAAAGAAATTTCAAAGCAATTTACTTGGAGAGGTTCAGTTGAGAAAAAAAATGCTTTTATAAAACTGAAAAGGATAATTTGATTTTATCATAAAAATCAAATAAACATTAGAGAAATTAATTTAAAATAGTTAAGCTTGTGAAAGAGGGTAAAGTAAAAAAAGTAATTTTACCTTGTCAAAGCTTTAATTTCTAAGAATGCAGCAAATATAATGAAACTTTTTTAAATGAAAAATCTTATCAGGAGCTAAACTATTTAGGAAGTTATGGGACTCATTTATGTCCACTCAACAGAAAAAAATATTATAAAATTAAACAGAGTGGAAAAAAAGAAACACAGAAAAATGTTAAAATCTTTGATTTTCTGCATAAAATTAATTTTAAAACTGTATAAGATAAGCTATGCTGCATACTACATGTAACACAAATTTTCACAACTGGATAACGTGAACGTATTTTCAACTAACAGCTGGCTTAGTTGCAGTAATATAAAACGCTAAAAAGGAAGTAACGTATCAATTTAGCAAGATCTGATGACTTATAAATGAATTAAATAGGTATTATTTTTAAAATACTACTCTTTATGTACAGTGCACACACACGAGAAAAGAACAAGAAAAAAACGGACCACCCTGAATAACTTTTGATCTAATGATCCGATGCTCACGTTCTAGACTCAAGCTGAAAGGCTCGAGGCAGTGATGCTAATTAACTAGTACCGACGATATTTTAATTTACGAATTCAGACACAAAAACGTACTTTCTCTCAATAAACAAAC